CTTCTTTCTGACGATGGCTTGTTCATTGATCAATCGAAGATGCTTTACTCAATAGATTTGCGATCCTTTTATCACGAATCGTTTATCAATTTTAGTAACAATACTCCGCAAATCACATTGACGAGGTTTTCGTCAATGATCTGGTGATTCTAGTGACTTAATTCTTCATTGGCAACCTGTAGGAAAGTTATTATTCAAACCCATGCCGATTGCCTGCTTGGATGAGAGATTGACATAAGTACTATAATGCCCTTATAAAATGACATCGTCATGATATATCTTTGTTTTAAATAAGGAGTCTTCTAGGTATTAAAATTATCAAATCCTTTCTAGGAAAGGTGTGACGTGAGTTTAGTCCCACATCACTTGTGCGCCGAAGTTTTGGGTGAATATATAGTAATATTATATTTTCAAATAAGTCTTTTTTTTGCATGTATATAACCACTCTTTACTCCATAGTCGACTAACCACCAATGACGTAGAAGGGGAGTGGCATACACATACCCTTATCGGTCCTAGCCGCTCAAGCCCCTGCTCGCAACTACTCCCTAATTGAGTTTCCGACCCGCTTGTGAGACCAACTAGTCGACAAGTCCCCCCCATTTTGTTATATTTTTATTTTTATTTTTTTATTTATTTATCTCAAAAGTAAAATTATAAAAATCATATAAATTTATATAAAATCACATAATTACTCAAAATTTCACATTAAGTAACTGAAAAACACTTTTCACATCTTAACACAAATATAAGTCTATTTATCATGAGTTAAGGCTAAAATTATATTATTTACTAATTATTAACTCATGATAATAAAGACTTATCAACCATCGACCTTTCACATATTGTGCAATATTTTTTTATTTTTTGAAATTCTCAAACATATCTTAAATTACGAAAATATCACATTATTTAATGTATTAATATCTTTGAACATCATTTCCTATATCTAATGATAAGAGCTTACATTTTCATCTTTTTCCATTTTTATTTGTAAGGATCTTCACCAAATAAAATTAATGAACAACTAGTAATATTTTTTAAGCTTCATTAGTGAACTTATAAGTCAAATTCTATGCATTATTACGTGTATAATAATATGATCACAAATTAAATGTTGGCAAACTATATATTCAGATAAATTTTACTTTTTGATTTGAATATGATGTATTTTCATGGATGTTCATGTATAGATACTCTTACAACAAATGAAATAAAGTTTTTTTATATGAGCTTTATTATTTTAATAACATCTACCTATAAACTTTTGACAAGCTAAGAGAAAAAACCTTTCATCCTCTTAAGACTACTATAACTTTCTTTAGTTTTAGTCATCAACTAAGAAAGTTATAAGTTTAATCAGCCTTAAAATTACTTATATTATTAGAAAAGACCCAAACATCTCATAGCTTCAATCACCTTTTCCATCATATGTCCTTATAACTATAGATTCCATCATTCTCTGATATTTTTTGAGCTTCTATTTTATCCAATGTTGGGCCAATTGGGAAAGGGTGTTCTCCTAGGATCTTTGCCTCAAAAGAGGGTTTAAATGACCTAATCCAGAAAGAATTATTTTTCTTCCCCAAGGCATATCTTTTATAGAATAAATGTTATCATTCTCCATAATATTGTTGTCAATAATTATTTTTAAGAAAAGTTGCTAACTTTCCTCAAGAAAAAGTGTAGATCTTGTCTCTATGAATGGTTACTCACAAGATAATGTTGGCCTTCTAAGTAATTGTAAGAAACATAGGTAATCATATCATGTTAGATCTCCTTTTGTTTACTATCTCAATCTTCCTTTTGCACTGATGAAATGAAGCATAATAGTCACCAAATAACATATTTTCAAGCATCTCTTCTATGGCAATCTTGCAACCATAATATTACCTAGTTTATCTTCACTTATTGTTTCTTTTCAAACCGAATTCATAAAATATGTAAAATATTTTTTTGTGATATATGAAGAAATGAGAGCCACAAAGGAAAAATAAAACCTAAGAGCTTTTGAATCTTTATGAAGGAACGTGATTAGTTGGTGACTAATGAGTTTCCACAATCACAAGGTTTTAAGTTTGTAATTAAAAAATATTCAAATCAATATGCAGCTAGCAATCTACAAAATTTTGCACCTATGAAAATGTTATGAAAGAGTTATTTCTCTTTACCATATGCTTTTCTTGGAGGTTACATCACTTAGGTATGAGACATAGCCTTCAATTGATAGTTTTCTTGAAAATGATAGCATGCAATGTCTTATATGAATTAAAATAATGTTCACATGCATGATTTGACAGGCTAAGGATTTTCGTGACTAAATATGACCATGAAAAGAGCAACGATGATCACATATTAGTTCTAATGTAGAAGTGTATACACATGTTGTAGACTAATAGTTAATGTCAATGGCACGGTAATTAAAAGTGATACCAATTGATAGATTGGATGATTTACAAGCAATCTTAGTAAAATACCTAAAATCAAATATTTAAGGCATTTCAAATATTTCTTTATGATCAAAGTAGGAAACTTTTGTGGTGAAATATTTATTATTTAGGAAAAATAATTACATAAACTCTATTGTAGGAAACATGAAAATTTTGAGTGCTAGAGTGACAATTCTTGTGGAATGTTAACATAGGAAAATATTAATGCTAAGGTGTAGGCTTTTGTATTTGACTCCAACTAGACTTGATAAAAGATGTTGTCTACACTAGTAATTGATTACTTTATAAACTCAAAAGATCAAACATTGTGTTTATTTAGGAGACTCAGTTCATAAAAAGGTATATCTGATGATGCTACTCAAAATATATATCTCAATGGATGTTGACCTTAACTGGATTGTAAGAAATAGTAAAAAGAGCTCATTATAACATGTTGCACCTACCTTGATAGATATCTTGTGAGATGGAGATGCAAGAAACAAACAAGGGTAGATGGCTATGTCACTTCATCCAATAGAGATATTGAGGCCAGTTGAAATCAGGATTAAGTTTTCACCCAAAGTATGATGCGAAAAGAATAGAGCTATAAATATAGTTAATGATCTTATCCAACATGGTTCAATTAAGAAAATTGAACCTAATTACCTTGTCATTGGAGAAAAAGTAGATTTGAGAGACGTACACGTCCTAAAGAGATAAACTGATGCTATCTTTATTACAAGGCGTCCCGAGATTAATTGACATCTATCATGTACCAACTGTGTACATGATATATATGCTTTCTAGAGGGAGAGGAGACAAGAAGATGTTCGTCTTTCTTTGATTTCAGCCCATTCCCATGTGGGCATACCAACGTACGTTGAGACCAGCAGCACTCTAATGTTTATGCCCATCAGCCTATGAGAAAATTTTGTCTCCGCCAAACGCATTCCAGTCAAGGTATCTGTGCATCTCCGTCATTCCGAATTTCTCCATTGTTTCTGACGGTTTCTTGCTGCAGAAAAAGGCCCTCCCAAAAAGCTCGATCCATGAGACTCAGCGCGATGGTTCTAAACCCTCCTTGGTCAATTACTCTGTTGAATACGACGTCATGCTTGTTGTAGTTGACTTGGGTAGAGTAGGTGTGTGGGAACGAGCGACTATGAAATGCTTATGTCTCGTCGATGAAAGCAAATCAAAGCCTGTCTGAATAGTTTGGTAATCACGTGCAAACTCCAAAGGTGACAGCTTTCGCGCCGCAACTCGATGTAGACGGGACTTCGCTGGTGTAGGAGATGTAAGGTGAGCAACCCAGAGAAAGATCGATTGAGAGAGAGATATAGAGCGAGATAGAGAGAGAGAGAGAGGAGGTAATGCTGTCCTTCTCGCACGTGGAAGAGCCACGCTTCTGGCAGAGTCTCTCCGTGGCTCTGATGCCTGCTCCTTTCAACACTATCGAGCTGCCATGATCCGTCGTTTTCTGGCGGGCATCCATGGGGGAGTAACTCTGACTGCCTGCTGCTTGCTTCTTGTCCTCTTTTACTACTAGAGGGGTTCACGGGGGAAGCTTCAACATCCACGCAAGGAGAGGAGACTAGGGGAGAGGAGGGAACGGCCGCTGATGCTGTCAAGCTTATATCTTTATGGCTACCCGCTCTGACAGCCCTCCCTTTCTCTTCTCCTCCGACCATGGCTGGTCAGTCCTCAGCGTCCGGTGGGGATGGACCAGCCCCCATCCCCCACCCCCCGAATATCAGCAGCAGAGAGAAGAAGAAGAAGAAGAAGAAGGGTTAATACCTCCGTCTCCGTCTCCGGTGGCCGACGGAGCACGGGAAGAGCGCATCAGCAGAAGCAGTAGGGACTGCTCTGGTCAGTGCCGGAGTGCTTAACAGGGTGGGGGTCGTCCCTGTCCCATCCCATCACCCCAAGTTGGCTATGTTCTGCACTGCCCTCCCTAGTTTGAACAGCTCTTTGACCGCCCATCTTTGGCAATAGCAACCGCCCGTTGGTTCTCGTCACCGGCCTGTTCCCTCTGTCGGCGACTGGCGGCCTGCTTTCCTACGTCGAACCCCTCGGCGATGTCATCATCTTCTTCATCATCATCCTCCGCGGATGATCGGAATAGGATTTATGGCCCTTCAGCGACAAGAGAGGGAACTGGCCGTGATCCATCGCCATAAGCTTTCGCGTATTGCGTGGGAAGAAGGGAGGGGGAGATGGGGGTCCTGGCGCGGCCTCCCTCGGAACAAGCGCACTTGAAAGGACAGAAAGAAGGCCGATCAGTAGCTCGAATAATGACGCCCACCTGTCCTCCCTCCCCGAGATTGAAGAAGATAGACTGCGTGGCATTCAGAAGGGTTACGGATGCGGAATCAAAGATGCAGGACAGAGTTTAATTCTCTCTCTCCACTCTCTCTCTATCTCTCTACCCTTCCCAACTTCCCGGTCCTTGCCCTATATGAATGCTTGAAGACCCGCAGCCAAGTTGTCTTCTCCATTCCCTTTCACTGCGGTCTGCGACAGAGGTACGCGCGAGAGGAGCAGGAGATTCATTCCGTCCGTCGGTCCGCGATGAGTAGTCGGGGGGTCTTCATCTTGCTCTGGGCAGTCTTCCTTCCCATAGCGGCCGGCGCTGTGCAGGACAGCAGCGACAGCGCTGCGGCTGGCATGGCGGAAGGAGAGCTGCAGGGTCTTTTCGAGGTGATGACGGCGCTGCTGGAGGACTCCAGCTGGGCCGAGTTGCACCCCCATCCCTGCACCGACACACCATGGCCCGGCATTCAGTGCGAGCTCTCCCAGGCCGGCAAGGAGAGCGAGTTGTATCTCCATGTTACCAGGCTCCACATCGGCCCCGACGTCGCAGCCCCTCCCTGCCGTGGCGGCGCTGTCTTTCCCGCCGCCTCCCTCCTCCAGCTCCCCTATCTCAAGTCCCTCTCCCTCATCGGGTGCTTCATCGAGACACCAGTGTCGCCGCTCGTCAACCTCTCGGCGGCTCTCTTTACGACCTCGTCTGTGCTGGAGCAGCTGGTGATGAAGTCAAACCCGGGTCTCAGTGGCGAGATACCGGGAACCATCGTTCTACTCTCCCGTCTGAGGGTGCTCACCCTCTCTCAGAGCCGCCTCCACGGGGCGATCCCCCGAGAGCTCGGCGGCGGCGGCGGGTTGTCGAAGCTGGAGGAGCTCGACCTCAGCTACAACCAGCTCAGCGGCAGAATCCCCGAGGACATGTCGGGGCTGGCGAGCCTCTCCATCCTCGACCTGAGCTGGAACAGCCTGAAGGGCCCTCTTCCTCCTTCGCTCGGCAAGCTGGCGGCGCTCCAGAAGATGGACCTCAGCTCGAACTTGCTCTCCGGCAGCATCCCCCGAGAGATGAGCTCTCTGAATCGCCTCCTGCTTCTTGACCTCAGCGCGAACTCGCTCTCGGGGACGATCCCTGCGACGTTCAAAGCCCTCAACGGTAGCCTCGAGTACCTCCTCCTCGAGGGCAACCCGCTGAACGGGGTCATTCCGGCGACCCTCGGAGAGCTCCGGAAGCTCGCCGTCCTGAGTCTCTCAGGCTGCGGCATGTGGGGGCCGATCCCGTCGTCCCTGACTAGATTGTCTCGCCTCACGGCGCTGTCTTTGGACGGGAACCGGCTGAACGGGACGGTGCCGCCGGAGCTGGGGCTGCTACCATCTCTCCGGCAGCTGAACCTCAGCCATAACGAGCTCTCCGGCGAGGTCCCCTTTGTGGAGCAGTTCGTGGCCCGTCTTGGGGCCCGCTTGGACGTGAGGGGAAACCGAGGCCTCTGCACAGACCCTGCGGCGTTCCGCCGGAATATCTACCTGATGGGTTCCATCGGACCGCCATGCACGTACGCTTCCGCCGCCGCCTCCGCCAGGCCGGGCTTGGAACCGCCGCCGGCTGGTGAGCCACAGGCCGTCGGGGCGTCGAAATCGTCGTCGTGGAGCGACGGCGACGAGGAGGAGCTCCGCCGCTCTTCCGCCGGTGCGACGACGGCGACTTCTCCGGCGTTCTCCGCCATCGCCGCCGGCTGCTGCTGCTGCTTCCTCCATCTCCTGCTATTTCTCCTCGCGGTAGTTTGACTTAACGCCGTCGCCGCGGTCGTCTTCAACTGGAGTGCAGGTTAAGGCGTGCGGGTCGACCGCGACGACAAAGATAGGTCTAACTGGGATCAGCTAGTAGCGCGGGGGCTCACCGGCAGCTGCATGGAGCCTTCGTGATCAAGACGAGCTAACTCACGTTGACTTGGGGTCTCGTTCCTACGTCAACCCAAAGTGCCCGTCCAATGAATAACGGGCGGACATATGATAGCAACAATGACACTTGGTCGTCGCGCACCTCCCTCCGTCCTTCCCTCTCTCTCTCTCTCTCTCTCTCTCTCTCTCTCTCTCTCTCTCTCTCTCTCTCTCTCTCTCTCTCTCTCTCTCTCTATATATATATATATATATATATATATATATATGTAAAATTTCACTCCGAAATCCGAAACATAACCGTGCATAGTCACCCTGGTCAACTGACCTCCTTGACGAACAGGGTAGGGAAGAGAATCGGAAATATCCATTTCTAGAGCGAGAGAAAGAGAGAGAGAGCATCTCCTTCCTCTTTACTCCATAGTCACTGTCAAACATCATGGATGGGATAGGATGGAACGGTTCGACAGACTACCTTAATTACCCTGGCTTAGGATTAATCCAGATTAATATGCTTGGAGCTAATTAGTAAACATTTTCTTATTAAAAAAAACACACACCATTTTTGGTAAAAAAAGGTTCATTATTATCCGTACAAAATATAAAATTAGGAGGAATTTCCTCAAGTTCCACCTTAATTACGATGGGTTAGGATTAATCCAAATTAATTTGTTTGGAGTTAACTAGTAAACATTTTATTATTAAAAAATGCACACTTAGCCTTTTTGGTAAAAAAAGGTTCATTACTATCCAAAAAAATATGAAATTAGGAAGAATTTCTTCAAGTTCTACTTAATTACCTTGCACTATGATTAATCCAGATTAATATGTGTGGAGTTAATTAGAAAACATTTATTATTAACAAAACGCACACTTACCCTTTTTGGTAAAAAAATGTTCATTATTATCCATTAAAAATATAAAATTAGGAGGAATTTCTTGAGTTCTACCTTAATTACCTTGGGTTAGGATGAATCCAGATTAATATTCTTGGAGTTAATTAGCAAACATTTTATTATTAAAAAACGCACACTTACCCTTTTTGGTAAAAGAAAGGTTCATTATTATCCATAAAAATATTAAATTAGGAGGAATTTCATCAAGTTCTACCTTAATTACCTTGTGTTAGGATTATTCCAGATTAATATTCTTGGAGTTAATTACTAAAAAAATTCTTATTAAAAAACAGACACTTACCCTTTGTGGTAAAAAAAAGGTTCATTATTATCCATAAAAATATTAAATTAGGAGGAATTTCTTCAAGTTCTACCTTAATTATCGTAGGTTATGATTAATCTAGTTAATATTCCCTGAGTTAATTAATAAGTATCTTCCTATTAAAAGAATACACACTTACCCATTTTGGTAATAAAAGAAAAGGTTCATTATCATCCCGTAAAAAATATAAAATTAGGATGAATTTCTTCAAGTGCAGCATTGGGAAAAACCGGTCAAATGAGAAATTACCAAGAGCTGCTGCAAGGGCATATCTATAATTAAACGTAAGATATGAAAAAAATAAAGATAAGATTAATATGAACAATTAGGCAATTAGTGGAAATTTCCTCGTAATATATTTCCGGAATTGAGTCCGGTCTTGACTTATTTCCTCCTTATGATTGAGATCGGACGGTCGAGATACGAACGGCGTATATTGATGGTGCGGTGGAACCCTCGTCGCGGGCTTCCGCCCTCCACTGTCTGCTAGCGATTTGACGACGACCATCGTCCCGTTGTGGACCGGCACTCGAGACCAGCGCGTGGGACAAACCCGGCGGCGGGGCTCTGTCAGCGTGGGCCCCATATATATATATATATATATATATCTCTTCTTTCTCTCTCCCTGGCTCATATCTTAGTGTGGAAGGGGGATTTCGACGACCACACCCTCTCTTTCTGGGCTGTTCTCGCCGCAGACGCGTCGAGAAGCGTCCTCTTTTACGGCTCCGTGGAGGAGATTCGTCTGCTTCGACCGGCGGTGGCGGCGGGGGTGCATGAGTAGGCCCTCGCGGCGCAACTGATATCACCGCCGCGTTTCTTCTCCATGGCGTCCGGTGCCGGCAGCGCCTCGCTTCAGAATGGTCTGTTTTCCTCTCTCGTCCTTATCTCTCTGTTTCTCTCTCCTTTTCTTGTGGCCAAAGGTTTTCCCTCGGCGCCTGCCCCTTTTTCCGTCTTCTCGCGTGTTGTTCTTTTGGAAGCATTTCTGAGCGTGTCGGTCGGTACGATGGGGTCGATTTTGGGAGAATTTCATGACCTAGTGGCCATATTTATCAAGAATAGGATCTACTTGGTCATTGAAAGGGGATCGGTTCTTCAGTCTTGAATCTTAAGGGAAGTTTTATCGAAGGCAATCAATTCAGTTTCGTTCTAAGTTTCCATAATTGAAACCCTGATTTCTGAGGAGCCCGGGATTTGAGGAGTTCCTGAAGGTTTTCCATGTCTCTTTAATCATTCTCCGAGATCGGACGATATCCTCATGTTTATCCAGTACCCTACGACATCCCCTTCCCTCCCCCCAGTTAACCCGATACTGTTGGATGCAGCTGCATCATCTGTCGAAGTAGATCCAGGTGCCAGTCGTTGTCTGTCTGTCTCTCTCTCTCCACCCCGGGATTAGGGATCTCTTAGTGGATAACAGACGCTGAAATAATCAGAAGTTTGTAGGTCGGCTCTTCAGATCTAGAACCAAGCCCTAGGCCACATCGTGGCATTCTCATTCATCCGACATGATGGAGCGCTACCACCCTCAGAGAACGATGTTCCCTTCATTTCCCCGTTGCAAGGATGCGCCAAAATTCTAAGGAAAGCCTGGGGAGGAATTTCATTCTCCAAGAATTAAGGCATTCAACAAATCATTGAACAGAAGCAGATAGAACCGTAACAGTTGTGACGCTTCTAAAACTACCAATCGTCGATTGCTTCATCGACTGAGTAAATTGGACCGACAGAATGCGAGAAGATGGAGTGATATTGCATTTTTTTTCTTTAACAGTTCGATTTACGTGACCCTCCCTATAATTATTTGAGGAGGGAGATTTCTTTTTGTACATTCCATCATAATTGATATTGTCAGAAAACATGCTGGCCCAAAATAGAGAGGCGAGCTTCGAGATCATTACTATTTGATCTCGTTAAAGCCTGGATCATCTGCTATCCGAGAGGGCTTTTACACCTTGCAAGGTCTAACTATGTGTTTCGAAGGTCCTCTCTTCAATGGCTGGTTTTTTACACTCGTCTAATTGGGAAATTCCCAAGCGTTGACAATGGTGGCTCAAGTGTCAACACCCGTTGTGGGGCTTGAAAGTTGTTTTATGGTTCACATTTCTACACACATCATAACTTATTTTTTTAATATCTTGTTATACAATTTTGGGGGATCAATCTAGTCATTTACATTTTTTGGCTTCTCAAACTATCATTTATTTGGCTATAAATCGTGCAAAAAATGTCTGCACAGTTTGTAACCATTGTAATCAGCTTATATAGTTCAGCGGGGATTTCTTTCATAGCAAGATGACCCATAAATTTTTCGTGTTTTACATCTTGTTTACATATCAATGGGCTCTATCCTTCAGAATTCAGTTACAAACTTCCTTCATAATGAGTGTGATTGCCCATTTGTGGTGAATATCGTGTTAATTTCTTCTCGATATTGTTATCATCATTCAGGCAGCCCGCTTCCGAAAAAACCCTGGGAACAGTCCGGAGCATCATCAGGTGCCATGCCTTTCAATCCTCCATCGAATGGCAGCACGAGTGAAATCGTTGAGGCGTCTGGAACCGCAAGACCCGGCGAAGTTGTGTCTGGAACAGAGGGGAATGCTGTCGTAAACAGAAACCCGATCGGCAGGCCAGTTCCCTCAAGGCCCTGGTCATCAAACTATGGAAACACTCCTGGAGGTAATTGCTGGTTCTTATAAAATGACCAGCAAGATCATCATCTTCTTAGCACTCTCATTTCAGATTCAGTGAAGAAGTTCCTCTGTCCACATGCAGGTTACGGCTCGTCGATGAACTACAACGGTGTGGGTTATGGCTCAGGAATGTACGGATCATCTTATGGGGGCTATTCGGGGCAAATGGGTGGAGGCATGTATGGAAATACCATGTACAGGGGGGGGGGTTACGGCGGGGCTTATGGCGGTGCCGGCATGTATGGAGGAGGGGGCATGTATGGCGGTGGATATGGCGCCAGCCCATATGGCGGCGGCTATGGGATGCAGATGGGAATGGGAATGGGAATGGGCATGGGGGGGGGCCCTGGAAGTCAGGATCCCAACAGCCCGTTCGGCGGCCCTGCCTCGCCTCCCGGCTTCTGGATGTCCCTCATGAGAGTGGTATGCCCCCCCCCCCCCTTGCCTCCATCATTCTTCTATGGTTTTGAGGGCGAGAATGAACATGAATTCTGACTTTTGCCCACTTCATCTCCTCCGCAGATGCACGGCGTGGTCGACTTCTTCGGCCGGATCGCCTTCCTCATTGATCAGAACACCTTTGCTTTCCACGCATTCATGTCGGCCCTCCTCCAGGTTCGTCCTCCACCGCTGGACCCATCTCCTCAGGGGTTGTTACCCGATTCCTTAGAGGCCGTGTTGATTCAATGCAGCTCTTTGATCGCTCCGGTATGCTGTACGGGGAGCTCGCGAGATTTGCGCTGAGGATGCTCGGAATCCGAACGAAGCCCAGGAAGGGGCTGCAGCAGGAGGGCCCCGGCGGCTTCCAGGGCCCTGCCGGGCCGCTGGCCATCGAGGGCCCAAAGGCCGACGGCGGCGCCTGGGACGGCGTGTGGGGCGGAGGAGTCGGCAATGGAATGTAGGAACTGGCCGCCAATGGTGCCGCCCGCCGTCCTCTGCAACATCGGAGATGTGGGTTTTCCTGAGAGATGGTGAAGAGATGTAGGAGATGAGGGGCGGGAGACCCTCTTTTCTCTTTCTATGTGAATAAGTATGGGCTCCATTATATTGAATTATATCGACTTGTTGTTCTCTTGGACAGCGCTGTGGAATCGCACGAATTCAGATTCAGCTGCGCCCTTCTATTCCTCATCTTGATGGTGCTATAGTTGGTGGGATGAGAGAAGTCTCTCTCTCTCTCTCTCTCTTCTCGGATTCCTTTCTTCGGCGAGGTGTTAGATGGCGACAGGTGGAAGAACTGGGCGAGGTGACGCCTGCAGCAGTTCCGTAGCAGTCGTGATCGGCGGGTCAGCCACGATAATTCCGAATGAACAGTCAGCGGGTTGATCGTCTTTAAGCCTCCGGCGCCGGCCGCTATCACGAGGAATTCCGGGCCGGGCCCTCCTCGGAAGTCGGCCAGCAGGGCGGGGGACTCATGAAAAGCTAATTGATACCGATCAGAAAAGTCGTACAGAGAATGCGGCGCATTTTAAATAATACAAGCTCGACAAACCTCGTCGCGCCCACCAAGGAAGACTTGGCCACCACTCGCTTTCATCGAACCGACTCATTTCCGGCAGCTTCCACAGGGGTCCACAGAGAGAGAGAGAGACTTACAGTAGAGACAGAGAGAGAGAGAGATCACAGAGTGTGCGGGGTCCTCAGGCGTATGTTTCAGGCTGCAATGGCGGATCTAGTTTTTTTCTCAGGAAGAGGAGGAGGGGGACGAACCAAGAGTGGACTACGAGTGAAGTGAGTCAGTCAGAGGAGGGGAACCTCCCTGTCGAAGACCCAGCTGAAGTGCACCGCCGGCGGGTGCTGCCTCACCCTCCCCTGCGCCCTCTCGTCCAGCTTCCGTATCCTTGGCGCCAGCCCGCAGAGATACTCCTGCGCCGCCCTCCCCTCGCCGGAGAGCCCCGTCAAGCTCCCCACCCTCCACCTCTCCACGAGGAACTCGAGAATGGCGGCGTAGTCCCTCGCCGTGTACACGCCCACCCGCTGCGCCACCGCCGAGAAGTGAGCGAACAGGTCGCCGTCGCGGCCGTCGAACATGAGATGCGCCGGCATGGAGATCTTCTTCCTCATCATGTCCGCGAACGCCTGCACCGTCCCGTCGGGGTCGACATCGAAGAGCTTCTCCACGATCTTCGCGTAGGCCGTCTCGTGGCGCTTCTCGTCGGCGGCGATGGTGCCGCAGACCTGCGCCAGCTTTGCCTCTCCCCGCTCCTTGGCCAGCCTCGCCGTGTTGCCGTGGGAGATGAAGGTCGCCCGCTCCTGGAAGGACGTGTAGATGAAGCCCAGGTAGGGGTTGTTCTCCGTCCCCGGGTCCTGAAAATTTCTCTCCCACAGAGGATCAGAAAAACCAGGCAGAAGGAGAGCTTCGGCATCCTGAGAGGATGAAGCGTCAGCTCACCATGCCGGAGCTGATGAGGTACTGGATCGTCTTCTCGATCTGGCGCATGTCCACTCTTCCGGAGAGGTAGAGGTACTTGTTGAGGAGGTCGCCGTGGCGGTTCTCCTCCGCCGTCCACGCCCTCGTCCAGACGGCCCAGGCGGCGCCGCTGGCGCCCGTCTCGTCGCGGACGCCGTCGAGGGTGTTGAGCATCGTCTGGTACGTCGGCAGCGCCTCCTCCGTGATCATGTCGCCGACGAGGCAGACGAAGTAGTCGTCGGGGATCTCCATGGCCCTCTCCCTGAGCTCCCTCACCTCCTCGAAGAACCCTTCACCGGCGGGGTCGGGGAGGAAGTCCTGCGGCTGCCAGGACCTCTCCACGGGCTTCAAGAGGACGAGTATGTTCTCCTCCGCCCACCCCTCCAGCGACTTGAAGATCTCCACCTTCTGCGGCGGCATGGAATGCGTCACCTGCGCCGGAACCTCGCGGGGCGGCGCGAACGGCTTCTTCAGATTCTCCTCCCTGGTTTTTTTCGGTTTCAACAGGAACAACACTGATCAAAAACACGGAAAGAAGAGAAGAAAAGAGAAGAGAAGATGGTGAATGATCAGACGTAATGGGACGATCCTTCACCCAGGTTTGGCGGCGGTCGGGTTCGCAGAGGCGTCGATTTTGGCCTGCAAGAACGCCGTTCCAATTCCCGAGTTCAGTAGAATGAAGGAAGCCAGAAAGAAAACGAGTGCATGCAAAGAAGAAACATAGGAGGAATGATCTCAGGTGAGCTGAGGTATCTTAACTGCGGTCGCCTTGGCGATCAACCCACCGCCGGCACGGTAAAAACCTGTGTTCCCGCCGCCGCCGGAGACCACTCGGGTGCCGGCGAGAATGGGGCCGTCGCTCTTCCCTGCCACCGACGAGACGAGAACGGATGAATTTAGAACCAGAGCCAGAAGGGATCTCGATACCAACAAGAAGGTGGTAGAAATGATCCGGCGAAGATGTCCAGAGGAACCAACCCGACCTCTCTGAGACTGCAGAAAGAGCGAGAGAGAGAGATTGAGACGAGGGGACAAACATGCGGGGAATCGGAGGGATCCGCCGGAGAGTCGACTCCCCCGGTCGCCGGAGAGACCGACCTTCGGTGAGGCGACAGTGGAAGAGCCACCATGTAGCAGCGATGCACCCACCACGGTCGCCATTCTCGTTTGACGGTGCCCTCAAAGACGACGCCGGGTGAGAGATGGGGACTGAGCAGCGGAAGGGGAAGCAGACGACGACCTTCTTATAGTGGAGCGCTGAGTGGCAGGGGAGAGAGAGAGAGATGGGGCGGAGACACCGATGCCATATGACGTCACCTCTTATGTCGGAAATCACCCGTCCAGCTGGCACGAGCCACCTGGCAGCGCCGCCGCGGATGCTTCGAGGCGCAGAAATGCGAGCCGCGTGGGCTAACCGGACGCGCACGGGCGCCGCCACCGGGCGCTGAGGTGTTCGCCTCCCGCCGACCCGTTCCGCCGCCGGCCTCCTGAATGAATATTGGCCCAGTATGGCCCATTATGACCCATTAAAGTCATCGGCCCACCTATTAATGGGCCGATGCGCACAATTAATATAAAATGGCGTTACCATAACCTCTTAGTGAGATTAAGAAACGATGGTCACCATCATCCTATTACAACTGCCCTTCCAACTTCTGCCTCTCACAAAAAATATTGTAGCTCCATCGTCCCTCTCTCCCTCTTCCTCTTCCTCTCCCTCTCTCTCTCTCTCTCCCCATCCCTCTCTCTCTCTATATATATATATCTCCGTCTCTGCGTCGCTGTCTGTGATAGTTGACTTTCAGTCACGTGGTCCTCCATCACCCGTGATCCGCATGCTCTTCCGTGGCCAGGCTTCCGCCGCAATTCCTCCCAGTTCTTACAGGGAATTCGCACGTGGCCCAAAGTTCCATCTCGGCGCATTTCCAGCTGCGGGGTATGATTCCGACCGCACCTTTACCGGCTTGCGGTACCCCCAGCGGTGACGCCCCCTCTCTCTCTCTCTCTCTCCCTTCCCCCTCTCTCTCTCTCTCTCTCGATCTCTCTCTATATACACATATAGATTGGATCTTCCTAACATAGCCGCACGTTTCTCATACCCCCTCCTCTCGTTCCTCAGCATTCAGCGCGATATGGTGATGGGTCGCAGTCAGACCTCACCATCTTCCCGTCATGTTGGAGACGACGGTGAGAAGGATGATCTCCGACGGCAGCGGCGGGGAAACGTGGGCGATAACCGGCGCCACCAGCACGATTTCATTGTGTTAAGTGCCTCGTGCGAGATTAAGACATCCTCCTAACTGCGGCAGGCCGAGATTGGCGGCGGGCGGCGGCGAAAGTCGGATGGAGCGAGAGACAGAGCATGCGGCTCCAGAGCCAGATGAAGGTCGTCGGGCGATCGAAGTCAAAACCTATAGATTGTGGGCGGGTGCAGGGGTTGTTCGCAATCCCTACTTCTAAGTCAACCTTTAGACTTTTTATCGCGCGGATGGCGTGCGGAGACCGAACCCAGGACGAAAGTATCCGACGCTTATGGGACGCGGATATCTAACCAGAACCTAACGAAGAACTGTTGATGGGAGAAGACCTAACGCCGCGCCGGCGGCGTGAAGCGGCGCCGCCGGGCTCCCCTCGGCGGGGCTTGCGACGTTTGCGGGCATCAGAAGAGTCTGAGAAACGATGGACATAGCTCCTGAACGTGCAGTTAGAGATCTCTTACAGACGAAAGTCAACAGCTACGGCATAGACTTTGGTTTCTCTGTGCAGACATGGGTTTACGGCGTAGGCTTTGGTTTCTCTGTGCAGGCACGGGTTTACGGCGTAGGCTTTGGTTTCTCTGTGCAGACAGGTTTACGGCGTAGGCTTTGGTTTCTCTGTGCCGGCGGAGCCTCCTAGACCCTTCGCCGGCGGCAGTGGTCGAGCTGCGGATAGGCTCCAGAAGGAGAAAACTCCGCGGTTGCAGCCCGCGCCCTCCGGTCGACGAGGAACCTGTGCAGGGACCGCACCATGGACTGGCCCAGATTCATCGTCAGCTGCGGCGGCGGCGGCGGCGGCGGCGGCGGCGGCCGCCGGTGCTCCGCTGTGAGATGGCGGAGCTGGCCGGTGTCAGCCTCGTCGTTCGTGTTCTCCGCCCCCGCTTCTCTTTCTTCGTCGTCTACGGCGCCTCGCTGGGCGGCGGCCAAGATCTCCATGGCCTGCCCCTCGGTCACCTTGCAGACGGAGATGCGACCGGCGTAGAAGATGGTCAACGTCGAGCAAGGAGGCCCTCCGCTGCTGCTCCGCCGGAGGGCCGCCGGAGGAGATTCTTCGACGCTGCAACTGCCGAAAAAGGGTACCCCCATCAGTTTTCCCGACCTTGGGGCCATGCTGCAGCGGAGAAGAGGAGGCCTCCCCTTTAAATAGGGTGAAAACGGCAGCAGAAAGAGAGAGAGAGAGAGAGAGAGAGAGAGAGAGAGAGAGAGAGAGGGTTATGAAAGAGGCGAAGTGGAGGGCGTCAATACGGAGAGCCGTGAGGAGGAAGGGGCGCGAACACGAGGAACACGTGAGCCGCAGGTTTTCGGATCGACCTTCTCCATCTTTGTTAAATATAGCAAATGAACCCCAGTAAATATTTATTTAACGAAGGATAAACTAAATATCGTGTTAATAATATTACAATCTATTTATTTGCTCTCTCAAGGAAATAAGAGCGTCATCTCATCCCGATCACACGAGCTGAGTTGAGCCTGGCGAGCCCAAGTCAACCATGGGCTGGGCCGCCCGAGCTGTGGAGTCTTCTGTGATGACGTGGGTATCTCTCAGCCACCCGTTCTATGACGTATACGGGATGGACCCGTCAACCGATGTTAATCATGTGGGCCCTTGGTTGTGACTGGCCCAGTCTTTTTGGCGGCTTTACTTTGAGAGTTTTGACCGCCTCCCAACGACTTTGATCGTTCCTTCTCATATCAACGGCCAAGATCTTCCAAACGGTAGCAAGAGAGAGAGAGAGTGAGCGTGGAGATCATTGACGATGGGTGCCGAATGTTTATTTATCCGACGCCAGTGCCGTAACGGACATTCGCCTTGGGGAGAAAATTACAAATTAGACCCTGAGGATTTTCATTGGGGGTATATCTAAAATATAATGCGTTTCATTGGGGGTATATATAAAATATAATGCTCAATTGGAATTTCACCATTGTATAGATTCCTGATGATCCTGACCGACCGATTGATAGGCCCCGGCCGTGGATTTCATCAGGCGCTAGCGAGCAGCTTGGTTTGACTACCCAGATTCCCCCGCAGCTGACGCGGACCAGTCAAAGTCTTCGGAAACGGGTCCCACATTCCCGCCGAACTTCTCGTTGAATGTTGCGGCTGCGATCTCGAAATCGTTACAACTCGTCGATAGACGGCAGGATTCGATGGATCTGGGATGGCATTGGACGTGCCGGTTGATCTGCACGACGCCAGATTGGGAAAAATTGCCTGTCCAGTTAAATACCGAGAGACCAGTCCCCATCACAGCTCTCATCCTCCTAGATAGAGAGAGAGAGAGAGAGAGAGAGAGAGAGGAGCCGTTCTTCTCAGCGGCAGCGCAGGAAGGGATTCCCCCGGGCGGCTGGGAGATTCGTCCTGAGGTAATGGATCTTAAGCTGCTCTTCGCTTTCTTTGGACCGCGGTCTTATCGGCTTGGTTGGTGGTCGTAATCTCCGCGAGTTCCAGACTCTGCGGCGCCTCACGCCGCCGCGGTCGTCTGGATTCGGATCAGTCGTCGGCTACTCTGGTTTTCTTCCCCATCCGGAACGTGATATCGGTTTCTGTTTGAAAAGAAATTGATTCCAAAGTCTGCGGATGAGTAATCCGGATGCTGCTTGTTCGCGCTCGCTCCCGTTGTTGCTGTTACCTTAACCTCTGCTGGTGTCTCGGCTGCTTGCTGGTTGTGCTTGCTATCGTCTGACTGCGATCTTCGGGAGCTCCTAATCCGTTGCGTCCGAGATTTCGTCTTCTCTGCGTCGTCGTTTGAGAGTTTAGGGGTAAATCTGTTCTGCTGCGGACACTGTTTCGATTGGGAGTCTCTTTCTTCTCGGTTGCTGCCGTGGGAGAAGAGAGATCTCTGCTCTGTTTCCTCTCCTCCGTCGATCCGCTCTTCCTCGTTCTGCGTTCACCGCTGGAACGTTCGATCGGGATCTGTAAGTTACCGAGTTTCTCAGCCGTTGACCGTGCGACGCTGGAGCTCTCTCTCTCTCTCTCTCGATCCTAAAATTTCGGATTCCTCTCTCGAGCTGCTCTGCCTTCGAGAAGACCGCGGGTAGACGTCCGTCCCCCTCAACGGATTCTGCTACATCAGCGGGGTTAGTTGAGGGAGGAAGGAGGGTAGTTCTCGAAGCCACGTGGGTTTCCACAGTTTTCAAATCTTTTGAATCAGAACCTCTCCCTCTGATCCACTCGCCGATTCCAGGTCATTCCACGACTTCTGGCGTTCTGATATTGTTCCTGTCTGTCCCTCCGTCTCCAAATTTCTCAGAGACCTCAGCCGAGCGGCGGCAGCGGTGGTAGCAATGGGAACTGTCGGCGACGCGGCTTCCGATGGCGGCGCGAAGAGGCGGGGGTGCTCTTGCACTAAGGAGGACTTCCTGCCGGAGGAGTCGTTCCAGAACTGGGGAACCTACCGGAGGGCCATGAGAGAGACGTTTCCGAGGCTGTGGGACCGGGTGACCTCGCGATCGCTGGAACAGTTGGAGCTGACGGAGGTGAAGGCTCGGAGCGGGCACGAGATGAAGAAGAACCTGACTTGGTGGGACCTGATCTGGTTCGGGATCGGCGCCGTCATCGGGGCCGGCATCTTCGTCCTCACTGGCCTGGAGGCCCAGACCGCCGCTGGCCCAGCCGTTGTCATCTCCTACGTTGTCTCGGGCATCTCCGCCATGCTCTCCGTCTTCTGCTACACAGAATTCGCCGTCGAGATCCCCGTTGCAGGTAAGAAAATACACACCTCCCTTTTTCCTGGTCGCAAGTAGGACATCCCTTGTTCTGTCTTCATCCACTTTTCCCGCCGAACGTGGACGCGACGGAGAAGAAGATAAACACGCCATCTGCCCGATTTGTTTTGCCGTCGTCGCCCGTTGACTAACGCCCCCCACAACCCTCTTCGGTGTCGGACCAGGTGGGTCCTTCGCGTACCTGCGAGTGGAGCTGGGGGACTTCGCGGCGTTCATCGCCGCCGGGAACATCCTGCTGGAGTACGTGATCGGCGGCGCGGCGGTGGCGCGGTCGTGGACGTCCTACTTTGCAACGCTGCTCAACCACCGGCCCAACGACTTCCGCATCCACGCGCCGGCGCTGGCGGAGGAGTACAACCGGCTCGACCCCATCGCCGTGGTGGTGGTGGCGGTCATCTGCGTCATCGCCGTGGTCAGCACCAAGGGCACCTCCCGCTTCAACTACATCGCCTCCATCCTCCACCTGCTGGTCATCATGTTCATCATCGTGGCGGGGCTGACCAAGGCCGACACCAAGAACCTCTCCGACTTCACCCCCTTCGGCGCCCGCGGCATCTTCGACGCCTCCGCCGTGCTCTTCTTCGCCTACATCGGCTTCGACGCTGTCTCCACCATGGCGGAGGAGACGAAGAACCCCGGCAGGGACATCCCCATCGGGCTGGTCGGCGCCATGAGCATCACCACCGTCATCTACTGCGTGATGGCGCTGACCCTCTGCCTCATGGTGCCCTACAAGGAGATCGACCCCGACGCGCCCTTCTCGGTGGCCTTCTCCGCCGTGGGCATGGACTGGGCCAAGTACATCGTCGCCTTCGGAGCGCTCAAGGGGATGACGACGGTGCTGCTGGTCTCCGCCGTCGGCCAGGCCCGGTACCTAACCCACATCGCCAGGGCCCACATGGTGCCCCCCTGGCTGGCGAAAGTCCACGGGAAGACCGGCACGCCCATCAACGCCACCGCCGTCATGCTGCTCGCCACCGCGATCATCGCCTTCTTCACCCAGCTGAGCATCCTCTCAAACCTGCTCTCCATCTCCACCCTCTTCATCTTCATGCTCGTCGCCGTGGCCCTCCTCGTCCGCCGCTACTACGCCGCCGGCCGCACCACCCCGGGCGACCGCATCAGGCTCGCCGCCTTCCTGCTGCTGATCGTCGCCGCCTCCATCGCCACTGCCGTCTACTGGTCCACCGAGGAAGATGGCTGGTGGCCGTACGTGATCACCATCTCCGTCTGGTTCCTCTCCACGCAGGGGCTGCAGGCGATGGTGCCCAAGGCGAGGGAGCCGACGGTTTGGGGGGTGCCGCTGGTGCCCTGGCTGCCCTCGGCCTCCATCGCCATCAACATCTTCCTCATGGGCTCCATCGACGGCAAGTCCTTCGAGAGGTTTGCCATCTGGACTGCTTTCCTCCTCCTCTACTACTTCTTCATCGGTCTCCACTCCTCCTACGACACCGCCAAGGCAGCCGCCGCCGCCAACACCCAGCAGCCGCTCAAGACACTCGAGGAGGGCGCCGCCCGCCATTAATTACCAAGAGTAGCTAAAGCACTGGCCCGCCATGATTCTGTGTCACTAGATCATCGCAGTCTCACATACAGTCTGGGGATGTACTTGCCAGTAAATATATCACAAGACAGCATTCATCATCATCATCACCAACGGTCGGTTAACGGCTGCGCAGCCGCTGAGCCATTTAAATTTACAGGAACAGACACAGAAAGACAGAGGAGAGAGACACACACAAACACACAGAAAAGAGAGAGAGAGAGAGAGAGAGGAGAGAGAGCGGGGGGGGATCTCAGGTTTCGATCTTGAGGAGGGAGTTGAGGGAGGTGCTGTTGAAGCGCTGAGCGAGGCCGCGGATGACGAGGACGATGAGGTCCCGGAGGTGCCGTGTCTGCACGATCAGCTCCACCTCGTTATCGCCGTCCACTACCACCTTGAACCGGTGCTGGTCATTCCGGAGCACCTCCACCTGCAAATGTGTACGTTTTCTTCCATACACACGTAGAGAGGGAAAGAGAGAAAGAGAGAAAGAGAAAGCGAGAGAGAGAGAGAGAGAGAGAGGAAGAAGAAGGTTACGTGGAAGGGTGGGGCGTAAGAGCCGCGGATTTCGGTCGTGGGGAAGGAGGTCTTGGAGCCCGGTTTGACGACCTTGACCCTTTTCCGGTTGACTTCTAGAATCCTTCTCTCGAGGTTTCCAGACCCTGGAGCCTGCGAGGAGCAGCCATCGTCTGGTCAGGTCAGAACTTGCTGTGGCAGAGGAGGATCCAGCTGGGTTGACCTCACGTACCTTCGCGGACTGACCCCTTTCACAGAGCACCTGATGCCACAGAGCAAGACCAGGAGAGAGAGAGAGAGAGACAGCGAGGAATTGACCATTAGAAGAATTCTACGGAAGAAGAAGAAAGAAAATATATGCAGGAGACGAGTTGGAGCTGAAGCATGAAAATACACCTCGAACTTGAGTGATCCGAGCTCCACTTTCTGCTTGACTTCGTTGTAAACATCCGGCTCTGTGGGCAAAAGAAGAAAAAGGTCAACTCCCCCTGAGTTCTCCCAGAAAAAAGGAAGGAAACGGGGCAAAGGAGAGTCAACGCCTTTGAGAAAATGCTATCTAAAATCCGTTATTTTATGAACCATACCGACGGTTATGGGCTCGGTCGATGCAGAGACGGGCTCGCCCTCCGCTCCATCCTCCCTCACCGGAGTGTAGACTACCACCAGCCGGTAACCCACATCGTCAACGTTCCCCTCATACATCCTCCCGGTCTCACCTACACAAAAGGAACAGCACGGTCAACCACCACAAAAAATAATAAATAAATAAAAAACAGTACGAGAGAGTGCCAACTTGGGCCAAGATCCATTCCTAATCAGGGAAGCAGAGGAAAGGCCAGACGCAGAATGCCAACTTGGGCCGCCAATACCTACTGCATGCCCATCTAAGCTAGATGATCATTGGGGGAAAGGGTTGACCTTTTGGGAAACCCCTGAGCTTCTCTAGAACAGTCCCCCTCCCCTTCTGCGTCAAAAAAATGGCCTGCCAACTTAGACCGGCAATGTCTACTGCATGCCCATCTATCTAAGCAAGACGATCTGTGGGGAAGAAAGGGTTGACTTTTGAGAGTCCCCCCTATGTTTCTGTAGAACAGTCCCCTATCCTTTCTGCGTCAAAAAATGGCCTGACGCAGACTGCCAACTTAAACCGACAATATCTACTGCATGCCCATCTAAGCAAGACGATCTGTGGGGGGAAAGGGTTGACTTTTGAGAGTCCCCCCTAAGCTTCTGTAGAACAGTGCCTTTGAATTCGATTTTGGAGAAAGGCAGAAACACTGGATGGAGTTGACCTTGCGAAATTAGTGAAGAACAGGTCAACGCATAAATCTGGCGTACCAGGTATGGAGATGAGATCTGGGCTCCCGACCATCGATCTTAGCCATTGAATCTTGCTCTTCCCTTCTTTTCCACCAAAATATGTACCACGGACCGCGTACAAGTTCGTGTGGAAACCTCTGCCTTCGATCTCCAGCTTGGTAATCTTGGGAATCCCTGACCAAGATTAATTAATTAATTAATTAATTAATTAAAATTAAAAATAAAAGACCACTCCTTCACATAATGCAACATTCCTGATTGGTCAACTCCAGAAACATGATTTTTCATATTGTCTCGATGCAAGGTGGGCATCGAGAGAATATTCCCCCGAAAGGCCATATGAACTGGGGGGGGTTGTGTGCTTGGTTTTATGGGCCACAGCAGATTCAGAAATCAGTGTAAACTACAAGATAATTTCTGAATGCCAGAAATGTAAAGATAATTTATCATATTTAAAAATAATAAAATTGAAGAATAAAACAGGAAAAAGGGACCAAGAGAACAAAGAGAGAGATCAATGAAATAGTCGCACAACAAGTCTTCTCAGAGTTGACAAATATCGACCAATTCAGGAAAAAAATCCTCCCCGAAACATAATATGCATACACATCTTTTTTTTCCTTTTTCGTTTTTATTTTTTATTTTTTATTTTTTATTTTTCCTTTTTCTCCTGGTGTTTCTGTGTGTGTGTGTGTGTGTGTTTTCTGAGGAGGTTGGTTGCTTGACAAGGAGTAGGAGGCCCTCCTAGCCTCGGATCGAAGGTGATATGAGCAGAAAAACAACAGCAGCAGCAGCATTACGAGGCATCAAACCTGGTAATATCGGAGACGTTACAGCTGACACGGGTTCACTAGATCTTCCAAAAACGTCTGTAGCAATGCACTCGCATCTCAGGCATCGACCAATGTCCTTCAGCTGCAACTTATATGAACACGATCTTTGGGAGGATAGAACCTCGAAGGACCGAGCGTCATCACTTTCTGTAGTGATGAACCTGCAGGAAAAGATCATATGGACGAACGGGTGGTTGTGTGATCGACATACAGCTCCAGGCCGGAAGAAATAATACCATTCACAGGATTTGGCAACGTACCATTGATATTTGACCTTCTCCTTGTATTTGCTCCAAACGTTTCTCTGGGTAATGCTCTCGGGGATGATCTCCACGGCAGTCAGTGTCTCGCCTTCGACTGCACTTCCGGCGAAAGAGAGCCTTTGGATCTTCGGGATCTCTGAGGAGATGATTGGGAGCCTCTTAACCACAAATGATGAAATGCAGATATGCTCTCAATCTTTTCCATCGACTAACAACTAGGTGGAGGTTGTTGTTGAGATCCATGTCATGGTGGGTCACTCTTTTTTTATTTTTTTTTATTTTCCATGAAAATATTGTCACGGAGAAGAAACATCATGTTTCATTCCTCGGATACCTAGTTCATCTCTTTTTCTTCACTTAATAAATAAATATAATTCAATAATAAGAATGCATGGTTTTGATTACTACATATGAAACTGCTGCCCAAACGCCAAACACTGAATCCTCTTCAGTCCCACAAGTAAATTGATGTAACTGCTCAACTATTAAGCCGACCAACTCTATGAACAGCCCTCATTTGCACTGCTACACATATGAAATGAGCAATATTGGCCATGGAACATACCATTTATGCATGGATGAATTATTATAGCACGAAATGTGTTCTAAAGTCAGGATCAAAGTATGATCGGCAGGGAATCAGTGGATAGAAGTACAATCACAAAAATAATCAAGAAAATGAGCACAGGATATTTATTCGTAGATAAAGAATTATAGAATGAGGGAAAATATATTTTTAATTACCAGGAAGAATAATATCGGTGCGCTCAGAGAGTCTCAACTCCCCAACGACTGAATCGGAGCGAACAGGTGTATACCTGCCAAATGAATTAGAATTCAAGTGAGAAAATGAGTTTAGGTAGTGATAACTTGCTATTATGCTCATAAAAGTAACAAAAATAACAAGAAATCTGAGAGTGAAAGTGGGCACAATCACAAACATCGGGATCATGGCTTTTCAACACGAGGAGATTTTCAGTAGAAAATGACGGCAGCTATTGCAGACTTGTTAGAATTCCTACAAGCTCCATCAAGTAAACCATACAACTGGCTGACACAAACTTGTTTTCTTATAAAGCTCGAGAATGAAACCTCCATCCTGGTTAGAAAAGAGTCTCATCCATGTTACCAGCATTCTATATGATCCAGGGGCTACGTAGAATATAAAGTAATCTAGCTTGAAGTTCTTTTGATTATCAAATGACACGTCCAACTGACACATGGAATTAAGTTCAACAGAACTGGAAGTAACGAGCATTAACCCAACTTCCAGTTAGCTCCAAAGCTTAAGACCTGGAAGTTCATCTCAACTAAAATGATGTCTAGACACCGATTGTTCACGTCATATTTCATCGCAATGAGTGTGAGAACAGGCAACAGTGAAAGAGAGAAATGCATTAAAAATGGGAAAAAATACCCAAGATAGAAAACAAATGTGGCAAACGCGATCAAGGGTAATCCGTTCAACCGGATCGAAGGCACACCCAGTTTCGTTCACTAGGAACACAAGTCAGCTGAAATTATCCCATCATCGAAACAGGGTACATTTCTTCGTTCATTTATGCAACAGGCATCGGTGCAACATTTTTCCAAAGCACATGACAATGATATATATATATATATATATATATATATATATATATCAGGTATCTCAAGGCTATTTCGTCCAAGACAATCTACCCGCATCTGGTGGAGATCCAAGTTACTAGAGCTGGCAATTGAGCTCGAACCATAATCGGATACCCTTAGGAATGAATAAATCAACCAAGCTCTTATTTACTTATTATGTGAACTACACATGATATTCGAGCTAGCCTCATTTATTCCATAGTCTGGGAGATATGATGATATCAGACTTCTACTAGGACCAGAAATATTCAAAACACACTCCAGACAATTAATAGCAATGCTCATGGCATAGGATAGCCAAAATAATAAGACAAAAGGGATCAAAACCTTGTGACCTGAACCATAGGAGAGTGATTTACCCAAATAACAAACGGGAATTGTAGTCCAAATCTATAACTTCGTATGTGTTAGAGTTTGCTCCATCGATTAGAGTAATTGCTCCTTCATTTGTTTCTCTGTACCAGCTGTACATACTCGATCCCTCATGTCCACCATAGTAAATACCTTCTCCAATATATACTCCAACTGACAGCTCTTTTGTTTGGACACCAGATACAACAGGGGGGGCTGTACATTACCAAGAAGATATATTAATATCAGAAAGAACTAACAAAAATGTATTTCGTACCCAGAAAGTAACATGACCTGCTGTGACAGGGGAGTTGCTGATGGCCACCAAAGGATCACCACGCTTTCCATCAACTCGTGTAGGTACCCAGTACAGTATCAGATACAAACCAACATCCTCAAGAGATGGTGTATATGTCCTATGATGACCGATCATCGATGTCAAAGATCATATCAAACAGGCATGATAAGGAAACAGAACTAAAGTCACAAAGCTTACTGCATTTTTCCACAGATAACAGCCTCATTAGAGTGAGAAATATTTCTTAGCTCTGAACCTTCAAGTTTCCTTCTACTTCTATACCAAACATATTGCCCATTACCCTCTTCTCCACCATAATAGGATTTTTGAGGAACGACTTCGTGGTCCTCGGAACAATCCGGAACAACAAGTTCAGAACCCTTTGGTTCCGCTGTTCAAGTGAGATAAGCAGCATTAAAACTCACCAAGTCACCGACTACACAAGATGATTATTTTTTTTTTGAAACAGAAAATAATTACAATATAAACAAAAAAAGCTTGTTCCACATTCAGCGAATAAGTCCAATGAGTATGCAGACAATTAACTTCTAGATCCATATTTTTCTGAATGTGGAAGAAGCCACGCCAATGTGTTAGGTGCCATATGTTTACACAAACATCCTCAACTCCACCATACCTGGAGAAATCACAGTTGAAACAATGCTAACTGGGGTTCCTCTTAATCCATCCTTCCGTATGGGTGTGTAAAAAAGTTCAATGCATCGCCCGACATCTGAAAGAGTCAAGTCCAAGAACTCTGCATGTGGAAGAACGCATCAAAATGTGAACGCATCAAAGGAAAAATGTGAAATAATCAAAGGAAACAATGGCGAAAAGAAGATCACAAGAAAGATAATTAGTGAAAGTGAAGAAGAGAAACTGCTTTGACTAAAATATTGTGAAGACGATGAATTCAGTTATGAATAAAATTGAATCGAGTTCTAGAGTGGTTAACATAACAAATTATAATAGGAAACCTACTACTCAGTTCAGTTCACAGCTATGTTGACAAAGATCATGCGTGAAATATAATAAGTAAATTCTTAGGAATGGAATCCTATTTTCGGCGCATCCCACGGTTAGCAGTAAGAAGATACAGAGGGCGGGACCAGGAAGCTTAACGTAGAAATCGTATTCCGCAGCTACCTTTCTTGGAAAGAGAGGAAAAACATCGGGCATTGTTGTAAATCCCATACTGAGTATGACTTGTTTTTGAAGAAGATGATTGTATATCGTAAATTGTAAAGCAGAAGACATTGATAATCAGCAGCATTTTAGCAAAGATATACAGATTTTGTGGATGTTGATTCCTAAGCTGGCCACAATGATCAGCCAAAATAACACAACCGGGTGAAGAGAAAGGAAAAAAAAAGGTATTTTAAAAACGTAGCGGCATCAGGGTATTGTATTTCATGATAATGTAGACAATAAACATGATTAAAAGAATAACCGGTCAAAGCCTGAAAGTATGTTTAGGTAGGTACGAAGGAAAAGGACTCGAAACATGAAAAGAAAAAAAATGAAGTACAGTTATAACGGTGAGAGACTTGGAACAACACATGTAGTAATAGCTGATTGGAGTATATAACAGATATTTATGAGGTAATAATCGGGCATCACAACCCATGAAGTTACAATATACTCTCCACCCAGTTTAGACCCCAAATGGCAGACAGTAGCTATTAGTCAATGATCTGAAAACTTGAAAGAAACATAAAGGAACTATCTGCAAGGTTAAACTAGCCAAACACTAGGATTTCAATAATTAAGAGATACAATTGGCATTTTTTTCGATTATAGGACACAAGGATTTCATACATTTCTTCTATGACGTGAGAATAATATAAATATAGACTCACCAGTGTTACTTAGCTTCTCCCTGAACCTGTTGTTTTTAACCCTATACCATTCCTGTGTGCACTCCCCTCTCTCCCTGGAATGCAGAAGCATGAAATTTCAATTCCTTGGGCAACACAAAATTAACCTCAAAAAATTCAAGGAATGTTTTATTCACACCCATACCCTCCAACATATGCGACAGTAAAGCTCAGACGCTCTCCTTCAGTCATTGAACCCAGAAATTTAAGCGAATGACAGGCAGGTGGCCCTGAAAAACATCAAGTAACAGAGATTAAACTAGAATAATACACTGGACATAAAACAAAGTATTGCAAATCAATAAACAGAGAGGTGGATAGTTGATTCAAAATCCAAGTGTCATATGTTACCAGTCATCCCGACACAGAAAACAGCATAACCATAAAGGCAATGAAAATATCTACGAACGAACATGATAATAGATCAATGGAAGGATAGAAAAATCAAGCAATTAAAAAGAAAAAGCCTTACAACTTGACGCATGAAGGTAGATTACTTCAAAAATGAAAATAATACACACTTATTACTCATTCTGTGATGCATGCAGGCATACCCCTCCCCACGCACACACGAATGAGAGTTGGATGCTGAAATGCTAACATTGGGAAAGGGTGGCAGAATGATATACCAATCAATGCATATACAAGGTAAAAATATCAATGAACGATAGCAGAGACAGAGGATAGGTCATTCTTTTTTCGAAAATGTGTGGTAGAGTAGGGGTAAGCCTACAGTCGCGGACTTAGAACAGATCAACCAGATCAAAACATTAGCGTAGATCTTGATGCTTACAGATAGAATTAGGTCTTATTGCCAATAAACGAATAGTGAAACAGCTGTCAAATGAGCCCCGAACTTGAAAGAACTCCAAGTGAATTCTGTCGTCGGGATGTGTCTAGTATACTGTCTAGTTTACCGTAAGTTTTTGTAGTTATATGTCTGTGTCTAGAACCTTCCAGGGGTCTGATATAAATACCAGATCCCACTTCCTTTGTAATAGAGTTTTTCCTTTTAACGAATAATAGAGGATTTTTCTCTCCACTTGCGCTGTGGTTACCTGACAGTGCGCCAGATCAGATTCAAATCTTCTACAAATTCATTAACCCAAAGATTCCTTATTTTATTTGAATTACTCCAATTTTTTAACCACCGTTATTAGGTTTGGATGGGAGCTAATTTCCATGCCTATTTCAGATCAAGGTTTCAAATTCTCAGCCAGATCAATTAGTTGAAAGAACGAACTCTGGGTTCAAAAACTTTAAACCAAGACCATGGTCAATACTGTTGATTCTGCAATTTAGTTTTAGATTAAACAGTCATAAAAGAATATGATACTATTAGCTAGTTAAAACAGCATGTTACAGATAATCGCAATGCACAAAAGCACAAATGACAAAATGACAAACAATCAGGTAGGACAGTTGTCCTGCAAGTATTTCAAGCAACTTACAGTAAGTAACTCGGCTCATCAGATTACTAATGACTACAAACCTGGTAAAACAGGCCCAACAAGCTCTGAAAGAACAGTTGGACCACAGGCTCCATCATTTCTTACAGGTTCGCATGAAACGTATATTGTGCAGCCAATATCATCACTGGACGGTGTATAACACGCAGCTGACGCACCTTTAATTTCTTTTTCCACTCCATCAAAGTTTTTCTGCAAAATGTCATTAAACAATGCAGTCAACTCTCAAAAGAAACACAAGGGATAAACAAAAATATACTCACAAGGAAAGCATAGCAATTAATACCATACCAGGAACCAACGAAAAACTGAGTTACCCTCTTCCCCTCCCCAGTATTTTTTTTCAGCCACAAGTGTTATTCCTTCAATAGCCTCACCGATTATCTGCAATGATAACAACCTTGGACTCCCTACGTATAGATAAAAATTTCATCAGCATAATTTTTTCCTCCAAGAGTTTATGATTCTTTTGGGTCACGAAGGCGAACATAATTACCAGGCTGAACTCGATCCAATCCCAAGCAGGTCCTTGGCTCACCAACACTCCCGTCATCTCGCACAGGAGTGCATTTAAAGGAAACAAACTTGTCAATGGCATCCTTTGTTATCCGGTACTGTAGAAAACCTGATGCCTCCGGAATCAAGGTGCCCGAGTCGGTTTCACTCTGCAGGTAGGTTGAAACATTAGCGTGAAACAAGAAAGATTCTTACTTCTCCCATAGAGCGAGAAAGGCCAAGCATTTACCTCATGAAGGAACCAATCATACAGACTTATGCCCTCATGCCCTCCTATATATCCATATGATGCCGTTAACATGTCACCCTCATAATAGTTGCCGATAACTGACAGAAAATTCAGGCTTGGCGGCAAAGCTGATAACCATTGACCATAAGTTTAGTAAAGATAAGTTTAGGTAAACATAGGTTTCGCTTAAAAAATGATCTATGAAATTGAAAAAATTCATACAGGAAGATCATTCATGTTCAACATTAGACATGTTATTTATTTGCAACATAGATTTAAATTTATATTTTCTCATATCATCCTCAATATGCTGATGTTCCGGAAATGAGCTAGGCCTCAGGCCAAGCCTGGCACAAACAGCCGCACGTGGGGTGTGAAGCATGTGAGTGAGCTTCCATGCAGGAGGTGAACATGGAGCAGTCATAACCTTATGGAAATCTGGGCATCTGGGCCCCACGACCAGGCCGGGTCAATCCGTTGAAATATAAGAAAACAGATGTCTCCATGGATATTGATGATCAAATTGTTTTCTACACAGAATTAACCTATGGAAGAAAAGACCCCGAAGTAGTACACGATCTGTTTTGATAAAGAGCACAATTTAAGATTTTATAAATGTTTTAAATAAATAGGATTTTGCCATCATTCATTTTCAACCGAGATCTGCCATAGAGAAGGTCAAATATTCCAGCATCACGCATCATTCTCTCACTCTTGGTATCGACTATTCCTAAGCCTAGAAGATGCTTTGAGGTTTGTCCTGTGCTTGTGACCTTGGAATGCAGATAAGAGTGCAGTTTTCTCCGCTAATTGGTCCAGTAAGATATTTGACAGATCCTCTCTCGTCAGACATCTTAACCACGTCTGTGCTTTCCTGAAGATTATTGGCCCCAGGCAAGTAACCGATCAGAAATTTATCCCAATCTTTGAGCCTATAATTGAATGTACGCCACCCAATCTTGATGGGATAAAACGTATAATAACAATCATGATAATTCGAGCAATAACCATATTTTGAAAATTTGTTTCTAGACCTTGGGCATGGATATGGTTAACTATAAAGAGTCCGAACATTAGGAGATTTTGAATTGCTTCAGATTCGTTCGAGTAGCTACCAAGACATCAATATATCTCATACGATCATCAATATGCGTCATTATTTTTATCCTTTTAACTAATTTCATGTCACCAAGCTATCTGTACTAACTTAAACAAGGCATGAAGACAGAAGTCTTTCTTTCTTTGCTGACAATGACGTAAAGCCATTTTTTCCTGGACGAATAACAATAGTAGCCGTTTGGTGGACCTCACCTACTGGATTTTTCCCATCATTTCATCGCCTATAGCACACTATGAATCCTCATTGTAAATAAAAACAAAGAGATAGATCAGGTAGTCAAGAAGAGAAACAAAGAGATAGCATCCTAAAAAGTACTTACTTTCAACTGACTTCTCAGAAATGGCATACGCTGGTTCTCCTGTTTCACCATCTGGCGCAATAGGTGTGAATTTAGCAGCTAAATAGTAGCCGACAGCACCAAGAGGAACCCGGAAAGCCTAAAAATTTGTATAACCCAATGGAGTAAGTCGAAAGAGACAAAATGCTTGAGCAGAAGTGTAGCCTGAAGATATGACTATGCTTCAAAACATAAATAAACAGAAATTACTGTTTCTTTCCCCCACCTTTGCAATCTTGGATGTGCTCAGTGCTTCAAGACTACTCTCATCCTCAAACTTTGACGAGCCAGCCTTCTTAAACCATTGAACTTTGCTGGATCCTTCAGTTCCCCCAGTGACAATAGCAGTTACTGTTACTTTATTCCCTTCCCTTACATCTCCAACTATTTTCAAATTGCTCACCCTTGGAGGGGCTGAAATGGGGACGCAAGCAAAGATGTGAGCTAGTGAGAAACTGTACAATGTCCCGTTAGAAATAACATGAAAATTGTGATTTATGTTCTGTAAAAAACCGGGAAACGAAAAGTATTCGTTTATCCAAAACAACTGAAAAATGCAGATAAATAGATACAAGCGTGTTCAACTAGATGAAATTACACTATTTTTAAATGGATATGAATACCACCTATCGGTCCAAGTAACAGATGGTTTTTAGCAACCTCGAATCCATCCAATTAAAAGAGAGCGACAGATAACATGAACTATTGAACGGTGAAAAAAAGCAATGCAATATGGTAAGCTGTATACGCCTCCAAATAACTTCCACGTAACCTGCAAAGGGCCCCTTCGTGCACAGAAGCAGAAACAAATCTAACCCATGTTACCAACATCAAAAATATAATGTGACCCCGACAGTAAAACGGAGGAGCATCAGAGTTTCCCACCATCTAGAAGATTCATCTTGTAACAATACAGTTGTTTTTTAGATGTATTACTAGGCTCGCAATAAACTATAGGTCAGAAAAACAAAGCATGGGTAGTCCCCAGGCATGGAATTAACAATTTCCACGGATAAAGAATCATGTTTCTGAGGTAGCCAAAATCCTGCAGGTCAATAGAAAATAGTACAAGAAAAAATTTCAAAGTTCGATCTCATAAACAGAATATCAAAATTATTCATCTTTTGTAGATCTTTCCGCTTTACAAGTCCACCAAAAGAACATGTGAAGCAGAAATGATATTAATAGTATATATAAATCATCATTATGTGCATGCAGAACCAAAAGAATATGGGATGTAACTGGATATGACTATTTTCCGAAATTTAGACGAGAATGTCAGTATAAATATTCGAAATTACCCTTTCTGATTTTCTCACTCATGACAGTAACAGATTCCCCTTCCTGTCCTGAAAGTTAGATAGAAAAGGATATCATAAAACGAATATCCAACAAAAAAAGGGGAAAATGAAGAATCAAGACACCCATCATCAGATTCAATAAAGTACCTTCAAAATTTATAGGAATATACACAAATGACAATCGCCGCCCAACATCATCTTTCGTCAGTGAGTACTCCGCCGCACCCACAGATACTACATGAAGCTCACTACACCAGAAAAATATCGAACTCAAAATTTACAAAATATAAAATGTCCATGATGTATTTTCGTCATTCATAAGACATCAATTCTTTTTCATACAGCTCTTTCGCTGATGTTCAATTAATATTGCACATGGATTAAAAGATGGAAAAAGGGAAAAATGATGGAAATAAAAATTGATACTGGTGATCTAATGGCCACGGACTAAATGCCTGTGATTCTTAAGTTAGGTAACAAATAAAAAATATAATGATACATGCAGAAGTGTGATGATATTCTTTATAGATTGATCTTTAGTAAGATCAGCTGCTATTTACCCACCTGTTAGATAAGATTTCAACCTAAAAGATGTGAGCAATAGGTCATTGTTTACCCGAATCCATTTTCAATATCATTCTCCTTCACAAATGATATTTAACAAATGAATGTCACAGATTGAGACTTATGTCCTCATGATTTTCTCCCTAAACCTAAGGCGCCAAACAAAGCGAGAAAGAAGGTTCTCCTCAGAATGTAAAACGACACACGTTTTTAACTCTTTTGGCTGATTTTCCCGCAACGGAGAAAGAAATTCGTCAAATCAGGTCCGAGTTTTATAAAGATCCTGATAACTAATTAATTTCTAACTTTATTCCAATCCTTGCAGAATTATTTGGATGATTCAATCATTTTTATTCTGAATCTCCTTAAGTTAAGGTATTGCAGAATAGCCTTTTATGGAGATTCCAGTGAAGATATTTTGTTTACGTTGAGAGGTTGATGTTCGATCATGTCATGAACCAGACCTATGAACTATCCCCCAGTTTATCTGGATTCCACCTTAACCAATCCTAGGTCTGATTTTGACGGGAACCGGCCTCTGTAAATGACGCCACATGTAGGATTCATCACAGATGGAGATAACTAGATGTAAATATACGTGTGCATCATCTTAGTCGACTACGGATTGTCGTAATTTAATCAATCTCTACAGTAATGTCCCATAATTGAGATGTATCTTAACGTGCATCCAGCTTTTCTTCATGACGATAAAAGAACTGCCTTCTTTCAGACAATAGCATAAGCTCAAAAAGCATTTTCACCCAACCTCAAGGGAATATATCTCTGAAGTTAAAATATGATTAGTTTGAGTAGGTATGAATAAAATGAAAGAAAAACACTGACCCATTTTCCTTCTGTTCACGTAACCACTCAAACTTGCTTGGACCTTCTTTTCCTCCAAAGTATTCACCAACACCTTTGATAGTATTTCCTTCAACAGCATCTCCCAATATCCTTACGTTACGAACTGATGGGAAAGCTGCAATGGAGCAGGTATGGAAAATATAAAAGAATTATTTCAAACATTCCATTTAGTTCATAATCCAAGCACAATAGGGATGAAGAACATAAACCCAATTATATATAAGCAGGAACCCTGTGGCCAGAAGATATCAACAAAAAAAAATGATGAAAAAGAAATATTATAGGCATCGTCATCATCATCAAAAGCCATGGCCATGAAACTGTCATCAGCTAGGTATTTCGTTAGGTTAAAAGGACAACTTTCTTTCCATGTTTCACACGCCAGATAGTAAGCCCAAAGTAAAGCCAAGATGATTGTTATCTTCTGTCATTTACGTGTCTAAAGCTTTGCAGCGATAAACCTAATTGACTAAGTATTGAAGAAGCATAACCTTTACATAATCATAATTTAAGAAGATGGACCATCTTTGAGCTGCCGAAGTCACTGGGATATCTAAATCAAAATGTTTATGTAATGATCAGAGTACGCTCAACTTTGTCATCACAAATGTGTTGTTGTAGTAACTAATGCGAGAATGTTCGCAACAGAACCTTATATACAGATCCAAATCCTTCTCATGCAGACAACATCAATGCCATGTCGTCCAAGAGAAAAAATTGGCTCCAAAACCATGTTAATGTTCTTCAGTAATCCAACTTGAAATCAATTGGCAATGAATGCAGTGCATTCATCATTCAAATCACAGGCTTACAACATTAGTAAACAATACGGAATTATTTTCCGCAGCTAGGATGAAGATGTGACAAGAATGAAGATCAATAAATAAACTATGTTCTTTAGCATTTCTCAAAGTCGAACTGTGCGACTCTCTTTTGACAAAAATTGTCCCCCTGAGATCCTACCATTGAACGCGGTATACAGTTAATGAGCCATTCACATGAATTTATATCCTTCATGCAAAGTTTTAAAATGAATCGAGTTCCCAAATATATATATGTATATCGATCATGCAAGCATATACGTAAACAGTATATGCTAATGTAAATTGGATACACAACTGTGTGATTTACAGTGGACTCCTCTTTCAAACAAAGTTTGTGCAAAATTATTGCGAACGATAGATCAAAGTTTCTACAAAAAATGAGTTCCCGCTATTTGGTAATGATTTTGAGTAGTCTTCTTGTCACAAGAAAAAGTAAAACCGATCAGGCTAAAAAGTAGGACAGACAACCAATGCCGGAGAAAATCTACAAAAAGGGGTTCATATTACCTAACACTAGGTTACGATGAATTCTTGGACTATAGAATATAGATTAAAATAATACATATTAAATATATATTAAATTAGGGGAAAATATATCCTACATGAAAGAAAAGAAAATATATCGACATCAATCACAAAACATATCCAAGTAGAAAGAATAGTAAACTTTCAGATGAAAAGAACCTATTTACTTTCTTGAGAAAACCAACCTGGCTTTACAAAATCAGTCATTGCATATTGTGGCTCGCCTTTGATACCTTCCTCTGTCACAGGGGTGTACATGAAAACTAGACTACAATCAATGTCATCAGCCGTCAAACTATATTCTTCATCTTCAGCCCCAGCGATCACTACTGGACTACTATTCCATCTTCTCCTCAGCCAGCTGAAATATAAAATGCAAGGTTTTTTTACTCGATGAAATGGCATATCTGCTACTATCAGGTATCACAATATACGAAAACAACGAAATTCAAACCGATAAAAGATTTTGAATTGTAGGGAAATTCAAATGTCACCTTGCAACACCTTTCGCTGGTGTTCCACCACACCATGCAACCTCAGCAAAGCCTTTGATCACACTGCCCTCCATAAGTTCCCCGTGCAAAGTAAGATTAATAACTTTTGGACATCCAGTACCTGCATAGAAGCATGAAATGAAGTTTCCAAACATCATTCAGGTAGACACAGAAAATATAAAACCATGGAAATGAGCATAATTATTTCCTATTAAATCGGATATGTTATTCGTTTCTCAAATGTTTCCTTTTTCCAGAAGGCTTTTCAAGACAGTAGAATCCATTACCACACGAGCTAAAAGAGCTTCGAGACGGCTGGATTTAAAGCCTTAAAGGCCAGGGAAATACATAATAGAAACAATGTTTTCTTCGGCCACTCAAACGGCCAAACATTCATCAAAAAGGGAAAGTACTCCATGCTTTTTGTTTAGAAAAAGGCACTATTCACTTCAGTGCTATAACCTCAACACAGAAAACTAAGAGACTTATTGTTGATGCTAGATGTATCTGTCCATTTATCATGTATAAATGTAAAACATGTTTAACTCCAGATTGTCTCAGTAATAGACCATTCTACAATGCTTTATTTTCATTACCCCAAGAGGTTTTTAAGAAAACAATGGGGATATAGAACTCTTGTTAATCAAGGTTTTTAAGAAAACTGACGAGTTCTGCACATTGTGAACCGAGGTTTGTCGCTTCTCGGAAGCCTCCCCTTCCTCGAATCCGAGGAAGGGGAGAAAAAATATACATATTGTGATTTCCGACCTGAGGCAAAAGGAGCAATCACTTCTGGCTGTCCCAGAATCAAAAGATAATCTCACACAATCATTAAATAGGTTGTCCGGCTCCACAGAAGGCATATGTGTAAGAGTGAAGACGACGAGATGAACAGACAGATCCAACTGGAGCAGGACGTATCATCTCAGTTCAAATCACAAAATTATTTTAAGTTGATCACAGATGAACAAGATATGCATCACACTGACATAATGGATTCATTGCGTTATCCAAACATAATGGAGGAAACTTACGTGAACTATTGTACTATTCAAGAGAAGACCTGCGCTGAGTGTTTCTAGTTCTGGTTCTAGTTCTAGTTCTGGTTCTAGTTCTAGTTCTGGTTTCAATTCTGGTTCAGCCAGGGAATCAAAATCGCGTCTATGCATTGCTGGTTCACAAAAGGACAGTAAAGTTATCCCAAAAAAAAAAAAAAAAAGAACAGCTTTTAGTTTGTTTCAGACAGTTATGACCACCTCTACATGTCCGGGCCAATTTTAGTACAGTATCGAACAGCTTAGGCCCAGTAATGACCCTGCTCTGAGCACAAAGCTGACAAAAGAGAAACCGTAACGATCCAATTTAACTGACTTCCCATTCATTGGGGTAGTTGCCAGGCTTGACTAAAACAGCTACATAGTCTTAAAAAAGCCCATAAACTGAACGAGAGAAATCATAAGTGGCGTGAATTACTAGGAAAACAATTGCAAGTAGATGACTCCTAAGGCCGTAACAATAAATCTGGAACCAAAAGTGCATATGCCCAGGAAGAGTCAACCTGAGAATTACATTCAACAACCAACATCTTAAAGCAATGGTTCCATGGATCTGTGACTACGTATTTTCCTAACTTCGAAATACATTACAATAATGATCATTTACTGACAGAAACCTCAAGTCATTAGATACAAATCCGGAATATAATGAAATTTCAGAAGTTATTACATCATCTTAGAGAGAAATAGAAAATTTCCATATTTCAACATTTGGCAAAAAGTCCATAGAAGCTCCCATGTTATGACCGATAACAAAACAAAAACTTAGTTTCACGATGTACTAACATTGAAATATGGTAGAGGCATGGCCTCAAGAAATATGAAATTTTAATTTACGAGAATTACTTATAGATACAGTGTCATCGCAATCTGTTACTAAGACATTAATTTCAAAGTGCAAAGGGCAGCAAAGTGAAAATGCAAGAAGTTTGAAGAATACAAACGAATTACTTATCAGAAATGTATTAAATACTGGAAATAAGTTCAATATACCTGGACAAACTGGTGATGAAATAGCAAATAAAGGAGAATACTCGGTCCCCTCCAAGACTGGGGTGCATTCAACCTTAAGATATCTGCCAACGTCCTCGTGTTTTGGCCAGTAAACCTATCCAAGAACCAGTACGGTAGAGTAAAATAATACATAAACGAAAAAGTACATTACCACAGCACAATTTTCAAGAACCGACCTCGCTGACTGCATCAGCAACAGACACAAAATTGGTTGGTGTTTTTTCTCCGATAAACCATTGATACTTCAGGCACAACTCGGCAGCATTGTTCACCATTGAGTCCTTGACAAAGACAAAGTGGCAGTGACATGCGTCTTGTTCAAATGGTTGTTCAACTGAGGCCTTCTTAAGCAAGTAACCAGGTGGCAAATGACTTTTCCAGTATTCAGCAAGGAAGCGAAATGTTGAATCTGATAATAAAACCAAATAAATATGATTAGGAATGATGACCTTAATTTACAGGTCCAATTTCCTACGATGAATACATATTATTGACGAGGAATATGGTGACAAAAAATAATTCTGAAACATGAGTATGTCGAGTATAATCATTGGCAGCAAATGGATGTGCCAGAGATGTTCAGAACCGCATTTAACAAAAATACAAGAATCCAGAACATCTGTTACGAAATAATTATGGCCATCACCGAGATATGGCTGTCCGGTCCATAGATACAGTTCCCAACATCAACTTATTTCGACCAGAATCAGCTTTGTCCTATCCAATTTCAAGACGGCAACATATGCCTCATCAAAGTCACGTAGAGTCAGGGCCCTTAAGAAAAATATGGGAAGGAACTGGGAATTCACGGATTCCTTGCTGATCTGTTGAAATACAGCATACTCAGGGCATAGCGGGACTGAGCCATGTGCAGATAGAAAAAATACAATATAGGAATATAGGCACCATTTCAGATTTTATGGACAGCCTAGAGCGCAAGTAAAGAAACTGCGGTAGGAGCACCATCCAAAAGGGATCTTTTAGGTTGTCTTTTGAGGAAAAATACCCAACCAAAGTCAGCATGTTAATTTGAGATGTACGATTTAGAAATTATCCACTGGTGAAAGGTTTAATGACCATGGACTAACCATTGAAGAGAGTTGCATGTTCTGCGGATCATTCAAGAACGCCATTGATCATATATGTGTGAGATCGGGTACTAGCAGCCCAAAAAAATCTCCAAAAGTCATTCATCAGACAATGAGCATAAAGAATCAGCTACTTGTCTATTCTAAGGACTGTGATGGGAGGAAAGTAAGCACTATATTTGACTGGAGTTTCAAGGAACGGTTATCACCCTCTTTAAAGCGCTCACTAACGGCATGGTGGACCATTCGGACCACCAGATGGGGGGAGGTCCTCAAACACAAAAATGAAATAGTTAAAGAATTCGGTGCTCAAGCTATGCTGATCTTTGATTTCCGATTTATCACCTCAGTCTGCATTTTCTGTTCCTTCGTAGACTAGTGATAGGACAAGAATTAAATTCCCAGTTGGAAGATCACCATTTAATTTCAGACAAGTGGAGATATTTCTTCAGAAATACCCTCTTAAAAGTGCATTAAAAACGGTTCTATTCTCATAGAACAAACGGGTTGGTTTAAAACGGCGAGCATTTTTTCAAAAGTTACAAAAAACTGAACATTATAGTTTCGCTGAAACTAATTCTTGACTCTCATGCTAAAGACTACGAGAAAACTTCTGAACATGATAAAACATTGCAAACCAATTTCTAAACTTCCTCTAATTTGTAGAAAACTCAGAATTGTTTTTTACCATTAAGATCTTTGAAAAATGGGTACGCAATTTTATCTCTCAAGAAAAGTAGATTCCTGCACAAAGATGGTGGAGAAACGGTACACAATGAAGAGTTTCTACTATGTCAACTGAAGTACAGCCACTGGCAGGTGACGACTCCATAACAATAAAAGAGGATGACCCTCATCCGATAGCTTCAGAGATTGCCTGACATTTTATTATGTGATCCGAAGATTCGATGCTGTGTAAATGAGTACAATCGTGCCACGACTATGTCATCTCTGTTTCTAAAATAATAGAGTAAAGCCCATAAAAAATTCAAATTAAAGTAATGGACCTCGCAACCCCGAGTTTCTTATGTTTCTAGTCAAAGCGTCCTCTATTCACCTTCAAAAACAATAAAGTCATCAAGCGTCCTGATTACCGCAAGAAAAATAGCAGATATGAATCAAAAGAGCACATAATAAACCGGGGTAACAGTAAGACAATGAAAAGGAACAAAGGCTGTAGCATAAACTCTTTCAAAATTATAAAGAGAAGGAAGTAAACGCTTTCAGAGAGCAAAATCATAAAACAAACATGATTCATTACAAATCATGAAATTTTTTACAGTAGACAAAAAAACACTCGATAAATACTTACCCATGGAACGATCTGGAGGAGAAAACTCCCAACCATATCTGATGCATAATGGTGCATGTGCAGGATATTTCTTCGCAAGCTCTCGCTCATCGGGAGAAAGATCTACATAAAAATGGTGTAGCAACATTATGACTACGTAAAGAATGAATATAAATAGGTCGTCCATTTTTCAGCCCATGCCTGTTGAGGAACCTGCCATATTAATTGTCAAGTAATAGGAGCGAGCCTACATTTATGCGAAATTATTTTTTTCAATAAGGGAATCCAAAAGTTATTGGCAAACCCTCCAAGGAACTTTCAGTTTACTGGCACACATGGGTAGTGAATACGGGACCTCGCTACCCACCCAGATGTCCTACAGCCAGCAGAACTATAAATGTGTTCTGTTGAAAGACTGGCTTACTATAGAAAACCTGACCATCATAAGTGAAAATTACATAAAGATAAAGACAGGTAGAATCCAGCACTCTACGTATATAGCGGAAATAATAAAATTCTCAATAAGTAGGAAAAAACAATGACTAAATAGGTTTCGACATTACCTCTATCATTAAACTTTTTGAGTGTCGGACCAACAAGCAATATTGAAGCAGCTTCTAGATGTGGCATCTCAAGTATAGGATTCTCCTCAACTCGCAAATGCTGCATACATGTTGGAGAACAACAACTTAAAACAGGTTTTTGCCTGCATATTCTCGAGCAATGTAATATCACTGTTGCACCCAAACAAATGCAGGAAAGAAAAGGATGACAAACATATTGAATGGAACACCTGGGTGACAAAGATAGATTCAAGGGTCATATGCTGAGAAGGTTTACGGGAAAAAATGGATCTAGGACGATTACAATGGAATTGTACAACAAAATCCTAGTACTTGCTTTTTAAGAGAAGAGGCGCATGCATAATGCAGTGCACGTTTTTCCTTCTTTTTGCTCGAGAAAAACATAAATAAATATGCACTGCATTATCCATAGTTGTCTAAATATGCACTGCATTATTACATAAAGATAAATATTACATAGTTGACACCATGTTTTTCTAGGACCAATCATAATTAATATAATATTCATGAATTTAAACTTCCCCATGATAAGAAATTTCAGACGGAGCAGTACAGCAATAAATATATTTCATAACTTTGAAGACGATGGTCAAGTCATCAACATGACCTCCTTACACGTAATAAATTAATAAAGATATTTCGCACGAAATAAAATAGACTCATTGTTGTCTCAAAAAACTAAACCATCAGACTAAATGCAAATGGAAAAGAGAACCACAGATGATGACAACAAGGAATCTAACCTCAAGAAGTGGTAAATGAGGAAATCCCTTCAGTGTAGATATTTTGTTTTTACTAGCAGCCAGCACCTGTTAAGGGTGACAAGAAATAAAGTAAATCAACTTTCAAGTGACAGAATAACAATCTAGAAGCAAAAGGTGGAGCAAGCCAAACCTGCAGGCGAGGTTGACTTGCCATGCAAAGGGATTTCAGCCTGTTTTGGGCGACAGAGAGAAACTGAAAGAGAATCGTTATAGAATAAATGCACTTGCCATTTTGGTGACAGTCACTCAGGATGAAAACTATTAAAGGCAGAGCAGATGCACACACCTCCAAGTTTGGAAGCTCAGGGAGGCTTATAAGTGAAGTGATTTGATTTCCAGCAAGGTAGAGTTGCTGCATAATCAGCATTTACACCATAGAACATCCATGAAAAGTTAGAAGAGGATATAAGAAGATAAACACTTTTCCTACAACTCTATAACGAAAAGGAGTAATATGCTGACCTGGAGGGCTTTACAATTTTCTAGAGGCTCAAATCCAGGTCCTTTGAAATCATTGAAACTCAAATCAAGTACCTGGATGAAAGAATGACACTTTAAACTCAAGCTCATTCTCTGCGTCTACCTAATTCACTTGCATAAAGCCTTCAAAATAAATCTTAATAAATTGATACAATTGTTCTGAAAAAAATCATAAGAGTCGAGTACTATATGAAAAATTGAATACACTGAAAAATGTTAAATGTACCTTCACTCGCTTTAAAATCTCAACCCCCTCCAAAGATGACAAGAGATTATCCCTTAGATAAACAAACTGTAGAAAAAAATATAAGGCACATCCCACATAAGCTTTGACAAAGGCAGCACACAACCCGAAAATGGAATAGTTACATACTTTAAAGCAAGGAAAAATATAACCTACAACACGCAAGCAAAAATCACACAGTTTACAGAAAACAACAACATCAAGCATGAAAAGGCCAATCACACCCTGACGAATGGCACAAAACAAAAACATAAGTATGCAATTTCCTTTCCCAGCCATGGGGAAATCATGGGGAAGTGTCTAATACAAAATGAGAATCCAAACAACCATGGTTTTGGTTCGGGCTGATCCATGGAAATCGATTAGAGTTTTGGACTTCCCAAGCCACATTTCACAAGGGGATCAGCTAAGTCACCTACCCCATGGCCAGCTCAGTCTACAGAGACGATTGCCTCCTAATTGAAACAACTCATTCAACAAATTAGCCTGGCCTTCAGTGACACCCATGATATGTCTAGTGAGTCACTGTGGTACCGTCTGATGACAAAAAAAAGTTCAAAAATAGAAAAACCAATCATTTTTAAGGTTAAGGATATATTTACAGTTTTGTATTAAGAAGGCAAGCATAAAAAAAGGCTAGTACTGAGGATTTAAGCTCGCAAAAAAAGTCCCTCCTATTCCCAACGTAGTCTCCTGATCCTTCTTATTCTTATTACTTCCTTTCACCTTTTTTCTTCATTAGTTCCATGTATTTGGAAATCCATGAAAAAAATACATTAAAAACATGAACTTCAGAACTATTCCCTTTTGACTCGTGCAACCACCATAAGCGGAGTAAACAAGGTAGCAACCCATTTACTTTCTCAGGTTTTTAGAAAGACACCAACTTCAACGAAGCCAACCCTGACAAGTACGAAGCAACCAAGTGTTCTTCACGCCTACCTTTTACAAGATAACTACATTTTTATCTTCAATTCCATACTTCAAACTCAACAATCGTTTTCGTAAAACTAATCAGGTGTCTATATTACGCATTCATTGGAGAATTTGAAGGGTGGCGACACTCAAGCAGGATCCCAAACTTGGAACCATATGCTTCTTTTGAGCTAGCAAGTATTGTCAACAAGTTAATATCTACAAAAATATACCACATCTCCAAAGGCACGATTATTTTCCTAAATAACATGAAAACGTGTGTATACCAGCATATATGAGAAATCCCATAATAGTTGCGATTCGTTTGTAGATTTACGTCATTGTATGTCCCATGCACATAAAAATAAATCACGATTTTTTCTATAATTTTACATCATTATGAACCACATAAAAAACCTAATTACACTTCATTGGACACAAAACAGCATGATTACAATTCAAATAGCTGGCAAATAAAGGATGTCTCGTTTGAGGTGTGAGTACCATCATCAATGAATAGACTGCTGTGGTCAGTGCTAGAGATGAATTAACAACGAGAAGCTAAAACACAAATAAAGAGTTGGCAAATTGTTCCATTTTTCTGTAATGACAGGGTGAACTCTAATTCAAGCATCCCACGAGACCATAAACCTTGGATCAGGAAGCACCATTTGGGGGTACGCTCCCATGTTTTAGAATAACGCCATAGAATGCATGCTAAAGAGAGGGAGCGGAAGCGTCAAAGGCGCATTCGCCTTCACAGGGATGGCACATATGCAAAAGTTGAGTCTGAACTTCTTATTTGACTGCTTACGTCAGATGCATAAATATCTCGTGAACTACAACTAATGACGAATATGATACCTTACCTCTAAATTTGGAGACAAGTTCAACCCACTGGAATTGAGACTTCGAATTCGATGGCCTCTTAGATCCAGCCTCTGAAAAAGTACGTAATTATATCAAAATAAAGAGGAATTGTGATACTTCGTCAATGACTGTCATCAATTTTATTTCTCAGGATGCAAAACATTGATTATCAGGGTTATATTTCCCCACAAAAATGTAAGTCCGACAACAAAGCGCGCCATATCATCAATAAAAAACCAGCAGGAGATACATAAGATCATAAAAAGCGGCAAGGAACTGAAGAGAAGGATATCATTTAAAATTTGACGCAATAACTGAGGCATACCAGATCATCGCCAGATTTAACCTCCACCTGAGGAAGCATGATGAAATGAGAATCTGAACTCTGTGAAGGGGAGGATTTCTTCTGCCCTGACAAAGAACCTTTGTCCACTGACCCGACTTTTGCACCACCAGTAATTGATGGCGAACGAGCTGATGGAGAAGAAGCTTTAGAGGATGAGGTTCCATTACGTAGACTGGCATGCCCATGATTACCGCTTGATGGCGATGATGGGATCTTTTTCGAAGCTGAGAAAGGCAATGACGGCTTGATCGAGGCCTTCCGAGCAGAATCCGTCTTGCTGTTTTCTGGCTTTGCAGACAAACGTGACGCTGATACGGTCGTCTTTTTAACTTCCGGAGCTGATATCCTCGAACTCACCGAGGGCAATGAAGACCGTCGGCTCACGGCGGTCGGTGTCTTTGGTGGTTCCGATACAGATGGAGTAACCTTTTTCCCAGCAAATGAAGCAGCACCATCCAGTCGTTTGGGAAGAGCAGTGCCAGGCTGCCTCTCTGGCAACCCACCAGTGCTGTTTCTTCTCTTCAGCAGAGGTGAACCTGGATTGACAGGTGAAGATTTGGTCGCGGCAGCTCTAACCCTAGTCGAGCTTAAATCAGATGCCTCGGCATTCTTCCTAGTCGATGAAAATGTCGGCCGCGTAAAATCACGTTTAGCAGGCTTTGATGGCTTCTTCACACTTTCCCCTGTGGCAACCTCTGGGGACTCCTCCGCGACCAACGACGACTGCTGCGTATCAACCGATGCTTCACTAAGAGTACTAGCTTCCATCTCCACCACGCGCAAATGTCGCCACTCGAGTCAACTCAATAAGAGAAGGAGATTACTCAGTCCAGAGTAAGCAATCTCCGAGGAAAATACGACGACCGACCGAAGGACGCCGACCACGAAATACTAAGTCAGAGCAAGCCAGGTTCCAAACAGGACCACCCCATGGGAACTCCAAAGTCCCCACACTCTTTAAGGAAGACTGGAATAGAAGAGGAGCCTCCGGAGCACGCCAACCAAATATGGCTCCACTGTAACTCAACGAGAAGAGAACCAGCTACGATCCGGCCAAATTCTCGCAGAGATCTGGAATACCTCCTAGTTACAGGTGCAATGCAGGTCCCGCTGCAGCCGCGCCGGAGATCGAACTGTCCACGGCCCCTCAGCTCCACATCCAACCAAGAGATTCCCTTATTTCGCACAGTCGCAGTCGCACTGGTCCAACCCGACAAGAGCGCTAGATCTCCGCCTGCTTCAGGCGCCTAATCCTGCCCGAAGGAGAAGGCCCCCCTGCTCCTAGGGTTCTGGCGGGGTCACCGAGGAGGGCCGCGAGAGGGAATGCGGAGCTGTTTCCGTCGGTTACATGACGGCCGAGGCTCTCGGCCGAAGAAGAAAGATACAGAGCAACTGAAGAGAGGGAAAGAAGAGAGAGAGAGAGAGAGAGAGAGAGGAGAGTGGAAGGCCCCGGGGGGGGGGAGTGGGGGAGAGAGAGTGTGGTCAAAATAAATAAAACAGCGAATCAAAATCGAAGAAATTTTGCCAGAACAGAGCGGGCCCCGCACGGATGCGATGACGAAAATGCCCATGCACTTATCCCGGTCAAAAGGCGAGATCTTACCCGATCCCAACCGTTCATCACACCAAGTTTCTCGTGATGAATCGCCCCATGTGAGTGGAGAGGGCAGAGCTGAGAAGTGGGTAATCCCCACTTTTGGGAAGCGGTTAAGCCCCCCCGCAGAGCATGGTCAACAATCCCCGGGGCGAGGCTATTTCCGTCATTAGTCCGTCAAGTTCCCTGCTTCCCACGTTCCACCAGATGCCGTTAAAAAGCGAGGAGTTTTGTGTGGGCCCCAACGACCGACTATCCGCCGCCGCTGAGCTCATCCGGACGGATCCGGCCGGGCCCACCGTCGAGCCTTCCCTTGCGCTTATTGGGCCTGCCCTTGGGATTAATCCTCGCCCACAGAGAGATCAACGGGGCCCACATCCACCCAGTCAGAAGGCCCATTAGGTACGACCGACCCATCAGGCATCTTCCTTAATGATTAGTCCAGCTGTTAGGGTCGAATCCCATTTACACGTCAACATCAAACGACTCATACGGATACCTGAAGAGAGAGAGAGAGAGAGAGAGAGAGAGAGAGACCACGTGGCTGCCCCGGAAGAACAGCAGGCCCAAATAGTCGACGGGCATCACCGTGATTAATGGGCTGGGCCTACATAAGAAACAAGTCAGCCCCACGGGCCGGGCCGGGCCAGACCCGAGGGAATTGGAAGGGGGGAGCTCAAAAGTCAACGTACGAATGAAGCAGAGGATAATAAGAATTACAGAGAAAATGAATGGGCAGGCAACAGAACCCCCGAAGAAACGTCTGGTCTGGTCTGGTCTGGTCTGATCTCGTCAGACAGCAAAAAAACAAGACGACGAGCCCATCGCTCACTGCCAATGAATCTTCAAAGAGTAAGCAATACAAGGAGATAGAGAGAGAGAGAGAGAGAGAGAGAGAGGAGGAGAGTACTACTGCTACTATCATCAATGGAGGGAGGGAGGGAGGGGCGGAGATGGCCAGAGGGCTAGAAAGGCCGCCCCCCCTTCTCTCTCTCCCTCTCTCTCTCTCTCTTGTCCCCCCCTTCTCTCTCTGTACAGCGCGAGCAGCCACGGATGGTGAAAGAATAATATCAGCATTACCGTAGAGAGAGAGAGAGAGAGAGAGAGAGGGGGGGAGAGAGCCCTTGTTCCTGATGTACAAGGCTCTTTCTTCTTCTTCTTCTTCTTCATGTTACACGGGAAGGAAGCCCACGTCCTGCGTCAAAAGGACAGATTATTTCCACTTCCACGGCAGAGATCGTCACTCCTCCGCCTCATCCCCTGCCTTCTTGGCGGCGCTCCCGCTGCCCTCGGCTCGTGGCGCCGCCTCAGTCTCCCTCTTCTTCTCCTCGGTGGAGTCCCCACCGCTGGGCGGAGACTCCGGCGAGCCCTGGTCATCGCCGCCGCTGCTGGCTCCGGGCAGGCTCTCGGTAGCAGCTGGTTTGGTGGCCCCATCGTCATTACCTGATGAAGGAGAAGAAGGTGGGGAAATTTCAGGCGGCGCCGCCTCATTGTCGTCCGCCGGTGCCGGTGCCGCCACCTTTGGAGGAGCCGGTGGGTCCTTCTCCGGCAGCCCAGCAAGGTTCGACGTCTCCCTCCACTCGACCCATTCGGCCAGTTTTCCATCTTCGGCGAGGAGAGCAGGCCGTGAATCGTCTTCTTCTCCGGCCTCCTCCTCGGCGATCCCATTCTCCAGAGTGGCAGCGGCCAATGAGCCCGGCTGCGGCGGCTGCAGCACGGAGGTCGCCGTGTCAGCGAGGGCCGCCGCGGCAGCGTCATCTTCACCGCCAACGTCTCCCTCGCCGGGGCTCGGAGACGGGGCGCCGAGTGTGATGGTCGCTTGTTCATGGACGGCCCGGTCGTCTTCAAAGGTGAACCAGTTGGAGTTGGTGAAGAGAGACCCGCTGCAAGACGAACCTTTCTCAGTAGAGACATAAAACAGAGAGAGAGAGAGAGAGAGAGAGAGAGAGGGGGGGGAGGAGGAGAGAGAAACAAGGGTGAGTAACCTGTCTTGGTGGTCGTCTCTCAGACGCAAGGAAGAGATGATAACCTCCGCGGACTCATCGTCGAAGTAGACATCCTGCAGGCCCAGCAGTGAGGAGAGAGAGGGGAAGTGGTGTGGGTACAGATAGATGGGCAACATAGATTATCGACAGGAAGGGGGAGGGATTGGGCAGGGCACAGATACCTCGTCGTCTCTCTCGAGTGGGCCATGTCCCTGCATGAAGAACGCTGATCCTTCAGTATCTGACAGGCCTCCCTGCATCACATCGCCATGGAAAGGAAGAGAGAATACCTCCATGTCGTCGTTGCTGTAGATGTCGTAGCGGAAGGCCTGGCTCAAGTTGTTCGCCAGAGTCGCAACGTCGTAGTCTCTGTCTCTGGGGTCCTCGTCGTCGCTGTCTCTGTTGCGGTCCTGCAGTGCCGACGGACGGCTGCGCAAGGAAGAGCACATGAACGACGGCAGAACAAGTGAGGAGGATGGGAGGAAGAGTGACCAAAACTGAAAGAAAACACATGAATTTCCCGAATTTTCTTTACCCAAATATATATTTATATATACTATAATGTATTTACATGTATCAGTGCTAATGAAGTAATCTACGTGTATATATGTATATATATTTTTAAATATATAAAGATATGGATAAATCTATGTGTATCACAGTGCTCATGAGTAAGTGATACAGTTTCATGGAGAAGTATCATGTGTTTTGGAGTTGAAGGTTTTTATCTATCCAATGTGATCCAAGAAACAGGGGAAAAAATATTTCACAAACCTTCTATAGAAGCATACTAACACAAGATTATGATCCAAAGTCTCGCCAAAAATAATAATAATAATAAGTAAAAGAGGCCACCACAGATCTTCACCGCTTCCAGCAATTGCTCTGTCGATGATATTTCGGATAGGGGACTAACCACCAAATAGATTCAATGGACATGGAGGTTGCTGTGGAGAATGTCATGAATGTCTATAGAACAGTCAGCTGGAACTTCAGATATTCCAAAGCATTCAAGCTTGTCGAGCTTCAATTCTGAGTTCTATCTGAAGGAACTTAACGTTGACCAGTTCAAAATTAGATGATCCTGCCTCAAAGTTTTTTTACTAACCGAGCATTTCTGCCATCCGAGTCTCAAAATTAAACCCAAGTTTGTGGGAAAGGTTTGGTAAGGAAACCAGTTGACATGTAAATTGGATAATCAGATAGCAATCACATGCTGCGAGATGTACAATGAGATTTAAACATCGGTATCAACTGGATTTCTGTAGACTGATCTTGCTTCGCATTGGGCATTCTGATGACCTCCTGTCAACGATTCAACTAAAAGGCATACTACTTGATGGAATCTACTATAATGCTCTTGTTTTAAAAAAAAAATTAAAAAAAAAAAAAGCAGGCTCATTTCGCCTCACAAGAACATAAAAAAGTTTGGGGTCTTTACTCGAGTTCCAGAGTATACAAGAACATGTCATGATCTATCAGAAGATTCTTTGTATTTCGGAAGACAGCTCAACTAAAAAGTAGGAGCCAAAAAATAATAATAATTTTACAATCACATAAGCATCATCCGAAGAAAATAATAGAGAGGAAATGTAATATTGCGAGAAAAATCAGGGGGAAAAAACTTACCCACAGTTCCATTGGTAGACATTTTCCACAGCATTGCGGTTCAGTAAGACATTGGTATGCCAGTCAGTCCATTCACCATTATCCTGACGAATAATGCACTGTTCACTTGAACCATCCCAAAAATGGAAAAGATGTCTACTAAGAAAGTTCGATTTATTATTTTTTTCATGCTTTAACTTTGATTTATAAAAAAAATAAGTAATTAATATCTACACCAGTAAAGAAAATGCAAAGAGCCCACAATAGATTTTTTCAAAAAAAAAAAAAAACCAGAACGACAGGGATATTTTCTTATAGATCATAAGTGATTTGATAATACGAATGCAGCAAATAATTCAGAAGCTTAAGAAGATAAATTGAAACTGCTACTAACAAAGTTTCTCACATGCCAACAGGTTATCGAACTTTAATAGAAAGCTGTTCATGGTGAAAAGCATTCTAGAATCGCCATGGAAAGAACAAGACATTTCAGTAAGTCTAACTATATAAATAAAAAGAATGTATATAACAACAAAAACCCATGATTCAATTTTCCTGACCATACGTAACATTTAAAATTGGTGCCACGAAAGAACAGAATACAACGATACACTAGTATCCAAGATTCGTAGAAGAAGAAATCAGCAATAAACCTGCAAATGTGCTTGTATAATACTGTTGTTGCTCTCCATCTGAATAAGCTTGTTTGCTATGCGGGTTATATGCCCAATATTGCCAGTTCTTGGTGAAGATCTTCCTTCTGCGGACTTTGTTGGCTACATAAAGGAGACTCGCATTTCTAAGCTTTCAGAAGCTCAGCATACGAAATACTCGGAGAAAGCTACACATAAAAATAAAAGCGCTGAAAGTAATCCTGACAGTGAAGAGAATTACCCCATTAGAATCTGCTGCTAATGTGACATTCTTCTCAGCTTCAAGGATTTTACGAATGATGCCACATTCCTTAAGGAGATGCTCAAGAAGTGAACTTCTCTTGCTCTCTAAACAAGAGACTATAATGTTCTCCACATGGTGATGCAAAAAGTTGTTAAATGGGTACCTACAATCATCACCAGACGTATATTGTAATAGACTGGAACTCAATCAAAGGAATTTTACCAGAAAAATAGAGTAACTTACTCAAAAAACAAATCCAGGATGCATTTGATGGCTCCTAAGTCAATCAACGCCTTCTCAGCAGCTTCACTGCCGGTCGTCAATAAAACAGCTATGAACTCAACAACCTGAAAAAACGTACAGAACAAGATTCCATAACTGTTAACTTCCCCGTACAAGGAAATGACCATTTCCAAGAGACCTAGAAAAAACCATTAGATTAAGCCTAGAAGACTGTACCCCGATGCAACCGTATAACATGATGATTAATAATTATTACAGAAATGCAGCAGGAGATTTATTTCTAAAACACTTTGTTTTACAACGAAATAATCCGAATCCTTTTTTAGATTCAGTTCAGGTATTAATCTTTTGGACACATAATACATAACATCAACCAAAGTTAGAATCACGCGTGTTAGGAATCATGTTTTTCTTTTAAAAAGAAAACATGATTCCTAACAGAAGATGCCATAATCCACTTTTAACTAGAGAAACTATCCAACTATTATCAGGTAAAAACTTCCAGTAATCAATGAATAGCCATGTACTTCATTCAGGTAAACTGTATGAGATAGGTACCTTCAAGCGGTGCTTTCCTAGAGGAGGTTGCAAGCTTCCATACGTAGTAGGTAAAACACTTTCAGGAGAAGAAATATCCAACAACTTCAGCAGTTCACCTGGCATATGAGAAGATCGTAAAAGTTTCCTAAGTACTGCCCTCGAAAGAAAAGAAATGATCCACTTATTATCCAAAAGGGAATAGCCAACAAGAGATCAGTAATTAAATAAACTACTTAAAAATAAAACAGGATGACTTTTGTAAACACAAATAGACCTGCCAATGGACCAAGATGTTGAGACAACATTATTAATGACATAATGTATATCACATGGGATGGCAAGAACTTTTGATTCTATAACGATGTCTCTTCTACACAAACATATATATGAAAAAAAAAAAAGTGATGTTTAACTACTTTCATCAAATTAAATGGCTCAAGATGTAGAATAGGAGGGGAAGCTATGAAGATCCCAAATGGCACAGTCCAGAAAACCCCATAGGTTGACTCGAGGAAAAGTCCAGATGTGTAACCCAGAAGGAACCAAAAGCTTGCAAAGTGGAAGGACTCAAATATTGCAAGGCCTGAAGAGCTTTAATTTAGCGAGTCTAGTTATTGTTTTCCTATTTCTAGCGTATACTTCACTTAACAGTTTTTTTTTTATCAGATTCCACTCAATCAAGGATATAGGAAAAATCGTGATCTCAATCTAGTCAGAAAATCCAGGCCCAAGACTACGATCTCTGCTTCCATGAGACACCTGATCTTCAAAAGCGATCTTGAACCTCTTCCAGTGCCTCCAAAATCGTCTCAGAATAAGCAATTCCTTAGCATGTAATACATGCTCAATAAATTACTGCATTTCAATTACGGTTCAATGTGTCATCATAGAGGATGAAAAAAATAGATGGTTACCAGCATGTATAATAAAAATACGAGAAAATGGCTTTCGGCCAGTAGGAAATAAGAAATCAAAAACAGATGATAGAAAGCCATAGCATGAACGTAAGCAACAGCAATACAGCAAAGCAGGAAATAATGAGTGAAGCAAGAACCTACCAATATTCTCAAGCATGCCATCAACCATCTCCGGATTAGCAGATACTGATGATCCGTAACTCATATAATTTCGATATGAATGATACGACGTTGATAATAACCTCTTAGGGTCTACCAGTGAAATGCACACAGTCAATGAATGAACCAATACCGATTTTGGTCTTGATCCTTCCAATGCATGACGAAACAACCTCCCCACAAAGCTGAAACATGGTTAAATAATAGTTACTAGAAATTCATGAATATAAATGGCTGGGTGTAGCAAAACGAGCTAATATGCATCACATATAAAAGAAAAGCACCTCGGGCTAGAAATTTTCGCAGCAAGCCCCGGAGGGGCGTAGCGAGTTATGGCACACAAAGTTTCTGCCGCATTTGCATGTACTTCAGGACAATCCTACAGGCAGTTACCAACAAGATAAATATTTTATTTATTTTTCCAAAAATATATAATGATGAAAAGGATCATGATATTTAAGTAATGACTAATGGATCTAGAGCATTAAATCCAAAACAAGAGCATTATGTTTCATTAATAACTAAAATATCTGGAGCATAGCTCCCAAACAAGAGCATTACTACGTAACGCAGACAATATGATTGAAGACAAAGAATATGGCATTTAAGAATGGCCAAGCTGGACATAAATTCTAAGAATGTTTCAACCTGCAGTCTCAGTATATTGACAGCGTCACCAAGTCATGCCCTTCCTTGCCTGCTCAACGACGAGCTGAACAATCACCTCGTCCTCCTACCATAGCTTAACTTCCTAAGCCAAGCCTTGGCAAATAATAACCTTTGTTTCCACAGTATAAGAAAAATTGCAAAAGTTAATGTTTGTGAGCCTTTTTTCAGCGGGACAATAACAGGTTTTGCTTTGGAAGGGTTGCTGCAACTGTTCTATATTAAAATAAAATAGATGCTGATGTACATCTTTTCAGATTTCCACTGTGAACCTTTGGAGTCTAAGTTTCTACAAATCCTACAGATTTACATGGAAGAAATTGCTAATAATACCCGCATCAGAACATTTATTGTTCATAATATGTTAAAATAACATTCGTTTGCAGTGGATAGCCCCAACTACGAGTAGCATAATAAACGATAACGTTTGTTCGATAAAATCATCACATTAAAGCAAATCGAAATGAAACAAAAAATTAGACTAAGACTGAATCAGAAGGAATGCCAGTAACACTCACCGATGAGCTGAACTTATCAACAATCATCTCCAACACATCTGTGCTCTCTAACCATTGCATTGCATCCATATAGTTGGAATACATATGTTCATCAGCACCAATTAACCGAATCAGAACCTATAGGAAAAATATTGCCATTTGGTTACCAAACTGCAGAGTTCATAGGACAAAACAACCTTTTCAAAAAGGAAATAATGACAAAATTTACATGATCAGAACAATCCAACAGTCTTTTTAAAAAAACAGGGCGGAGACAGACTTCAAAATAAGATTTTTCTGATGACAGTGACAAAAAAATCACAGCCCAACTAGCTTTCGTAAATTAGGCAAAATTCTGAGCTCCAGATGAAGGAAAGCGTCACTAACCTCCATGATGGACGTAATCCCAATAAGATCAACAAGTCGGGGAAATATCTCTTGATGGCCCTAGTAAATGAACAATAAAGTGTCAAGAGTTTGAAACAAAAAATTGGATGTCAAAATGTATATCTAGATGAAATAAAAAGCACAATAAGATAAGTACAGTATATGTACGCAAACCATATTATTTGCATTAGATTCAATTACACCTTTAAAAAAAGTAAATAAGAGCTTCTAATGGGAGCACTAAGAATTGAAGAAAAAAATAGATTTGGTGATCAATTCCTAACAATGCGAAATAATTCCACTCTTGTGGATGGTTACATCCTTTATTGAATGCCAAACATTAATAAAAAGAAAGCATCCCATGGTAAACAAAACCTAGCAGAAATTATGGAATTCGCTCTCACTTTTCTACTTTATAAACACTTTTGATTTTCACTCAAACCCACCCTTTCATGAGTTTTCACTAAAAAATTAGGCCAGGAAATGTGTTCAAAACCACTGATTTGTAAGGACATTTTTCACCGAAAAATGCTTTAGACTTATAACCATACAGTGAACCAACAGAAAATAACACTTACTTGAACATAATTCATGAGAAGAACAGTTTTCCGCAACATCAGGCAAATAACAACCTAACAAGGAGAGAAAAAGAAAAGGCACCATCAGAACAAACTTATCCTGCAAAATAAGCAGTGCTCCAAAAATTTAGTCTGCCTTCTACCAAAATGGATGGTGAAACATGATCTTTAATTGAGAAAAAGAAAATGTACAGGTGTGGCAAATGTGAACCCTCAAAAAAAACCTCTGTGAATTAGTATAGCGTAGAACAGAAAATGGAATGATGTGCTACTGCTAACTTTCCTGTTACACTCTAATTCAAATATTTATGATTACACAGCATTATGGCTACAAAGGAACCAGGATACCTTGCTAAAATAACCAGCCAGCAACGTACTGTGGGAATGGCCAGGCATTAGAAAGGAGAATAAAAGATTCATCAACTGCACAGCATCAAGAAACAAGAATGACAAAAGCAGGTTAAATGCCTTATTTCACATTTAGGTGTCAACCATCACCACTGGAACATCATGGCATAGAATAAGAGAAAATTCAAAAAAAAATCATGTAATAATATTGAGTAGCAAACAGACCTCATCATCTTCTACTAAGGTTTTCAGTATAATGTCGACCTCACAGGTAAAAATTTCACAAGAAATAAAGGGAAACCTGCAGGACAACATCACAACACAAGAATGGGCGTCAACATCACTTCATAGTAAAAGAGCTCCACAGCAAAAATGTCATGTAATACATAAATAGAGATTACTTGAAAGAATGCTTCTTTTCAGCATCATCAGGCGCTTCCTCCACAATATATCGAAGCAACTTTTCGACCTGAGTCCTTTCCCGCAAGCTGTGTCATAAGGATTGCAACCAAATAATCCGTCATCACAGGAAAATGTGAAAGAAAACTACTTTGAGCTAACTGTAACAACGTCGGTTACAACAATATCAAATGAAGATTCGGCAAGCCATCACCTATATGAGGTTATGTATAGAACAATTCAATACTAAATAAAATACTAAATCCATTCTGATGAGTAAAGAAGTTTTTGAATGTTCAACAAAACCGATAATCACCAGAAGAACTACTCCTGCAGGACAGTGCCTATTATTGCACAAGCAGGGGAAATGCATAAGGCATTGGTGAATAACCACGAACTCGCAAAAAGAGAGATCTCAAGATATGAATGGTCTGAAAATAAACATTAATAATGGATACGACAAGAGGTCAAACATGAGGAGAGAAAAGAAAGGAAAGACGAGTTTTAAAATAACAAGTAACCCATCTATTCATACGACAATAAAAATAAGGAAATTAAGTGTCATTATGCTGTCCAAGCAGCAGGTTCGTGCAGAAGTAAAAAAAAACTCGGTGGAACAAAACAATCGGAAACCATCAATAGGGGGTTCAATCATTTGCGGGTGTCAATATGGTCATATGTCTGAGACTTTTGGATTAAGTGTAATTGGACTTAAGCTGCTAGAAATAAAAATGAAAAAGTTTTAAATCATTTGTCCCCTTCACTTATGTTTCATAATTACAAGTCCAAAAAATCATATGCTCCAGGTGGTCGTCAACCAGATCTACATCGCCGAATCATATGTGGCTGCATCACAGACATTGCTGCCCTCATAGTCAAGGCAGCCATTTCTGATTTTTCATTATGACATTGGAATGAGAAATGGATATACAGGTCTTCAAAAGCACTGCATTCAGCATCTTTAACCAGATGCTATACTACCCTGTTTAGTATCAGTTCAGCAATATTTTATTTAGTTTTACAGTCACATATAATTTACATATAATATACCTGGGTAGAAAAAATGTAATGTTCTGCGTCACAGATGATAAATAATTTTCATCCGTGATACAGGTAAAGCATGTACCTATCCAATTCCAGGTTCTCGGCAGAAAAAAATTGCTCATAAATTGGTTGATTTAATTAAAAAGGGTAGAAAATAGTTAGAATGACATCATGTCTTATGTGTCTTTCAACCTAGATAAAATGCACCACAAACAAAAAAATAGGTAAAGCTATCACTTTGAGGGACAAGTGGAAAGTATAATCAATTACAAGTTTATAAGGCGAGTATTTAGGGCTTTGCATTCTTGAATTATCTCATCTTCATCCAGCAGCTCCTCTAAGGTGTAATTTTCTTTGTCCAAGATAGAGTCCACCTGAAATAAGTGGTGAGAGCATCATGACATCAACACCTCGTAAAAATAATTTTGGCAAAACTACACAATGAACCAGGGAAAAAAAAATAACTTCTCGTTGTCGGAGTTTTCTAGAACATGGCTTCATCACTATGCCGTACAAAAAAATCGTATGGCATTTTGCATGAAGTACACAACAGTAATCTATCTACAGTTAAGTTTCAGCATTCGAGATATCAACAGACATGAAACCTTCCCCTTAGATTTAGTAACATGACAAATCAGGGATCTTGGAGTAATGAATCAAAATAACAAGCAATGTAGCAACTGTGTCAGTTTGCATAAGCCCATTGATGATCGAATCATTTGGTGAAGAATTTACATGCAGATCAGCATATTTTACATTAGCTCATTAAAGATAATATGTCGTGGGTAGTATATTGCGTCCTACTCTATTGCATATGCATGTGGAAATCCATGCCTAGGTAGTTCTAACAGAGTTCATATCCATGTACGAGGTGTTCATCTGACACGAAGCTACTGAGATCTAAAATCTACTTTAAACTGTCATCTTCCACACTACAAATAGACCTAGACAGATGTTTCAACGTATTAGAATATCTATCTGTGAACAAACCCATCATTGATGAGGAACATACACTTGATGACTATAAAAATAGTAAAGCAAAGCAATAATATCGATAACATTAAAAAAAGGCATCCCCATCTTTGACTTCTTTCAGGAGACCGATGACTTGACGACAAAGTCTGATACATCTGTCAAGTCTATATCAACAATCAAACAACATTTAGGCTTTCGAACTAATAAGATAGTGCCCAATGTTCAACATCTCTTCTGCTCCTCAACACTCAGCTAACCCTTCTTCTCTCATTTAGAGAACTCATAAGTAATATGAAAAAACAAGCCATAAAACAACAGCGTATAAATAGTTTGTCTTGGACATCAACTCGGCACAACGTCTTCCAACATATGTTGTTAGAAAATGCAAATACGTTTTCATATTTGACGAATTAAATGACTAATACGTTTTCATGTCCAACTCATTAATGCAAATTCAGCAGAGGAGCACATGCTTCATGCAAAAAACTAACGAACCGACAGCCAATTCACAAGTTCAGAGTCACAAACCTCAATTGAATGAGGATTCCGTCAGATGAAATTCAGTCTAAAACCCACGAATAGATATAAATAAGAGATCGCAGATTAATGGCATTTAATGGGGGAAAGTGACCGATCTTTTATGTCAACAAAAAACCAATAAGATTCTAGGTTCCGGATTTTCAATTTTCAGTAAATTGAAAGCTTACAGGGAGAGGAAAAAAATCCAATGGTACCATGCAATATGCTGAAATAGCTGTAAAATTCACTATAAATAATATAAAACCTGGCCAGATATGAAAACAGAGTCTAATTCAACTTTATGAAAGGCATAATCAAGCGGACGAACTAAGAGACATTGGACGAACCGTAAAACGCTACTTATTCAAACAGAAATCAACATTAAAAATCATGAAATTTATCTTCCAGACAGCACGATGCATCTTTTGCGCGTGTAAGCATACAAAAACTTTCCCAGTTTCTTTTAGTAGGCAATATATAACGGGACTCCATCCTATCATTTGAACCTAAAATGAAAGACAAGACAGGTGACACGGCAAGAAGTATATTTCTCTGTATCATGGCAAATGAAGACCAAGATAAATGGAGCACATCTCGCCACGTAGTTTAAAAGCTTGAATTTTCCAAAAGCACCAACTGTAGCCCCCACTTATTTCACAACAGCAACCCATGATCAGCCTCGCCACAGACTACGTCGAAACCATGGAAATGGGGACACTCTAGAATTCCATCTACTTCGACCATTTCCAGAAGGCGAAGACGTGAAGATTCAGAAACAAAGACGACAATACTCGACAAAGGTTGGGCAGCCAACTAATGGCAAAAACCAATGGACAAGCAAGACGAGGAGAATCCTGACGACCTTAAGAGGCACTTACGGGAGAGGCCGTGGACAGCCCGGTCATTCGCCAGAACATATTGGCGGGTCGACGTCTGAAGATTTCAACCTCCTCCTCGCTTGCCTATGCTCTCAGATCTGGGAGATAGGGAGAGCCAGTCCCGATAGCTCCTCAAAGAAGGTAGGGTGCCGGCGCGCCAAACAGCCTACGGGAATTTCTGCAAACCCTAGAGCAACATTCCCCGGGGCATCACCGGGGGTAGCAGAGATCCAACTCCAGCCGGAGCCCGCTTCTGGATTAGGTAACCGCGGATGCGGGAGAAGGAACGGGGGCGCGCCGAGGAGATAGAGAGAGAGAGAGAGAGGCGAGGGAGTCGGGAGAACGATCCTGCAATCGCCGATGGAGAGCGAACGATGATAGAGTGAGTTGCAAAAGGGGGAAGAAAGGGGGGCTGGGCGAACTGTCAATATTTCTTTTACACACATTTACAATCCCGCTAAGCTTATTGTACGGTTTCGCTTATCCTAATTTCCCGTGGGTTTTTCCCTAAAAACGATCGCTCCTGTGGGCCCCACCGATTTGTCCTTCCTGCGGCCAAGAAGTTATGAGCGAGATCCGCTTCGGGGCGGGCGGACGGACTCCCCCACACCTCCCCGAGCTGTGATGATGCTCATAGCTTTTAAACCTCATAGCGTCGTACGGCGGTACTATACATAGATAATTCTAAAAAGTCGGGTTTTTTAATAATTTGTAATTTCTCCCTCGCGTTATCTAATTAATCGCGAAAAAACAAATCCGACCTTTTTAAGGCTCCTGATCGTACAATTATCGCGTTTAAAAAAAAATCATCTCTCTCTCTATCTCTCCTCTCTCCTCTCTCTCTCTCTCTCTCTCCTCTCTCTTCTCTCCTCTCTCCCACATATTCATATTCTTTGTATGAATATGTCACCACGTACCATGCATAGTCTAATCGGTTCCGTGGTCATTTTCTCCCACCAAAAATCAATAAAACCTTATGGATTTTTCTCATTAATTAAATCATTCCTGGCTCGTAGTTAAAGTAGGAGGGAACGGATTACAGACCGTGGCTTTTAGAGAGAGAGAGACAGAGACAGGACCAGTCGATCATCCAACTGTTGTTCTTGGGTCTGAAACCAGTTCATCCCACGTAGGAGGAGCTGGTCACAGAGGGAGAGAGAGAGAGAGGGGAACCAGTCGATCATCCAACTGTTGTTCTTGGGTCTGAAACCAGTTCATCCCACGTAGGAGGAGCTGGTCACAGAGGAAGAGAGAGAGAGAGGGGAACCAGTCGATCATCCAACTGTTGTTCTTGGGTCTGAAACCAGTTCATCCCGCGTAGGAGGAGCTGGTCACAGAGGGAGAGAGAGAGAGGGTACCAGTCGATCATCCAACTGTTGTTCTCGGGTTCGAAACCAATCCATCCCATGGAGGAGGAGCTGTCCACAGAGGAAGAGAGAGAGAAGGCCGTCGTCTACCTCCTCCTCGTGCCCACTTCTGGTGTTCACGCAGGTCTCAAAAGCAGGTGTAACGAGACGAAGGGACTCGAGTAAAAGAAGCTTATTCGAAAATAAGAGGTATGGACGGAGGGGATCTGCAGAAGGGATTTCATTATTTTATTTTTTTTCCCCTTTCGAGCTGAAGAACAAGGAAGAAAACGGCTTGTTCGTTGATCCGGGCGTTCGTCGTCTCTCTCTGGGAGCCGCCGCCGCCGCCGCCGCCCCCGCTGGATTCCATGGAAGATGCCCGCAGAGCGGAGGGGAGAGGAGGCTGGAGCAAAACCTTCGCTGTTCATGGCTACTCGAGTTACGGCGACGAGGGAGGAGGCCTCTCGGGCTCAGTAACCCCTGTAGACAGGCGGCGGAGGCGATGCGTAGGAGAAGCCTTCCACCGGCGGGAGGATGAATGGTGGTGGCGGCGGCGGTGGCGAGTGGACAGGTGGAGGGGGGGAGTATACTGGAGGCGGTGGCGGAGGGGAGGACAATGGGAGCGGTGGCGGAGGGGAGTAGGATGGTGGCGGTGGCGTCGAGACTGGCGGCGGAGGGGGCGGAGGTGAGTTAACTGGCGGCGGCGGAGGAGAGTGAAGCTGTGGCGGCGGAGGCGGGGAGTAGACCGGTGGCGGGGTTGACCACACCGGGGTTGGAGACGGAGAGTGCACCGGCGGGGTAGGTGAGTGCTCTGGAGGCGGTGGGGGAGGAGAGTTCACCGGAGGAGGTTGCGGCGAATGAACCAGTGCGGGTGGGGAATGAACTGGAGGAGGCGGAGGTAGAGAGTGGACCATCGGCGGGGGAGGAGAGTTCACCGGAAGAGGAGGTGGCGACGAGTGGACCGGCGGAGGAGGAGGTGGCGGCGAATGAACCGGTGGGGGTGGCGCGTGGACCGGCGGAGGAGGAGGAGGAGGTGGAGAGTGCACCGGCGGCGGGGGAGGAGAGTTCGCGGGAGGAGGAGGTGGTGGTGGTGGAGAGTGCACCGGCGGCGGGGGAGGAGAATTCACCGGAAGAGGAGGTGGCGACGAGTGGACCGGCGGAGGAGGAGGTGGCGGCGAATGAACCGGTGGGGGTGGCGCGTGGACCGGCGGAGGAGGAGGAGGAGGTGGAGAGTGCACCGGCGGCGGGGGAGGAGAGTTCACGGGAGGAGGAGGTGGTGGTGGTGGAGAGTGCACCGGCGGCGGGGGAGGAGACTTCACGGGAGGAGGAGGTGGTGGTTGTGGAGAGCGCACCGGCGGCGGCGGAGAGTGCTTTGGTGGCGAAGACGGTCGGAGAGGAGGCCGTGGGGGAGGAGAGTGCACCGGCGGCGGGGGAGGAGAGTTCACGGGAGGAGGAGGTGGTGGTGGTGGAGAGCCCAACGGCGGCGGCGGAGAGTGCTTTGGTGGCGAAGACGGTCGGAGAGGAGGCCGTGAGGGAGGAGAGTTCACTGGAGGAGGTGGCGGCGAATGGACTGGAGGAGAAGGAGGAGGTGGGGGAGAGTGCACCGACGGAGGGGAGTTCACCGGAGGAGGAGGTGGAGAGTGCGGCGGCGGAGGGAGGTTCACCAGAGGAGGGGGTGGTGAATGGATGCGTGGGGACGGCGAACTGACCGGAGGAGGAGGTGGGTGAGCCCGATAAACAGGGCTACTTCCGTCTGCTGGTGGTGGTGGGGAGCGGCGGATCAGCGAGGACGGCGATGGCGGCGGAGGATGGTGCACCGTCGGCGGCGCCGGAGCCGGCGACCGCGGCGGCGGCGTGGGTCGAACTGGCGTCACCGGGCTCTGCCCGTGGCGGGGAGGTGAAACAGGAGAGGACGAGCCGCCGCCGCTGCCGCCGCCACCTGCACCGCCACCCCCTGCACCGCCACCGCCTGCACCGCCGCCTCCACCGCACTTGGATCTTCCGCAGTCAACGGGGCGACCCACCACCGACTTGCACTCCTCCGACCTCCTCTGGCGCGGCCGCGAGGGGACGCAGTTGCTGCGGTCGTCGAAGATGACCCCTCCCGTCGCCGCCGATGAGGGCACGCAGGCGGCGTCCTCGCCATTGAAGAAGTTGTAGGAGAAGGTGAAGTTGGCGAGGCTCGGGAGCTTGCAGAGCCCCCGGGGGACGAAGCCGGTGAGCACGTTGTGCCCCACGTCGAGCTGCTCCACCGTCGCCAGCCCAGAGAAGCTCTTCGGCAGCATCCCTGTGAGGCCATTCCACGACAGGTCAACCACGGTAGAGTTTTCCAGGAGCCCCATCTCCGGCGGGAGGCAGCCGGAGAGGCCATTGTTGAGGAGGACGAGCTCCTCCAGAGTGGCGGCCATCCTGCCGACGCTGTTAGGGATGCAGCCCCCCAGCTGATTGTTGGCCAGCACCATGACGGAGACCTTGGAGTTGCCCATGTTCTCAGGTATGTGGGAGGTGAAGCGGTTGTTGTTCAGGAACAGGGCGTCCAGCTCCTTGTCGAAGAGCTCCGGCGGTAGCGGCCCCTCGAAGTCGTTGAATCGGAGGTCCAGATACTTGAGCACCGGCAGGGCGAGCACCACCGTCGGGAAGCCGCCGACGAACCTGTTGTTGCTGACGTCGAACTCGTGGAGGAGGACAAGCTTGGAGAAGCTCTTGGGGATGATCCCGCAGAAGCGGTTGGAGTTGATGTGGAAGAGGGCGAGGTCGGTGAGAAGGCCGAGCTCCACGGGGAGGTGGCCGGCGATGTCGGCGCCGTTGAGGTCTACTCCGGCGACCACCTCGGCGTATGGGTCGTCCAGAGCCGCCGCGCAGAAGACACCACTGTAGGAGCAGACGTCGGGGCCGACCCAGTCGCCGGTGAAGTTGAACGGGTCGGAGATGATGGCGTCCTTCCACGCCTGCAGCGCGATGTAGGCTCGCCGGAGGCGGGGATTCCGTATCCTCACGTTGACCTGCACGTCGAACTCGAAGTCGTCGGGGAGGTCGTCGCGCTCCCGCAGCGTCAGGAGCTGCCGGCGGACGATCGCCGCCGCCTCCCCGTCCGAGAGGGCCGCGGCGGAGAAGACGAAGAAGAAGAAGAGAGAGAGGAGGAGGAGAACGAGGAGGTTGCAGCCGGAAGACGAGGGGGAGAAGGAGGGCTTCATGCCGGGCAACCTGTTGGGCCACGCCATGGCCTGGAGAGGCCCAAGGCGGCTGCTATAAGAGGTGGATAGGAGGAAGACGACAGCCCTGTTATAGACGGGGAGGAGGAGGAAGGAGATGGCCCCGCAGCGAGGAGGAGAAGGGCGGTTGGGTTGGTTACCACCTTTGCTCGCCGCCGGTGGTATTTTAGCATAAGCCACCCCCTCCTCCGCCATTCCTCCGCCGCTTGCATACCTATATTCTCCCCACCGACGGTTATTTTTGGGTCGCCGCCGGCTCCGGCGCCGGCTATTTTTAGTCCTCCGTGAAACCGCCGGAGCGAAACTCCTCTCCGGCGGGGGTGGCTGGCGGCGGCCGAGGGCCTTTTTATCGTCAAATTCCTCTAAAACTCAATAATAAAAAATAAGCCCTCATTTTTTCGTAATGGATGATTTCAACCGTGGTCTTCATCCAGTCCATTTATAATACATAATGAGGTCGTTAATTCCGTTTATTACAAATCCAAACCATCGTGGCCACCCGACATCTGACGTGGCACTGTCCAGAGATTTTATGGGGTACGTGTCCAGGAAGGAACGCGCCGACGTGGACGCAGAGAGCTAGGCCGTCTTGTCCAGCTCCGCCGCGTCTTTCTGGAGCCACGATCGGTAGCCGGCTTTCATGTTCTTGGCGTTGACGAAGCCCTGCCATTGGACCAGGCGCTATTAGTCGGTGGGCCGGAGGTTGCCCAGTTTGACTTCTCATTAACGGGCCCATTTTAACCCGATAAGGCCGGGGGGGGGTAAGTCTGTGAATATACGCTAGTGCCAGGGTGTGGAATGGAGTTTTACCGCGAGGAGCAGATCGCCTGTCGCGTGCTTAGAGCGATTCCCGGTCATGCAACCCTTCCAGGCGTTTACGTTGACGGCGATAAGGTCAGCCAAGAGAGAAGAGACGGACATTAATATATAGAGAGAGAGATGCACAGAGAGATGAGTTAGAGAGAGAGAGAGAGAGAGAGAGAGAGAGAGATGCACGGAGAGAATGAGTAAAGAGAGAGAGAGAGGGAGGTACCACGATGAAGGTCTCGTCCCGGGTGACCAGTGTCGAAACCTGATCAAGGAATCCGGGATTCTTCACCCTTCCTGGAGTTATTTCGACGAATCATCGCTGATGAGATGTTCAAGTGCAGAGAGAGAAAGAGATAGAGATAGAGAGAACCTTCGGGAGTGTCTGAATAGTAGGGGACGTTTACTGCTCCCTCAACGTGCCCCTTGAGGAAGTCCTCTTCCATCCTTCCCTCCGGCAAAAACAATCAGAATGAAAGAGATAGAGAGATAGAGAAAGACAGAGAGAGAGAGAGAGATAAAGAGATGGACAGAGAGAGATTAGAGAGAAGCAGGAATGGATGGATTGCGTGATTCACCTGACGTCCAAGTAGCGGCAACCGGAGCGGAGGAGATCGGCGGCCTCGTGGACGTCGACGGAGACGAGTTCTTCCGCCCTGCGACGACGGAGAATAGCAGCAGGTCAGACCAGTCATCCCCCCCTGGAAGAATACAACTCGCCGGAGGGCCTTACCTCTTCTCGCCTTCCATCCCTCTTCCTGCTCCTCTCTCTCTCTCCGCCTCTTCTTCTCTCGCTCTTCCAGAAGTCAACGCTCGGAGCGGGCACGCTACCACGTCCGTGGGGGTTGAGGGTGGGGATTTAAACTAATTTTAATATTAATATAAAACGGCCTTATCTGGCATTTTCGGAAGGAATATACCATTTTCGTCCATTTAAAATCAGCCATATTTATTTCGTAAATAATATCTGATCTGTCAGGGTAGGCGCTCAAGTCAACGCATGAGTTGTCAACACCCGCATGCTGTCCGTCCTCATTTACTCACTAATAAAAATAAATACATATTTTACCCGGAGCGCACCATCATAATTAATTAATTAATTAATAACTAATATTATTTACGATGGGTTATGGGGTGTTCCATTTCGGTGCCAAATGCCGGTGTTACTGGGCCGGGTGTACATGCAAATCAATAATATTGGGCCCCCAAAATCATTGGGCCTCTTTTTAAAGCATCTATAGAGAGAGAGTGAGAGAGTGAGAGAGAGAGAGAGAGAGAGAGAGAGAGAGAGAGAGAGAGAGAGAGAGAGAGAGAGGAGAGAGAGAGGGGGAGGGGGAGGGAGCGAAAGGCGAGGTGTGGGAGGCACGCAAAGGGTGGGACGGCGCGCTAAACGAGGAACACGCGGCCGGGGGTGGGCCGGGCAGGTTGGGCCCACTGCAGGGCCATGAGAGCGGCCACCTCCGGTGCCGGCGGCGGTGGTCCTCAGTATCCGCCGGCCCCCTCTCCCGGCGACAAGGAGGCAGGCGGTGGTCGCACCCGGCGGCGTGCTCCGCCGAGCAGAGAAAGAAGAAAGAGAGAGAGAGAGAGGCGTCAACCATGGCGAAAAGCACACGTGCTTTCCCGTCTCCCGCACCGCCTTTTTCACAGAGCCTTCTCTCGCCTGCGGGGTGGAGGGGGGAGAGAGATAAAGAAAGCCATGGCTTGGGGCTGAAGGGAGGAGAAGGAGGAGGAGGAGGACGACGGAGCAAAAGCTTCGTGTGGCGCTGAAAAGTGCCTTTAGGTGGCGGCGGCGGCGGCGGCGGCGGTGGTGGCGCCTCCACTGTTCTTTCTAGGGTTCTTCCTCCGCACCGCTGGAGAGTCAGACCGATGGTCTCTCGAAGAAGGCGTGGGGACGGTGAATGGTGGGATTTTGATCGGGAAGAGGACACCCCGCTCGAGGAGGACAGTAATCTAATGCGAAATCTTAGCGCCATTAAAGCAGGGGAAACAGAGTTTTGTTGGGCCAGCTTCGCCTGTGGCTATAGAGCCCTCCTTTCTCAACCCCGTCCATGGCGGATCCTCCACCTCCTCCTGTTAGGTCATTCGACGAAGACGACGACCGACTGTCATCAACTGTCAAACCAGGGTTAGAGAGAGAAACAATGGGGGAGGAATCGGTGAACAGCTACAGGGATCCCCCCCTCTCGCGGCCCCGAAAAGCAAGCCCTCCTCTCTCTCTCTACAGGGAACAGGATTATTATTAACAGCGGTAAGCTCCAGAGGATAAGAGAGAGCTGTGTGACGGGGAAGAATTCATTGTACCCCTCTCTCTCTCTCTCTATCTCTTGTTTTTCTTGAGGAGGAAGGAGATCCAGTTTTAATGGAGGGGAATTTAAGGAAGAGCAGGAAGGGTTTCCTAGGGATCCCGTCTCCACTGGCGGACAGGGGTCCCCTACCTCGCACCTCCTCACTGTCGTCGACTGATGGTCCTTCCCCGTCTCGACGACTTATTCCCCGGCGCTAGCTCGACTCTCAGAGTAGAGAGAGAAGCAGAGGGGAGAGAGAGAGATAGAGGGGGGGGTTACCTTTATCCAAGACAGAGGGTGCAGCACTGGCAGGGGCAGCAGCAGCTGTTAAGGTGCAGGACAGCGGCTGCAACACCACCAGAATCCGGCAAGCTGCAGCCCCGCCCGTCTACAGGCCTCCACTATCCCTTTCTCTCTCCATCCCTGTCCCTCTCTCTCTCTTCCTTTTCCTCTTCTAACGGAGTTTTGAAGCACGGGCAGAGCGGGAGAGAGAGAGAGAGAGAGAGAGGACGAGGTGACCTACTTCGCCGTCGCCGTGCATGGTCGTTCTGCTTTGATGAGACCGCAGGCGCTGCAGCTGCAGAGGCGACGGTAGAAAAATATTAAAATAACATAAATAAGGCAAAGCTGCTCTCTCTCTCTCTATCTCCTCGCGACCCAATGCACACCTGGCTTTCATTTGTCCCTGCTCTCTCTCTGTAGAAAAGCCGTCTCTCTCTAAAGTTGCACACCCTTCACTCTTCTCCATAAGAAAGATAGGGAGGGGCGTGGGAGCAGCCGAGGGGCAGAGCCCAAGGAGACAGCTCAGAAAGGATTAGGGTTCCGGCTCGGATTACCCCTCGTCGCCATCTTCTTCCTCTTCCTCCTCCCTGCGGCTGCTTTCTCTGGAAGGTGGTGGGGGGGAGGCGGCGGAGCGAAACAAGGACCGAGCTTTCTGATGCAGGAGAGGGAGTTCTCTCTCCTGCCGAGGAACCGGAACAGAGGCAGGGGCGACCCTTCTCCGTGGTGAAGCAGCAGCGGCGATAATGGCGATGGTGGTGCACCAGCCGCACCAGTTGCCCCAGGGGAAGGAGGGTGGCAGTGGCGCAGCCAAGGGGGGGCATATGGACTCCGGCAAGTACGTCCGATACACGGCGGAGCAGGTGGAGGCGCTCGAGCGGGTCTACGCGGAGTGCCCGAAGCCGAGCTCCATGCGCCGCCAGCAGCTCATCCGCGAATGCCCTATTCTCTCCAACATCGAGCCCAAGCAGATCAAGGTCTGGTTCCAGAATCGCAGGTATGGACCGAGATCTTTGCCTTGGAACCAATGGCAAGAGGCTCCCCTTCCCCTCTTCCTCATCCTCCTAGAGAGGTCTCCGAGCTCTGCATTAATGGCGGAGAGGACAGCTCCGGGAATCCCTCGATTAGGGTTAGGGTTTTCCTTCCCTCTGGGCGTCGATGCTTCATCGTCCTGTTGACGGGCTTTTCTCCGAACGACAGATCTCACACCCTACTCTCTCTGTCTAAACCTGTGGTTGGATCTAGATGCCGCGAGAAGCAGCGGAAGGAGTCCACCCGCCTGCAGACGGTCAACCGGAAGCTGACCGCCATGAACAAGCTGCTGATGGAGGAGAACGACAGGCTGCAGAAGCAGGTCTCCCATCTGACCTACGAGAACGGCTACATGCGTCAGCAGCTTCACACTGTGAGCTCCCGCAGCCCCTCGCCATACCCCTCGGCCCCCCTCTCTCTCTACTGGTCTTCCGAATCTGTTCGACGGAATGCCCAACGGGCGCAGTGCCCCTCATTTAATGCACATCGTCAATACCCTCAGCAGACCTCCGTCGTGACCGCTGATACGAGCTGCGAGTCGGTGGTGACGAGCGGTCAAATCCAACGAAACCCAACTCCCCAGCACCCTCAGAGGGATGCCAGCAACCCGGCGGGGTACTCACTCAACCCTAAATGCTCATCTTTCTCCATGATCCGACGCCTCAGCTTCCTCTTCTTTTTCTTCTTCTTCTTCCCTGCATGGAACCAGCCTGCTGGCGATCGCTGAGGAGACTGCGGCAGAGTTCCTCTCCAAGGCGACTGGAACTGCTGTTGATTGGGTGCCGATGCTTGGGATGAAGGTGGGCGATCTCCACCAGATTTTTATTTCTATTTTATTTTTATTTCCATATTAATCGGGCTGGTTGATGCGCAGCCTGGTCCGGATTCTTTAGGAATCTTCGCTGTTTCTCACAACTGCAGTGGGGTAGCAGCTCGAGCTTGCAGCCTCGTGAGCTTGGAGCCCACCAAGGTGAGATCTTTCTCCTCGGCAAGAACAGTTCCACGAGATTGCAGTAGGGTGTAATCGTTCTTGTTGTTTTTCTCTGTTCTTCTTTCAGGTTGCGGAAATTCTGAAAGATCGCCCGTCTTGGTACCGCGACTGCCGCCGCCTCGACGTGCACACTGCAATCTCCGTCGGGAACGGCGGCTCCATCGAGCTCCTCCACATGCAGGTTTCTCTCTCTCTCTCTCTCTCTCTCTCCTCCACATGCAGGTTATGTTCCATTTTGTCCTGCATTAATTCCCGGATCTCTCTCTATCTCTCTATCTATCTATCTCTATCTGTTTCTATGTGTGCCCAGACTTATTCCCCCACGACGATCGCCTCTGCTCGTGACTTCTGGACGCTGAGATACACCACCACCCTGGAAGACGGCGGCCTTGTGGTAGCGGAAATTATTATTTTTATTGGATATTAGTCAATTTATGGTGGGATTATTTGCTTGGATATTAATTAATTTTGTGCGGCAGATCTGCGAGCGATCGCTGAATGCTACGACGGGGGGTCCTGCCGGGCCCGTGGCCCCGAGCTTCGTCCGGGCAGAGATGCTGTCCAGTGGTTATCTCATCAGGCCCTGCGAGGGTGGCGGGTCAATGATCCATATCGTTGACCACGTGGACTTGGATGTAAGCCGACTCTCAAGTCAACTACCCCGCTGTTGCTTTATTTTTTCTTATTTTTTGTGTGGATTATCCGTAGGCCTGGAGCGTGCCCGAAGTCCTCCGGCCTCTGTACGAGTCGCCGAAGATACTGGCTCAGAGGATGACTGTCGCTGTAGGTTCTCCACTCCGAGGGCGGGGTCAACGCCGGGTGTGTGGTTGACTAATGGGGGCGCGGGTTCTCTCTGACAGGCACTGCGCCACATCAGGCAGATCTCTCTGGAGGCCAGCGGCGAGATCGTCCATGGCGGCAGCCGCCAGCCCGCCGTCCTCCGGACTTTCAGCCAGAGACTGAGCAGGGGCTTCAATGACGCGATCAGCGGGTTCGCAGATGACGGCTGGAGCTTGCTGGGGAGCGAAGGCTCCGAAGATGTGGTGGTCGCCGTCAACACCTCCCCCAGCAAGCTGCTCAGCCCTCAGTTCAACCCCTCAACGGGTTTCCCGGCCTTTGGCGGCGGGATCCTTTGCGCCAAGGCCTCCATGCTGCTGCACGTAAAGCTCCGCCATTACTGACTGACGTCTTCTCCACGAAGCTCGTGCCCTTGAACGGTTTTCTTCCGAATTGATTTCATGTTATTTTTGTTTATTTTGATCCTCAGAATGTCCCGCCGGCAGTGCTCGTCCGGTTTCTCCGGGAGCACCGGTCGGAGTGGGCGGACTGCGGCGTTGACGCCGCCGCCGCCGCCGCCGCCATGAAGGCCGGGCCCTTCGCCGTCTCCGCCCCGAGAGCCGGCGGCGGCTTCCAGGGCGGCCAGGTGATCCTCCCCCTGGCACACACTGTGGAGCATGAAGAGGTTTCTAATTCTCACCCCTCCCCTCCTTCCATGGCATCACTCTCCTTGCTTTGCTCTCCACTCGTGTGTTGACTTTTTGTTCTGCTCTTCCGAAGTTCTTGGAGGTGGTGAGGCTGGAAAACCATGGTCTGGATGCGGACAATCTGATCTCTCCGAGGGACATCTACTTGTTACAGGTGTGGATCTTGTTTATTTCTGGGTTGGTGTTGGTATCATGGAAGTTGACTTTTTTCCTATCTCGGAGGATCTACCAGCTCTGCAGCGGGGTGGACGAGGGCTCAGCGGGTTCTTGCGCGCAGCTGGTCTTCGCCCCCATCGACGAGTCCTTCGCCGACGACGCGCCGCTGCTTCCCTCGGGCTTCCGGGTCATCCCCTTGGATCCCAAAACGGTGCGTTGACCTAGTGTCCCACATTGTCGGAACCCCGGTTTCCGTGGGGATCGTCGTCACCGGCGGTGGCTTGCAGGATGGGCAGGCGGCGGGTCGGACGCTGGACCTGGCGTCGACCTTGGAGACGCGGCCGGGAAGCGGTGGCGTGGCCCGGACCGCCGCCGCCGACGCCGGCGGCGCCTGCAGGTCGGTGCTGACGATCGCCTTCCAGTTCACCTTCGAGACCCATCTCCGGGACCATGTGGCGGCGATGGCGCGGCAGTACGTGCGGAGCGTGGTCGCCTCGGTGCAGAGGGTCGCCATGGCCATCGCCCCCTCCCACCTGCGCATCGGGCTGAAGTCGCCGGCGGCGGGCTCGCCGGAGGCCCTCACCCTCGCGCAGTGGATATGCCGGAGCTACAGGTCTGATCTGATCTGATCTCATTTGCCAGAATCTCTTCCTAATCTTCCTTCCGCATTCGATCGCCGCCATGAACACGTGCTCTCATTCTATCGCAGGCTGAGCACCGGGGCGGAGCTTCTCAAGCCTGGTCCCCAGCCCGGCGGCGATTCCCTGCTCAAGCAGATCTGGAACCACCCGGACGCCATCATCTGCTGCTCCCTGAAGATCTCTGTAAGCTTCTCTCGTCTTCCTCGGATGGATGGATGGATCTCCTGTATGCTGTTAATCGAGGATAATGATCGGGTGAATCCTGGGCGATGGCGGGAGCAGGCGTCTGCTCCATGCTGCACCTTCGCGAACCAGGCCGGGCTCGACTTGCTGGAGACGACCCTCCTCGCCCTCCAGGACATCCCCCTCGACCGGATCCTCGACGAGCCCGGCCAGAAGGCCCTCTACTCTGAATTCCCCAAGATCATGCAGCAGGTAAACCATCTTCTTCCCTTCTCCCTCTCTGTCTCTGTCTCTTTGTCTTTCTCTCTTTCTTCAAAAGGGGTGGGGGGATCTAAGGGGTTGACTGACGCAGGGGTTCGCTCATCTCCCGGGGGGGATCTGCAACTCGAGCATGGGGCGGCCGGCGTCGTACGAGCAGGCGGTGGCGTGGAAGGTGGTCAACGAGGAGGACGCTAACCAGTACCTCGCCTTCCTCTTCGCCAACTGGTCTTTCGTCTAGCTTCTTCTCTCCTCCGCCCAGCCCACTCCTGGGGAAGACGAGAAAACCTGTTTTGGTACCCGTTCTGTTTAGAAACTCAGGCTTACTATCTCATCTATCTATCCCTTCTTCTATCAACCTCACGCTCTCCTCGCCGCCGGCAGCCGACCGTTGCGGCGGCGAAGTCGCTGCCAGCATGATTGACGACGATAGCATGATTTGCCGGAAGAATATCATTACTATGGGCAGCTGCGCATTAGTCAAAATGGGTTCGAGTATTTACTAAAAAGAACTATCGGCGTTAGAGCAGGGTATTGAAGACGTTGACCAAACTGTTTACATATTTTTGCCAAAAGTGGAAATATCCGGTTTTTCTGAAGGATTATAGCGTATCGCCTGTTCATGGTACTGCTGCTACATAAGGCGTCAGGACGGGGGCCCGGCCTGGTTGCTGTTGTCCTCTCCAAGATGACGTGGCTGGACCGGGTCAACCGCCGACGTGGTCTGTCGTTCACCCTGTCCTGCAGTGGGCCCCCCGGCGTCGGTGCCGCCCTCTGACACACAGTCGTCACGCCGCCTGCAACGCCCCTTCTGTCGGGTGTTGTATTACTACCATAATGCCCTTCTAGTGACACTTATCTTCCCACTTGCCCTTCCAGATTGGGGTTATCTGACCGTTCGTCTCGATACTGCTGACGATATCGTATAAGATTGGGGCAGGTTCCGGTCTGGTAATGATTCGGTCTCCCTACCCGTACGAAGAATATCGGGGAGGTTCGGATCCGCCCCCATAGCCCATCCGCCGCCAGCTGTGGGGCCAAAGCAGGCTGCGGGGCCCACCAGCAACGTACGTGGAGATCTGTCTCTCCCTGTCGTCAGCCGAGATCTTCCCGGATCTGGGCTTGGATTGTTGCCGCGGATCTTCTTGTGGGCCGAGTGGCAACCCCCTTATTGAACCGAACAGGATGACATGAAAATGGGCCGGTTTCGTCATCTGAGATCTTGCTGGATCTGGGCCTGGATTCTACCGCGGACCGAAGGAACGAGGATACCTTACAGAAAACGGGTTCATTTAGGCCCATTAGCTGGTGCAGGATAACCTTAAACGGCGCGGAGGGGACACCCCGCCTCCTGGGTCGTGTGGCCTTTAGGATCTATCATCTCTTCTCGTAGGGAGAAAGAGGGATCGGAGACAGAGAGATGGAGGGCGCGGAGGAGCGGCTCGTCAGGTCGGCCTCCGAGGAGGTCTCCCGGCAGTTCAAGGCTCTCGTCGACGCCGGCGACGTTGACTCCCTCAAGCAGCTGCAGCATCTCATGTACGTACGGCTCTCCCTCCCTCCCTCTCCTCGCTACCCGATTCACAAACCCTAGATCGCGGCCGCCGCCGGAGACGCCGTTGACTTTCTCCTCTTCGGGTGGCGGCAGACTGGGGAGGCTGCAAGATTGCAACGCGGTGCTGTCCCACTTCAACGAGTGCTCCGAGCGATGCTACGCGGAGGTCAGCGGCGACTTCTCGAGGAGCACGCGGCTCTTAAAGTCCATGAAAGCCGACCTCGACCACATCTTCGTCAAGCTGAGGTCGGTCCGGCGGACCGACCCCTCTGCATGTTTTCTTCGCTCTTATCTACCTGACCATCCAGATCGGCGGTGCAGAGGCATGAAGGCGAGGCTGCAGGCGACCTACCCAGACGCGTTCCCGGGGTCTTCCGACCCGGAGGGGTTTCTCGACCGAAGGCCCGATCTCGAGAGCCCTCTCCACCCGGCAGAAGATCCCCGCCATCATCTGTAACGTGGCCAAGCAAAGATGGTATCTTTAGGCGGTGATAGGTCACTTTTTGAGCAGGAGAAGAAGAAGAGGAGCCGAGGGCCGGTTGAGCCTCTCTAGCTTGCAGCAGGACCAGGACTCGGCGGGCAAGCTGGACGCGAAGGATTGTACGGTCTCCAGCTCCTCCCTATGAAGGCAGATAAATAAATACAATTAAAGGGATTTATTTTTTCCCGGTCAAAATTTGCTCATCGGGTCACCAGGTCAACGGAGGTCGTGGTAAGGCGCACCTTCCACCAGGGTGGCCGACGTAGACTAGAACGCTTATGAGGCCCCCAGGAGCAAGAACTCTGCTGGCGGCGTGAAGCGCTGGGAGGGTCGTCCCGGGGAGAGTTATTATGTCTTTACCTCCTCCGGGGAGGTAACCCAGGTTGAATGCCACCAGCCTGCATAGAAAATAAAGTAGGACCAGCCGAAGTTGACTTATGTACCATAAAAAGTCAAATGGGCATGGACTATGAATGTAGCATTCGGGGGGGGGGTCAGAGAGGTCTTGAGTACCTGACCATGGTGCCTTCTGGGAGGACTTCCTCCATCTTACTGTGACAAAGGAGGGAGAGCTTAACAAGTCTCCTCTACGGTAGAGCAATGAAATTGCGACAGTTAGTGTTGTGGAAACAGATTAAGATCCTAATTGACACCAGCAGAGCTATCAAGCTTGGAGAGAGAGAGAGAGAGAGAGAGAGAGAGAGAAGGGAGGGTGGGTGGGACCTGGTCTGGGTCGAGGGAGTCCTCCAACAGGCAGCGTGTGCTCTCTATCGCTGAGCTCTGGATATCAAACCCGTAGATAAAACCGCTACCAGACTCATCGGCCACCATTCTAAGCAAGGCCAGCGTATCATGGCCATTACCACATGTAGCATCGATCGCACAATCTCCTTTGCGGAGAACATTTCTCCACACCCTTGGATAAGATCCCAATAAATATTCAACAGTATAACTCAATAACACAGTTTATGAATGAAATAATAATAATAATAATAATAATAATAATAATAATAATAATTTAATCAACCAAAGCCCATGATGGGTATGTAAATAAAAATAAATTCTTTTGTCCGAATTTCACACTGATCTGAGATTGACACCAGAAAGAACTGTCAGTCAATGGTGATTTGGTACAGATGATGGCGCCATAACGAGAGGCAAAGAGACCAATCCATGGGCGTGTATTGTGAATAAATGAATGTTATTGTTAGCATAAACATTACCATTCTTCACGGTTGACTTGCCTAGTAATGGTCCTCCATTGACTCTTCTCTGCAGTCAACTCTAAAGCAATTAAGGTTCCTCCCTTGGGTGTCACTCGAGTAAGTCCCCACCTAGGTGCCGCTTTGGAGGAACAATAATCAGATGAGATGCCTCGTATCATCAAGATCCTACTCCTCTAGGGATTGTTCCTTCCTGTTGACTTCCTCTAGTTCTACGTTTTTGCTTTTTTGGCCAGACTCATACTTTACCAGATACAAACCCAGCGACCTGTCTTCTACAGTGGTCACTCGTATCCTCAGGGCAAGCAGCTGGGGCAGCTACCCCTGTTGACCACATCACTATTACCATTGTGAGAATTCCCCTCCTCTATTCTAACAGCAATGATGCATGGCATCGACATCGCAGTCTGAGTCAAACTAGCAGAAAATACAAAGTATTAATTATACCAGAAAAATATAAATAAATAAATTATCACTGTTTCAGATTACCACAGGATTGAATGGAATTAAAATCAAACGAGAGATGTAAAAATGAGACAATCACGAGGAACGAAAGGACACCTACGAGTGAGCCACCTCAGTCGCCCTCTTCTTCCCGGCGATGAACCCGAAGAGGGCTTCCTCCGCACCTGAACAACCTCCAAGCGTCAGCACAGAGCGGCGCGGCGGCGAGATGAGCAGAAAGCAAGTAAAATGAGACGGAAAAATTTCCTCCGGGCGCCGGGGACGGCGACGCCGCCTCTGGTACCGCGATTTTACAAATCCGGACGGCCGGCACGGAGCGCCTCCTGTAGAGGGGGAAGCTCCGAGGTCTGCTACGGAGCGGCGAAGGTATCAGGGACAGGGATGGCCGTAGAACCGAAAGCCCCATAGCCCTTCTTCTCCTCCGAGAGAAACGGGTCAGAAAAAATCCGATTTTCAAGTTCGTGGATTGGACGGCGGCTCACATTCCACTACTTCTGAGGGAAAGATCAAGCGGTCTGAAGACGAGAGGCACTGGCGATCAACAGGGCAACAAATCGGGTACCTTTCTAAACCCGGCATATTTTACAGGGTATGAAAAAATAGAACTATTTCGCCAATTATCCACACGAATTATTTCATTAATATTATTCGTATTTAATTCCGGGGCTTCACCAGATTACCCGAAGACGGAAATCAAGCTAATCATGCCAAAAAGCGTTGGCCATCCCTTCGATCAAGTAATTGATTACGCCTCACACCAGAAGCCTAGAACTTGGTCAACGCCAAGGGTCTGCAAAATATGAGCCTCTACAGACCAAAACGCAGAGCTGTTTTCTCTGCATGATTTCTCATGATACATTATCCACAAGCTTTACGTTCTGAAAACATTTTCATACACACATACAACTTGACCTAAAAGAACTGTACTTCAATCCGTAAGTACCTTGGCATCCGCATCTTTGAATTTCATTATCTAAGGATCGGTGTACAACGCCGAAAGAAGGTGGATCTAAGGATCGAGTAATTGGAGATGAACTCAATAATTTGTCCGAGTGATTGAAGATGACAAGCCGATTAAGAAATACATATTGAATCCCGTGGAAACCTTCAATTAGGTCAGCAAGCTTGCAGATTGCTACCGCTATTAGGTTCCTTAGATTAACGAGTTAATTCATCCTTAATAAGCATACTCAGTAGGGACAAGCAATCATATCTTGGTCACTGCGGATGAACATCCACCGCCATGGGTGGGATTGAACAAGTCAACATGAAACCTTCTTCGACTAGGAGTAGAGGGTAGCTCAGTGGAAGGAGAAGTCGTTTAAACGGTGGAAAAGGCTCACTGAGGCTAGTAGCCTCTGCCCACACCAATCCAATAACCTCATCATCGCATCCTCTGAAACGAAGAGAATCGCATCCTCAAAACCGACGCAGCCACATATCAAAGCAGAAATCAATCCAGGGAGGCGTCACATGCGCATTAGACGCATCTCAAGCAAGGAGCAGCGAGTAGAAGTTGTACTGATCGAAATAGCCTGTGCTCGGTCGTAGATCAAGCAACAGCAGGAAGATCCAGAGGGTAAACATGCCAAAAAAGGAAAAGAGGGAAAATCGGAACGGAAAAAAAACAATGGTGAAGAACGCATCAGTGTGTGTAACAACTTGATTCAGTTCACAGACCCATAGGGGGCTCACTGAAATCCGCTAAAAGCACTCATCATATGCAGAGCGACCATCGTATCTCGAAGAAAGCCGATCGAGGAAGAATCGAACATCGGGAAAAAGATGTGCACGGCGAAAGATCTTGCGGAAGACGGACGATTGGTCGACGGATTTCATCCGCCCCGCTAGGGTTACGGCCAGACCACGCGAGACGATTACATCAACCATAACGTCCAGGAAATATTTATAGACGCTTGATCTTTTTATGTAATAATATTTGCATCCTTAGTGTTTCATAATTCCGTTGTAGTCTAGTTGGTTAGGATACTCGGCTCTCACCCGAGAGACCCGGGTTCAAGTCCCGGCAACGGAAATGTTTTTAATTTTGTCCCTTTCAAATTTTAAAATACCTTAATCTCTTAAAATAAATTTCAGATTATTCTCCAGATATATAAGTTCCAAGATTTATTTCTATAAACTATAAATCTAATGCTTTTAAGCAAAGAACTACAAACTGTATTTATTTTGAGGGCTTGTGTGTTTAATGATGATGTCTTTAAACTTTGACAACATGGTTCATATTTCGTAATTATCTAGAGTAAGAAATTAATATCTCCTTAACACAACCCTTAGGTTTATAACTGTCCATATGGGTCTGGAGGTATGTGTGAGAGGGGTCTAGCACCTAATTGACCAGCCATATGCTCCTTCTACATGGTAGTTGACATAAGGCTATTTTGTCTATCTACCTTGTGAATATGTTGAGTCCATAACAACAAAGATTAAGCCAAGTAGAGCGAGGTCTCAAAGAAATCGGCTCAATTCAATGCTATAGTTGGGCATCTAAGGCATAATACAAGGTGATGGGATGCAAGAACCTAACATCATTGTAGGCAATGATACAACAAATCCTACACAATAGAAGGCGAGTGTAGTAGAAGCATCTGATGGTGAACTTGCACCAAGTCCCTTCAAGGAGGGAGGGTTTCAAGACTCCACAACAGCTATAAGTTAGAAAGAGGGCCTCAAGAAATGGGACAACAGTTCTAAAGAACTTCCTTGGGAGGTGAAGACTCACCATCTCATATCAGTGACACCAAAATTGTAGTTCTTGATTTTGTATCGTCTTCGTTCTCATCTAGTTCACCTTCGTCCCTGATACCCTCCCTTTTTCCTTGTCTTTTCTCCTCACTCCCTTTTCTTGGATGCTCAATCTCCACTTCGTGGTAGGCTCAATCAATTGGTCGTGGAGGTTTGGTCTTCTCCCATGAAGCCAACGAAAACCCATTAGATTATCTCTCCCTTTTCTTGCCCCCATATATACCTAGACTTTGCTCTTCTACATTCATCATGGTCTACCAAAAATCCTCCTCAAATAACATACTAATATTTTTGTTCATGTCCATATAGGAATAAGTCAAACCAAATGTTTGTCTTAGGTTAGGGTAAGACATGTTAGATATTCATTTGCTTCTACTTGAGGAGGAGATTGTTCTTCTTCTGTATGATCTTGTCCAAAAAGAGAAAAATATTTATCAATGTGTATATATCATCATAGAAGTTCTCATTCATTGTCTTATCTACACATTCATCTACAAGATCGTCAAACCTTGCTATCTCCCTCATTGGAATATTGAAAAACCTTAATTGCATGGAGTGTTGTTATTTGTTTATCAAAATGTATGTCAACTACTCTCTCTACTCAATTTATATTTTCCTTAGTTGTGGTAAAAAATGGTCAGCAAAGGATAATATGGGATTGACATATGTTTTAAGAAATTGACATGTTAAGTACTAAAAAGTTAACGAGAAAATAATATCCCCACATGTTTATAACTACATCTTCTGTAAGACCTTTGAAAATCTTTTTCGAGTTGATGGCTAATTGTAAGATAACTCAGATAGATTTCAACTCTTTATGTGAAATTATTTCTATTCAATAGTAGGAAGGAGGTTAATGTAAACTCCAAGGTCAAGTAATACTCCTCAAAAGGTAATACCATTAAAATCAAAATCCATGAGTGAGGCACTAGGGTCTTTCTATTTTTTCAAGAGTTTATTCAATACAGTGGTACTAACTTCTTTTAATAGTCTAACCTTCTTCAACTAAATGTGAACTTTTCACATGTACTTGTTGAAAACGTTCTAATAACTCTTCATTTAATTTAATTTCTTCTTGAGCTGATCTCACTTGGGTTCAAGATGCCTTTCCTTTCCCACTAAATCCATCCCTTAATTTAGGTGAGTTGGCATCCTATTTTTGTAAAGGATCAAACTCTTTGCCATTATTAGAGTTCATAAGTGATTTTGTGGAGATATTGTGCATGATGTTTTCTCCAACTTCCCTCCCTAAGGATGTCATGAAAGCTTTTTCTTTAACAAGATCCCTACCAAGTTGTGTGGATGTGCAAGTTATGGGCTTCTGTTGACAAGGATCTCGGTGACACTCTTCTATTTTAGAGTGTTCCTATAGCTTTGGTACTCTCAAAGTGGTGTTTCCCAAGTGGAGATTGTGGCTTGCCTTGTGACATGACAGAGGATGGGCTTCCAACTTTGGGAAGTTGAAGGTTCCTAAAGTTGAAAATAAGTTGATCCAAAAGTTGACTAACTTCTCAAGGCATAATGATCTCTACTAGTTTGCTCAACTCTCTATCTACCCTAAAAACAAATTGATACTTATAATGCAAATGTTGGTGATCTTGTTCTTATTCTATTACTTGATTTATTTTTTTTAAATAAAATAAAATAAATTCAAAATTTATAAAACTAAAAAATACCTTTTTTAGATTATAAAAATATTTTAAAATAAATAAACATTTATAATTTGATAAAAAGTCAAAAAATATTGATAAATTGTTAGTTCAATCACATCCATGGAAATAATGACTCATTGTATTTTATAATTTTTCAAATAATATATATATTATAATTTTTAAATTAAAAAAATAAAGATAAAATATATTTAAAATTATGAAAAAAAGAAATTCAGGTGCAGATGTTATGATAACATTAGTCCCCCAATGAATGCGATTGTGAAAAAAATAATATTTCACTTTAAAATTTCTATGTAAATGATTATATATGAGTTATTTGATCAAATTAAGATATATAAAAGCTAGAAGAATTGTAATTCATTGAATACGATTTTGAAATTTTGAAATAATATGAAATCTGATTAAAGTATGAAACAACATTCAGTGAGCTCATATGAAACAACATTGAGGTTCCACTTTTGTTTTGAATGCATTTTGGCTGATTCAAGTACAAATTCTCAATGTAGATCTTTGGAGGAGCTACTCGAAGAGAAAATTGTCTGGCTTTGGCGACATATAAAGGCATGAGATATTTTAATCTAGGTTCGACATATTCTGCATGTGAACAACCATCTAACTTTCGTAGGTTTGAATAGATAGAAATACGATGTTAACTTTGTATTGTGATTTATTCATGAGTGATTTTCCCTCCCCCCCTTAATCATCTTTTGCATCGCTAAACTTCAATTTCTCTCTTTTTTGGCGGGAAAAATTCTTCTTGTGAGTTCATTTGATTTAAATCTATCAATCAAATTAAATAGTAATTCATAATGCTTAATTCTCATTTCTTCTAGATCAACCTCGAACTTACTACAATACTTACCTATTTAAGTATTTTAATTTGGTAAATTCATAATTTTAAATATTTTTGATCAACTTATTTTAGGACTTTCAATGATCCTCAATTTTGTTTTATCACTCATCTCTTGATGAATCATTTTCTTTCTAACAACTATTCCTCATTAATCAATTAAATATAATTTTTTTATTTAGATTCATGATATTTTTTATCCATAACTATTTAGTAGACGACAACAGTACAATGCAAATCATGTTGACTATATTTTCATTGATGATTGAGAGATTATAAGGGCTTAATCATTATCATCACTTTGTAGGAAAATTGTGATTATAAGGGCTTAGTTATGGTGGGATTTAAATCCTCACCAGTCACCTTTGTACACAAGAAGTAGTTAAAAATGTATGCAAATATCTTTGTTAAGTGACGTCATAAGGGTATTTTTTTTATATAAAAGATGAGTACTTTAGATATTAAAATCACTAAAAACTTGTTAGTGAGCAATAGTGAGCGTATAGTCTCACATTAATTATTTTATGAGTTTTGAGATAAATAGATTATCTCTTTTTCTTTGACTAATATAGTGATGTCACATGTGTATAATAATTCTTGTCCCATGCTCAACTAGTCAATAGTGACATGGAAGGGGAGTAGCACACATGCCATGTTAACCATTCCTTAGCTGCTTGAGCCCCTTACTTATGCCTCTGCCCAACTATGCTTCTGACCCATTTACAAGCATGATTGGTTAGTGGGTCTTCTATTTTATGATATTTTTATTATATTATATTATATTTTTAAAAATATAATTATATAAAATAATACATTAATATAAAATCACATATTTGTTAAAAAATATATTAACTAACTAAAACTTATTTTTTAATTTAATAAAAATATAAGTCTATTTATCATGAGTTAAGACTTAAAGTATGTTATTAAAAAATTATTAATACATGATAATGAAGACTTATTATTATATTATAATATTCTCCAACATTTATTGAATTTGAGTCAAAATAATATTATTTGGAACTATAGTCTTACTGTGTAAAAAGTGTTGGCATGATCTACTCTTAAGTTGTTATGCCAAAGATTGTCTACTTATATTATAATGGGATGTTGGTTTTGGGGATGTGGTGCTAACCTAGGTCTATAAAAAATTTGGGTGATCTCTCTAGCCAAAGTTATGTGTTCAAGTGAGGATCATAGGTGTGTCTAGGGTACCCTTGATCTGCCTAGACCTAGCTGTGGTCTAGGGGAAAAGGAATGTGTGAGTGTAGGCAACTAGACTCGTAGTCGTCCGCATACTCATAGTGAGAACATGTCATGTAGGGGAGGCTAGAATTTGAGGTAGATGAGGTATGCTTAGGTAGTACTTGTCGATAAGTAGGTAGGTGAGGTGTGTAGGATGGTGTATGACTTGATAGAAATTAATCAAGATTTTCATACAAAAAAGTTCACTTTCTCTAACTACTATTTTATTGCACTAACTTTAGCTCTCATATATCTATCCTCATATCATTCGAGTTCATAAATTCCTCTCTTTTTCTCTTCTCTAAGCTATCTATCATAAGTAGAAAGTGATGCAAGATAAATCTTATATAAATTTTACTAATCATCTCATAAAGTCGATAAATCTCATCATCACCCTTACTCATAAATACCTTTTCATAGTCTACATCTACGATTCGCTTATAATGGTCAATTAAACCATTATAGAATACAATACTAAGCTGGCACTTGTGCATTTTGTGATGTGATCACTTTCTAATAAGTTATATGAGGCAATCGTATGTATGGGCTCTCCAAGTCTTTGAGAAAAACTAAAAAGATTGCTTTCTTTTTAGGATATTTTTTTTAGACATGGTAAAACTAGTCTAGGAATTCATGGTCTAAGTATGTGTGTAATTTCTTCTATAAGGTGGATAACTAATGTATACATTTTTCCTTCAATAAACAAGATTTTATTTTAATTATAACAATACTCTTAAGGAGATTTGGGATATACATCATATCACATATATCAAGAAATTGTTATAAGTGTTGGTGCAATTACTATGTGGTATTATCTTAAAAGTATGATAGCATTTAAAGTATGGTGTGTTTTATCTTATATTGGGTAGTAGGGTCTATCAATGCTATAATAGAAGGATTATCTATATGTTGTTCTAGTGTGAAGTAATCTCACATTTCCCTAAGTTGAGGGCTATCCTACAACTCTATTGACACTTAGTTTTGCTCACCTTGACCAGCCATCTCTAAACTACATTTTTGGGATTTACTAGGTGTAAATCATTACATTTCTAAGACAAGTTCTAGTAGGTCTGGCCTTAGTGATCTTCTGCTACACCTACATAGACTAAAATATATATGGTTTAAGATAAAAAACTTAAAATAAAAAATGAAATAAATTCTAAAATAAAATAGATATACAATCATTAAAAGGTGAATAAGGGTATAAAAGAAATAAAAAAATGTTTTTTAGAGGAATTAAAATAAAACTACAAGAAATAATTAAGTGAAGCTATTAAAAGAAGTAAAAAAAAAAAACACTGATTTTGGCCCTTTTGTGTCAAATTTTGAATGCTTCTGCTCCTATAATTTCTAGTGACAATTGTCTTAATTCCTTTGGATTTATCCCCCTTTTTTATTTTTTATAATAGTTTTTCTGAACACAGTAAAAGTTAGAACTAAATTCAAAAAGGATTATAAAGTCAAAGGACAATTCAAATCAATGTAATTTATAATCTAATTAGGAGTATCTCAAATCAATGTAATTCCTTCCCCACAATGGTGTCAAAAATTATTGTACTAAAGTTTGTTGTTGTTTAAAGGTTTAAGAACCCCACAACAATTTATAAAATTTGTAAAACTAAAACCTGCTCTAAGATAAAAATCAATTGAAGTGTACATAAAAATCAATTAAGCAAGAAGATGAAATCTGTTCTAATGTTATGTGTTGATTATGTGAATTTCTTAAGAGTGTTATGTTTGCCTATGTCATTTTTTTTTTCCTCCTTGCTAATTATAAGGGTTAATAGCACATCGAGTAAGGGCTTCAGTAGTAGTTAAACCTCAGTTGAAGAACATCATAACAAGTTAAACACTTTTAAGAAATTTACATAGTTGGCGTAGAGAACCTCACAACAAATTTCCTCTCCTTGTTTCATCATCTTTTTTTTGTTCTTTTTATTTATTCTCACTCTTTCGCAGCTAGCAAAATCATAATTAGATAATTATATTTTTCAAGAAAAAATCCAACATATTTTGAATAGAAATCTTTGTACATTGATTTTTCTCTTAAAGCAGATTTCGGTTTTAAAATATTAATATTATTATATGGATCTTAAACTTCTAAACAATAACAAAGTGTAGTGGATCAATAATCATCTATCATTATTTCCTAAAGGGATGAGAGTTATTATTCATGCACATCTAGTGTCATCATCCACCATCATCCATATTCATCCATTACTTATTATTGTCAATTGTTGTTCAGTTATTACTTGTCGACATGATTTGTTGTCTATTATTCAACCATTGCCTACTTTGTCTACCATCATGTGATGTTCTTGTTCAATGTTTGTCATTCAATCATTTCTTAGTCATCCACTACTATCACCCACCAATTGATGCCTTTTACTCATTGATTGACATCATAATCAATGCTTACTACTATCACCTCTCCATTATTCGTTGTGTAGTTGTTCTACCCTTTGTCTAGTATGTTGTCATTACTTTACCCATTTGATTGTTCATACTTATTCACCAGACCCTTGCTTGATTGAATAATCAATTATGATTAAATCTTATTAGTGTTGGCCTTCTCTCCTAGCTTAGCAGCTACAATCTAGAAGTTGATTCTTTGAAGTATCATTTTTTGAATAATAAAAATTCTAATAAATTCTAAAACTCAGGGCTGTAACCACCCAATGCTAGCCATAGGATCTCCTCTCTCTCTCTCTCTCTCCCCCCTCTCTCTCTCTTGCATCCTAATGACCCAACTTAGATACATTAATGATGTATAAAATATATACATATAATAAATAAAAATAATGAATTTATATGCATAATCACTCTCGTCCCAACATCTAAAAATGATTTTTTAGAATAAATTTTATCTGTTAGCATACTGCCCTTCTGATGCAAGGAAAATGTGGGGTCAGAATTCACTGGTAGATTTTTGGGCCGTTGTTATTGGGCCGCCTATGTTGCCGTCTGCTTGTATGGGAAGCGGGAGTTTCTCCGACGACGATGGGGTCCACCCGGGGTCTTCCAAGGGTTTTCCCGTCCCTATAAATACGCAGATGCCGTCGTCACTCATTTCAAAACCTAGCCGTCGTTCTTGGGATTTTTCGCTTGGTGGTAAGGCACCTTCCTCTTGATTGCAGACGTCCACGCGGAAGCATTCTCTCTTATGGTCGCAGATCCTGTCACATTCATCCAGCCTCTGAGACCGAATTAACAAGCGCCGTCTTGGTCGGGAGCGATTTTGCTGCCTCTCCATCCCGCAGTTCATTTGGATCTTTGATGGTTCTCCATTGCGGAGTTTTCCGTATCAGACGATACGAGATATCGACTGTTTCAACTTTATTTTTCTCGTTTTTTTATTAAACACGTTTCTCCGGATTTCGTCTATCCTTTTTTCTGTTTGGATGTAGACTTGGTGAATGTTTTTTTCCCCGGCGATATTCTTTTTTCTGTCCGTTTATCGGACGAAAGATCAGCTAGCTATTCTGACGAAGTATTCGCCAGATGAAACTTTCGTTACTAGATGTTTTTATCTCACATGATCGGTAGGTGAATGTGATGCTTCTGGACGTGTTTTTGCATATCCAGCTCAATGATCGGATTCCCTCTATTTGGGAGATATACGCTATTCTGATTTTGCAAATGCGAGCTTCTGAAGAAGAATGAAATATGAGAGCTGATTCGTATTATATTCCGTTCTACGACAATTGGTAATTGTGGTGTCGTTTTCGTCGTTATAGGGATTATCTACGTTTTTTTCAAAAGTGGTTTTAAAACAGGGTAGTATTGACGCCGCTTTAACCGCCATTTTTCAGATGGTTAAGTTATTTGGAAAATCTTTCTTTAGATTTTTTTAATTGCATATCCTCGTCGATTAGCTGCTGGAAATGATTTCTTCGTCATGATCCAATTGTCCTTCATCTTTCGAAACACTTTGTGTTATGAATCAATTTGGTTGGAAAATGAACACTCTCGGCCTCACATGATCTAGGAAAACTTTTCTGCATGCCAGACTATCTAGATTTAAACCTCCGCGAAAGAGCTATCATGCGACTGAGAAAATGTTTCTTACGACTTAGAACTCTTATGGTCCGGAGATTGTCTCATATTTTCCCGCGAGAACTAAGGTTTTTAATTATTCTCTGCTGTGAGGAACAATTGACTTCTCTACGCACGTCGGACTTCAGAGATTTAAACATCAATGAGAACAAAAGTCTTATTCTGAGCAGAAATTGTGATCCGATAGCATTGGAGCTTTTCCCGTTCTGGTTTTCTCCCTCGTAATGCTCTCGTTATAACACTCTCATTCATCTTCTCTGCTTTGAGGAACAATTGACTTCTCTACGCACGTCGGACTTCGGAGATTTAAATATCAATGAGAACAAAAGTCTTATTCTGAGCAGAAATCATGATCCGATCTAGCATTGGAGCTTTTCCCGTTTGAGTTTTCTCCCTTCTAACGCTCTCGTTAGAAGACTTTCATTCATCTTCTCTGCTTTGAGGAACAATTGACTTCTCTACGCACGTCGGACTTCGGAGATTTAAACATCAATGAGAACAAAAGTCTTATTCTGAGCAGAAATCATGATCCAATCTAGCATTGCAGCTTTTCCCGTTCTGGTTTTCTCCCTTCTAACGCTCTCGTTATAAGAGTTTCATTCATCTTCTCTGCTGTGAGGAACAATTGACTTCTCTACGCACGTCGGACTTCGGAGATTTAAACATCAATGAGAAGAAAAGTCTTCTTCTGAGCAGAAATCGTGATCCGATCTATCATTGCACGTTTTCCATTCGGGGTTCTTTCCCTTCTAACGCAATCATTATAAGACTTTCATTCATCTTCTCCGCTGTGAGGAACAATTGACTTCTCTACGCACGTCGGACTTCAGAGATTTCAACATCAATGAGAACAAAAGTCTTATTGAGCAAAAATCGTGATCCGATCTAGTACTTCGGCTTTTCCCGTTCAGGTTTTCTCCCTTCTACTGCTCTCACTGAAAAACTTAACATTATTTTGTCTGCTGCGAGGAACAATCGACTTTTCCACGCACGTCGGACTTTGGAGATTTCCACATCAATGAGAAGAAAAGTCTTCTTCTGAGCAGATATCATGATCCGATCTAGCGCTGTAGCTCTTCCGATCGGGGTTTTCCCCTTTCTAACGCAGTCATTGTAAGACTTCTCTACCTCTGTTGGGCTTAGGAGATCCACATACATTAAAACAGGAAATATCCTCATTCCGAGCAGAAATCATGATCAAACCCACTACAAATTCGTCCTCTCCATCGTGTTACTCCAGTTCCAACTCTCCTGTTCTTATTGAAGCAAACCTTCTTACTTATAATGTAGATTGTGCCGTGCATTCAACCCCCCTGGCTCTGTTCGGTTAGACTTTTCGAGAAGCCGCTCAGTTTCTGTAAGATCATTTCATACAAACCATATTGAATTGTCATCCCCACTATGCTAAATCTAGCTAATATTGGTTTAATATTTGCCCCCTCAATCATCCGATGGAGAACAGCCCTCGTTGAGAATAGTCCCCCCTAGATCATCCTCCGCTTCCGTTGATAATGACCTTGGATTGCGGGCCTAGCCCGTTCTCACGTGGCTGGCTATAGTGAGCCTTCTTTAGCCCATTATATATGGGCCAATGGTTTATATTCTCAAAGTTTCGCAAGTTTGGACGTATCTACGAAATTCGGCCCGATTCAATGAACCATCAGAGGTGTCGAAGCGAGTCGGCCGCGATTCGGGCCGAAGGTGTTCAATCCAGGAAAACCGTAGTATGTACAGCGCGACTCCTTAAACCCTAGAAATTATGGTAGATGGAGAAAAAGAGGTACACCTGAGAGGTCGACCAGTTGGCTGCCGTCTTGCAGAAAGCTTATAGGAACAGATAGATTACACACACGGGTTGGGGGGGTGCACAGGGAGAGAGGGAAGAAGGCTTGCTCTACTGAGCCAGAGCGCTGGTGTTGTAGACGAGGAGCGCGCCGCCCGCCAGCAGCCCGGCGAGCGTCACCGCCCAGATCAGAAGCCCCGTCGTCCCTGCACACGTCGCCGGAAGAAACCACCCATGTGAGCAATTGAAAGGCCAAGAAAGATGACTGGGAGGCGCAAGCAGCTTCAGCCTCGCCATGACCGCTCACCTCCGACGTAGACGTCGCCAGACGGAGACCACTCCTCCGGAGAGTAGATCGGGCTGCAAAGTACAACCACAATCAGGTCGAATTCCAACAATCTTGGACATGAATTTGCTCAACTATTCCCACTCCAGAAGGTTCGAAGAATCACGGATCTGTGCTCCTACCTGTATCCGTCGACGTTGGCGCCGTACTTGTCGACGAACTGGTAAACTCCCTTTCCCTGCGAACGATTCAGATCCAGAGATTGAGATCGGTAGCCAGAGAGCTTCTGCTGAACCAGCCGCGGAGCGGGATCCTCACCTTGGCCTTCCTCCCCGAAGCATCGACGCCCTCCTTGTAGTCGAGCCCGCCGCCGGTGCCTGCAATCAGGAGTTTCAACGCGGAGCAATGGATACATCAGAACCTCCGATACCGTCGGGGCAAGCCAGATCGAGTGCTGTTCCGATGCGAAGAACACCGCCAGAACTCGGATGCAACGAATCAGGCGGATCTGAGATTACCGTATGGAGTGTTGGTCTTGATCTTCTTCCCGCCGCTGGCCTGCACCCTGAGGGCGGAGGCAGGCCTGGCCAGCGAGGGGAGGCCCTTCGCCGGAGATCTCCCCACCACGGGGGAAGGCTTCAACGACAAAGAGGACATTACCGAGGCCGCCATCTCTCTTGCCGCCCCTTGCTCTGCTGCTCTCGCTCCTCTCTCTCTGCTCTGCTCTGCGCTCCCCCTTTCCCTGGCTAATAACGCTCTCGGAGATATCTTCCCGGCCTGTGTAGAAGCCCACTCTCTATGGGACACGTGGCCCCATCTCTGTGGCTAGTTTGCGATATGGTTGCCCCCAAACATTATCTTCCCTCTTCCCGCGAGATTTCGTCCAGAAACAGAGGAGAGAGAGAGAGAGAGAGAGAGGAACCCCCTTTTTTGTGGCCTGTAAATTCCAAAAGAGGAAATAAGACCAAACCGTCCACGTTCCTAATTTTTTTATTATTAAAGAGGAGAAAAAAATCTAGAGTTCGTGTGTGGGCCTCGAAAACACCCGAACCCCAGCCCAATAATTGTTTCTCACGTTGACAAATTATCTGGGCAGAGCCCAAAACAGACCCGTTAACAAACATTGGCCCAAAGTTCAGCCCCCAATACGTGTCTTTGACGTGGACCAGTCAGATGGGCTTACCTCAAAGGCCCGTTAACAAAATGGGCCCAAAACTAGACCTCGTCACTTCCTGACTCAAGCGATTTCTCCTTTGGGGGTGGGGGGGTCCGGCGCCGCTTCCTCTCGTGTGTTATCTACCTTTCGGATGTATCTGACGGTCTAGATGTGATCAATCGGACTGGTTTCGGTCGAGAGGGGACCGTCCGATCAAGGTGACATAATCTGGTCAACGATCGAGTCCAGATTTTGACTTCCACCAGGGTTACTGTTTTTGAAAGGTAAGTCCTGCCCTTCGAACTGGGTTGGAGCCCGTGGAATGCCCCTAGCCCGCCCTCCCAAGGGGTTATTATCTACGTGTGGGGTCCACGTAGGCCATTTCCGCACGCCAGGTCATATTCAACGGCGGGAATGCTCCGCCGTTCCTTGGTAGAGATGACCCAATAGCTGACGCACGCGTGGCAACGTCTCACCGAAGCCGTCAGCCCCGTATTTTCCACGCTCAAGGTGAATGTTAAGTAACGTGAGAGAAATACGAAGGCGACTGCGACGAGAGGCGTTGACTTTCAGGGAACTCGTCCGATTCGTGGCCGCCGGGGACTTAATGGCGGTGGGGATGGGAGGAGGCTGTTTACTTCACGTCGCCGTAGCTAGGAATAGAGTCACTGGTTGGACCCACTTCGCCAGGCGGCGCTTTGTTTGCCATTAAATTCGAAGAAGCCCGTGCGAGGGTTCACCCTTCCAGCTCTCTCTCTCTCTCTCTCTCTCTCTCTCGCTCTCTCTTTCTGTCTTTCTATCTATTTAGCTGTAAATGGCAAGGGCCGGCCGTTGGAAGCTGGGTTTTGCTGGCGAGGTCTCCCATGAACCCATATATACTTACCACTCTCTCCTCTTTGTCTCTCTTTGTTTCTCTCTCTCTCTCTTTCTCTAGATCTGTAGACGGCTTAAGGGAGCTTCTGCGAATGGAGGGTGAATTCGACAAGAGATGTTGACTTTATGGTATGGGGATTCCTTTCCTGCTTCAAGCTCTTCCTGGGTCTTCCCGGTGACACCCGCGCAATAAACGAGAAGCAGATTGTGACGGCCATGAAGACGGAGATCATCGCCGTCCACTCCAGGATCCGTCTCGTCATCTTCGTCTTCCTCCTCATCGCCGCCATCGTTTCCCTGCGCTGGATCGGCACTGTCAGTCCACCAGCCTCTTCTTCTTCTTCCTCTTCCTCTTCTTCTTCTTCTGCCTGGTCTTCTTATTGAGGTTGACCCTCTGATTCCTGACCTTTAAACTCCTTCCAGTCGAGGATCAACATAACCTTCTTCTTGCCGGCGAAAGGGAAATCGGAGGTAGACGAGTGGGCTCACCTGGCATGTCCTACCGGCCCTCAGACCGTTACTCCAACCTGCGCGGCGCCGTCACCATCTACGAACCCTACAGAGGCCCCTGCCCCCGCGGCGGCGCCGTCAGCGGCGGCGCCGTCAGCGGCGGCGCCGTCAGCGGCGGCGCAACTCTGTCCAGAATACTTCAGGTGGATCCACGAGGACCTACGGCCATGGAGAGACACGGGGATCACAAGGGAGATGGTGGAGAAGGCCAGGGCTCACTTCCGCCTGGTCATCGTCGACGGTCGCGCCTACGTGGAGAAATACGACCGGAGCTTCCAGACTAGGGACGTCTTCACTCAGTGGGGGATCCTCCAGCTCCTCCGCCGCTACCCGGGAAAGCTCCCCGACCTGGAGCTCATGTTCGACTGCAACGACCACCCCAGGATCCCGAAAAGCCCGGCGGCGGGGCCGCCGCCGCCGGCGCTGTTCCACTACTGCGGTGACGATTCCACCGCCGACATCACCTTCCCCGACTGGTCCTTCTGGGGCTGGTGATGCCCTCTTCTTTCAGTGATTCCCTTGTGAATTGACGAATCTCCTCCCACGGTAGGGGCTGATTTTTGAGCTCGATGGCGCCGCTGCAGGCCGGAGGTCAACATCAAGCCGTGGGAGCCACTATCGGCGGAGATGAAGGCGGCGAACCGGCATCTCCGGTGGGCTGACCGAGAGCCCTACGCGTATTGGAAGGGGAACCAGTGGGTGGATCGACGGCGCCAGGAGCTCCTCCAGTGCAACGTCTCCGACAAGCAAGACTGGAACGCCCGGCTCTACCCCCAGGTCAAAGGCTTCCTGTTTTCCTGACTATTGTACTATTTATGACGTCATTATTCGTCACCCATTAATCTCGTCCCCCGCGTGGAAATGCAGGATTGGGTCGCTGAGTCTCAGAAAGGGTTCGAGAACTCCGACCTGGCGAGGCAGTGCAAGCACAAGTGAGGGAAAAAAAAACTTAAATAGTGGGGACGAACCCATTTTCTTGCCATATTTAATGTGCTATGATTTTGGAATGGTTTCAATGGGTTGAATTATTTCCCATTAAATCGAGATGAAAATTCAGGGTTTGACGATTTGTCGTGGCGGTAGGTACAAGATCTACATCGAGGGCCGGGCGTGGTCCGTCAGCCGGAAGTACATCCAGGCCTGCGATTCGCCGGCCCTGGTTGTTGCGCCGCGATACTACGAATTCTTCTCGCGGGGGATGGCGCCGCTGCGGCACTACTGGCCGGTGAGGGCTGACGCCATGTGCGCCGCCATCAAGTTCGCCGTCGACTGGGGAGGGCACCACCAGAAGGAGGTGAGAGGAGGAGGGAGGTCCCCCCACCGTCTGCGGCTGTCTCTCCGTCTTTTCCGGCGGCGAATCATCACCGGTGCTCCTCCGTGAAATGGGCAGGCGCAGGAGATTGGGAGGAAGGGAAGCTCCTTCGTCTTCGAGGAGGTGAAGATGGAGTACGTCTACGACTACATGCTGCACCTGCTGACGGAGTACGCGAGGCTGCTGCGGTTCAAGCCGATCGTCCCGCCGGGGGCCGTCGAGCTCTGCAGGGAGGAGCTGGCCTGCCCGGTGGAGCCCCTGGCGAGGGAGTTCATGAGGCAGTCGGAGGTGAGGGCTCCGGCGGCGATGCCGCCATGCTCGCTGCCCCCTCCCATGAAGCCGGAGGAGGTGAAGCTACTCTGGGCCGAGAGGGCCAACGCCACGCACCAGGTCGAGCTCTTGGAGACGAGACCTCTCGCTGACTCGGAGAAGAAACCCTAGATTCAGTCTTCCTCCGTCTTTTGTGACCGGAGCTGAAGGAACCCTCCTACCAACCGAACTTTGCCTCTTTTTCTATTATTTGATTTTGGCAGGCAATCGTCACGGCTATCAATCACAACGTTAGAGAGAGAGAGAAAGAGAGAGAGAGAGAGAGAGATGTATAAAACTCTTTTTGGAGGAGCTAAACCACGGACTCGGAGAACAAATCCGTGAAGGTTGTGATTGGTCAATTGATGGAACGAGGTCGTCTTCTTTTATGCAGAAGGGAGACGTAATCCGGCGTAGCCGCAATTTCACGGTTGACGACGTTGACCCGGAGCTTGGTAGTTGATTTGACCGTGAGGTACCTGGGCCTTCCTCGGGGGTTGATTCATTTCATTGACCATTTGGTAAGCTACGATTATCGATCTCGTCGGCTGCAGCGAACGTTCCACATGGGGACGAGGGAAAACCAGGTAGACACACACAGACAAGGACATGATACACTTCATGTGAGCCCCTCCACACCACCTGTCTCTCTCTCTCGCTCTCTCTCTCTCTCTCTCTCTCTCTCTCTCTAAATCTACCAATCTGAATCTATCGGCATCTGCACGCAGGGGAATATATCTATCTACCCATCTCCTATCCATCGCTTATTTTCTATTGTAGACGCTTATAGCTTCGCTTCACGACAATCAAGGAGCCTCTAACATGCTTATCTGTGTGTGTGTTCTCTCTCTTTCTTTCTCTCTCTCTCTCTCTCTCTCTCTCAGTTCTTGCTCACCTTTACCCCATTGACTATAGAGAGAGAGAGAACCCTTGCATGCATACTGTGGGGTTGACCATCTCTCTCTCTCTCATTCTTCCATCTTTCTCTCTCTGTGTTCTTTCACTTATTTTTCCGCCGGGATAAAAGTAGCGATCGATTACCTTCACCGCATGGAAAAGTGAGGAGTCCCCGGCCTGCCTTTCTGGTGGGTTTCTTTCTCCCTCTCTCTCTCTCTCTCTCTCTCTCTCTCTCGTTCAACTTTACTACGTGGAAGTGGAGGGGACCCGTAGCATGGGACTGTGGTGGGCTTTGGTAGGTCGGCCACGCTTGGCAGCAGTAGGTACAGTCGGCCAAGTCGGACTGGCCTAATTGGACACTTCAATATTGGGCCTCATTCGTTCGGAACATGGCCCAATAAAATGCACCCCAATCTACTGATGAGAAGATTCGCCTTGGCCCAAACATTTTAATTAGGCCGGCTATATTCAAGTATCGGGCCCAATTGGATACTTCCATGGAGGGCCCACCCCGTTTGGATCATGGCCCAATAAAATGTACCCTAATTTACGGACGAGGAGACTGGCCTGGGCCCGCCCATATTCCAGTGTCGGCCAGGAAGTAGTTCATCAGACGCGAGAAACGATGTCCGACACGTGGAAGAGTAGTTCATCAGATTCCTCTCTGCTCACGGTCGAACAGTGCGCCTGCACACGCTGCATACGTGGATTTCGATGCTGACTGGACTCCACCAGGCAACATCTCACGCGCCGACAAATCCCACCCACCGATCCGGTTCACCGTCGAACCGGGAGTGAGCCCCGGCGAGTGGGCCCCACATGCAACTCACGGGCCCGTAATGCGTCTCAAAATCCCATTTGATAAAGGGAGTGGCGTCCGTGGGCGCCCTTTTTGGCGGGGAAATCATTAAAAATAGAAACTATAAAATATTCTCTGATCCTCTCTCTCTCTCTCTCTCTCTCTCTCTCTCTCTCTCTCTCTCTCTCTGTGTCTGAGCTCCTCTCAGCAGCGGGGAGTGTACTCTGCACGAGGAGGTGTTAGGGTTTTCTCTCTTCCTTCCATCCATCACCGAGCTCAGCGCCATGGCAGCGTCTCTGCAGGACGCATCTCGTTAACCTGGACCATCTGAAGCATTCAAGGTGGCAGGATCTCGCTGCCCCTTTTATTAGGTTTCTCGGATTCAAGGCGGCGGTGGAGTTGTCTCTCTTTTAATGCGGTACCTGGGGATGATAGTGGAGGAGGGGCCAGACGAACATAGAAGGTACACGCGCTTATATTACTCTGCACTCCGCTGATCTTCGCTGCCTCTTGGGGAGCATTCCTCTGAAGAGATCACCTCCGCTGAAGGTCCTCTGAGTTGCCAATCTCCGATTCTGGAAGTCTCTGCTCAGAGTGGCGAACCAAGTGGGAGATGTAATTCCGGACCATCCCGAGGTTAGATCCCTGAGGATAGCGTTGGGGCCTCTCTCCCTTGCTGGCTTGCTGGTATGTTTCTGTAGCCCGCACAAGGCTAGAGGTTGTGCTTGCTGTGCTTCGGAGGTCCCTCTCTTTTCGATACCTCCGCCTTACTCTACTCTGAGCTCCTCCTCCAGTAATGGCGTAGCTCCTGGGTGTGTTCTGTGGGCAGAGCGGGGTCTAGGGTCACTCCAGTTGACTGCATTTTGGGGTCGCCGTTACCCTAGTTTTAGCTATGGAGTATCTTTTGATCCTTGCTCTCTGCTCCCTTGCCGTCGCTGCCTCGGCCCAGCTCCCATCCCAGGACATCCTGGCTCTCCTCGAATTCAAGAAGGGGGTCAAGCAAGATCCCACTGGCTACATCCTGGATTCGTGGAACGAGGAGTCGATCGATTTCAATGGTTGCCCTTCTTCCTGGAACGGCATCGTCTGCAATGGGGAGAATGTGGCCGGGGTGGTGCTCGACAATTTGGGAATCGCCGGGGACGCCGATTTGGGCACTTTCACGAATCTCACATTGTTGCTGAAGCTTTCCATGGCCAACAATTCGATCTCGGGTGTTCTTTCCAGCAGCGTGGGAGACTTCAAGAGCTTGAAGTATCTGGATATCTCCAACAATCTGTTCTCTGGGGGCCTTCCTGAAGAGATTGGTAAGCTGAAGAGCTTACAGAACCTGTCTCTGGCAGGCAACAACTTCTCTGGCCCGCTCCCCCATTCCATCGGGGAGCTCTCCTCGATCCAGTCGCTGGATTTGAGCAGGAACTCCTTCTCTGGGTCGCTACCTTCGACGTTGACGAGGCTCAGGAGCTTGGTGTCACTCAACCTCTCCTTCAATCTGTTCACCAGGAGAATGCTGACCGGATTCGAGGAGATTTCCTCTCTCGAGGTGCTCGATTTGAGTTGGAATCGTCTGGAGGGTGGGATCGACTGGACCTTCTTGATGCAGACCAGCGCCGCCCACGTCGATCTCAGTGGGAACTTGCTGATCAGCTTGAGTCCAAAGGAGTTCGTTTTTCTGTCGGATATCTCCTCCACTGTGAAGCACTTGAATCTCAGCAAGAACCAGTTGACAGGGTCTCTGATTAATGGAGGCGGACTGTTGACTTTCGGGAGCTTGAAGGTGCTGGATTTGAGCCATAATCAGCTGTCGGGGGATCTGCCCGGGTTTGACTACGCTTACGACCTTGAAGTCCTCAGGCTCGGACACAATAGCTTCTCGGGCTTCGTTCCCAGTGCTCTCCTGAAAGGGGACTCGCTTGTTCTCTCCGAGTTGGATCTGAGCTCAAATAATCTTACTGGTATGCTTTTTTCTCTAATTGTTCCATCTGCAACTAGAAATGGTGATTCAATCTCCGCCCATTGGCTGATTTCTTTTTCTTTGCTCCATTTTGTCGCATTATCTAGAGAAAATGCAACCAATCGTAGATAGCTGCATGAAGATAAAATCCAAGATTGTGGGCTAAATATAGCCTAGATCAGGCTCCATGGGTAGAAGATGTGGGTAGTTAGTTCGTACATCTCAATCGATGAATTAATTAGCACATTTTTGTTGCAGGGCATATTGGGATGATCACGTCAACAACTCTACAGATCCTCAATCTTTCTTGGAATTCGCTCTCTGGGGAGCTCCCGCTGCTCACTGGAAGCTGCATCACGCTGGATCTATCGGGAAATAAGTTCACTGGGAACCTCTCTGTGATGGTCAAATGGGAGAACGACGTCCAGTTCATCGATTTGAGCATGAATCAGCTGACGGGTCCCTTCCCCGAGTTGACTTCAGAGTTCCTGAGGCTGAACCACCTCAACCTCTCCCACAATCTCCTGGTCAACTCTCTCCCTGCCATTCTCGCTCAGTACCCCAAGCTCACCATCCTCGATCTCAGCTCTAACCAGTTCAGCGGCCCGATTCTGACCGACCTGCTGACCTCCCCGACTCTCCAAGAATTCCATCTGGAGAACAATTCTCTCGAAGGTGGGATCGTTCTTCTTCAGTCCCAATCTTCTGAGAAGAAATCAGACCTTCGAATCCTCAACCTATCGGGCAACCGTTTCAATGGAACCTTCCCAGATGATCTGACGGCCTTCACAGGCCTGCAAGAACTCAACATCGCGAGGAACAACTTCTCCGGGAGGCTACCACCTTCCATGTCCAAGCTCGTCTCTCTCACCTCCCTCGACATATCCCAGAACAGCTTCCATGGCCCTCTGCCTCAGAATCTGCCCTCCACCCTCGCATCCTTCAATGCTTCCTACAATGATCTCTCCGGGTCCGTGCCCGCCGGCCTGAGGAAGTTCCCCGATTCTTCCTTCCACCCCGGAAACTCCATGCTGAGGTTCCCAGACGGCGTTCTTGGATCTGGCAATGCACCGAGCGGGGTATCTTCCCGCAGGTCCATGAAGAGGTTCATCAGAGTGGTGATCATAGTGTCCTGTGCTGTTGCGGTGGTGATGCTGATTCTCCTGGCCATCGCCGTGCATTACAGAAGGGCCCTGATTCGGGCCAGGAAGAAGGAGGCCTCTGGGGGCAGCTTGACCGGAACCAGCGTGGTGAAGGACGGCGGAGAGAGGGTGAGGACCTTGGTTGTCTCTGCAACTGATCTGGTTTCTCCGAGGAAAGCTTCCACTTCTGCTGAGATCCCCAGATCAAGTGAGAAAGCGGTTGCCATGGCCACCGCCGGCGGCGGCGGCGGCGGTGGGTTTTCTCCGACGAAGGACCGCCGGTTTTCATGGTCGCCGGAATCCGGCGAGTCATATCCGGTGGAGAACCTGGGGAGATTGGACGTGCCGTCGCCGGACTTGCTGGCCGGAGACCTCTTCTTCTTGGACGACAACATCACGTTGTCGCCGGAGGAGCTGTCGCGGGCGCCGGCGGAGGTACTGGGCAGGAGCAGCCACGGAACCTCCTACAAGGCGACTCTGGAGAGCGGCGTCCTGCTAACTGTGAAGTGGCTGAGAGACGGCGTGGCTAAGCCGAAGAAGGAGTTCGCCAAGGAGGCGAAGAAGTTTGCGAATATCCGCCACCCCAACGTCGTCGTCCTCCGCGGCTACTACTGGGGTTCCTCGCAGCACGAGAAGCTCATCCTCTCCGACTTCATCTCCCCCGGCAGCCTCGCCGTCTTCCTCTACGGTACGTAAAACCCTTCCTTCCTTCCATAATAATCCTTCTCCCATCATCCTCTGGTTCGAAACCCTCTAACGCCGCCGCCGACCCACAGATCGCCCGGGGAGGAGAGCGCCGCCGTTGGGATGGACCCAACGACTGAAGATCGCCGTTGACGTCGCTCGGGGGCTGAACTATCTTCACTTTGACCGGGCTGTCCCCCACGGGAATCTCAAGGCGAGCAACGTGCTGCTGGATGGGCTCGAGCTTAATGCCCGCGTTGCCGATTACTGCCTCCACCGGCTGATGAACCAGGCGGGGACGATGGAGCAGGTCCTCGACGCCGCCGTGCTTGGGTACCGCGCGCCGGAGCTGGCGGCGGCGAAGAAGCCGGCGCCGTCGTTCAAGTCGGATGTCTACGCCTTCGGGGTCATCTTGCTGGAGCTTCTGACGGGGAGGTGCGCCGGCGACGTCATCTCCGGCGAGGAAGGCGGCGGCGTCGCCGATCTGACCGACTGGGTGCGGCTCATGGCGGCGGATGGCCGCGGGTCCGAGTGCTTCGACCCGGCCATGGCGGCGGAAATGGCGGGCCCAACGGCGGCGAAGGCCGCAAAGGAGGTTCTCGGCATCGCTCTGAGATGTCTCCGGCCGATGTCGGAGAGGCCCGGTATCAAGTCCGTCTACGAGGATCTCTCCTCCATATGACGGTGCGCCACTGTAATCTCTTCCTTCCCAAGAAAATATCTCCTGCCCTCTCTCTCTCTCTCTCTATCTCTCTCTCTCTCTCTCTCTCTCCGATTGCAACTCTGTGGGTCAGCGGTCAACGAGCTTGCAATTCTGTGGGTCAGCGGTCTCTCTATATAAAGAGCCTCCCGACGTCGACATAGGGCAATCTGTCCAAAGAGAAGATCTCTTAGCGATGGCGTCCCTCTTCCACCCGCACGTCTTCTCCTTCTTCATCTTCTTCTTCTCCTTTGTCCTGCTGGGTCTCGCCGGAGCGGCGGCAGCGCTCGACAGGGTGCCGGAGAAGAACCGATTCAGGTTCGTCAACCAGGGGGAGTTCGTCGACGCTCCCGCCGAGTACGGCGCTGACTACCGTGCCGTTGGCGTCGTCGGGTCGCCCTTCCAGCTGACCTTCTACAACACGACCCCCAATGCCTACAGGCTCGCCATCCGCATGGGCACCCCACGGTCCGAGTCTGTCCGGCGGTGGGTGTGGGAGGCCAACCGGAGCCGCCCCGTTCGCGAGAATGCCACCGTCTCCTTAGGCGCCGACGGCAACCTCGTCCTCGCCGACGCTGACGGCGCCGTCGTCTGGTCAACGGGCACCGCCAACAAGGGCGTCGTCGGCATTCAGATCCTCCACAGCGGCAACATGGTGCTCTACGACAAGAAGGGGAGGTATCTCTGGCAGAGCTTCGACCACCCCACGGATACCCTCCTCGTGGGGCAGTCCCTCCCCGCCGCCGGCGCCGCCAAGCTGGTGAGCCGCAAATCGGAATCCGACGGATCCCCGGGGATCTACAGCTTGGTCGTCGAGTCCGGCCAGCCCGTCCTCTTCCTCGAGGCCTCTCCTTCAAGGTCTCTCCCCTACTTTAACCTGTCCAGATACCACGGCGCTTCCACTGATCCCGCCATCTTCGAATGCTCCCCACGGGGCGCCAACATCTCCTACGTGCTCTCCTTTGGATCCCTCTCTGTGCAGACCAAGTACGACAGCAGCTTGTCGTTCCTCCGGCTGACGCCGGAAGGCGACGTCGAGTTCTACACCTACGACGACCGGGTCTACTACAGAGCATGGCAGAAGACGTTCGCCCTCTTCGACGAGGAGCTGTCCGGTTTCAGCGCCTGCGAGAGGCCCAGCAGGTGCGGGAAGCTCGGCGTCTGCGAGGGGAAGATGTGCACGGCGTGTCCGGCGGCGAAGGGGACGGGGGCGTGGTCGCCGGCCTGCGCGCCGCCGCGGCGCAGGAGGGCCTGCCGGCCGGGGGCGAGTTCCAGCTACATCAAGGTCGCCGGAGTGGAGCACTTCCTCACCAGGAACTCGGAAGGGGAGGGGAAGATGACCATGGGGGAGTGCCGGCGGCGCTGCAACGTTGACTGCGACTGCTTAGGGTTCTTGTACTGGGAGGAGAGCTCCCAGTGCTGGCTGGCTCCAGTGCTGGGCACCCTCAACAAAGTCAACGACCCCAAGCACGCCGCCTACATCAAGTCCTCTTAGATTGTTCCCACCTTCCCTCTTTCCTCCTCAGTTGGCACTGAATAACGACCCATTTAATGGCCGCAGTTCATCGTTTTGGGTCTAACTGAAATGTTTGTAGTATCGAATAAAAGTCAAAACAACAATAATCTGCTCTCTCTGGTCCTCAAACTATCTCCCGCAAGTCAACGATTGCATGACCCACTAAGGATTGGATTGGTCCATAACTCATAATGCATCACCGAGGACGAAGAGATAAATCATATGACGGCGATTCTAACTGATGTTCTTTAGATATTCTCGGAAAGGGAAAGAAGGAATGGCGTCCCAAAGGAAAGTCAAACTTACCAGGGATAGAAGAGACTTCAAGTAGAGCGAACTCTGATCTCCAAGGCTCTTCTCTTTAATCTATTAATTAGCGTCAGTCTATTCATCTTTGACCAGTATGATCAATGGTTGACCTTGGATTGAGGGTGCCCGGCTTCGAGATCAAGAGGGGAGCGAAGACAAGGGGCATCCGACGGGTTAGGCTATTGTTGACCGTCGAGTTTCGAGGTGACTCAGCTGGCACCAACTGAGTCTTTGACTCCAATGGTTTTGGGAAAACCACGCGGATATGAAGATATGATGGCGGCATGGAATCCACGCACGGATAAGCACGAGGGATCCGTTCACACGAAGGATGGTGAGCGCCATTGGTTTTACTAGCTGGAGCCTTTTGACCAAGATATTTTGTTGACCTCGCAAAAGGTGAAATGAACCAGGAGTAAGTGAGATAATAAAAAATGTATTTCTCTCTCTCTCTCTCTCTCTCTAGACTTAATGTAACAACCCTCCCAGTTTGTTCAAGGCACGATCCACGAAGGCTTTTGCATCTTACAGAAAGAGGAAGAAGAAGAAAGAGGATCTCATCTATGGCTGCTTCCCTCCCCAGACGCGTTCCCATCCTCTTCCTCTTCATCTTTTTATCATTTTTCGCTGCCGTGACGGCCATCGACAAGGTCCCCGTGAAGGACAGATTCAGGGAAGTCAACCAGGGAGAGTTCTCCGAGCACAGCAGCGAGTACTTCGCCGATTACCGTGCCCTGGTGGTCTACGGAAACATCTTCCAGTTGGCTTTCTACAACACCACTCCCAACAGCTTCATGCTGGGCATCCGGATGGGGGTCTCGAGATCGGAGTCTCTCCGGCGGTGGGTGTGGCAGGCCAACCGGAACCGCCCCGTCCGCGAGAACGCCACCGTCTCCTTCGGCGCCGACGGCAACCTCGTCCTCGCCGACGCCGACGGCACCGTCGTCTGGTCCACGGGCACCGCCAACAAGGGCGTCGTCGGCATCACCATCCTCGACAACGGCAACATGGTCCTCTACGACAAGAAGGGAAGGTATCTCTGGCAAAGCTTCGACTACCCCACGGACACCCTCCTCGTGGGGCAGTCCCTCCCCACCCGCGGCGCCGCCAAGCTGGTGAGCCGTAGATCGGCAACCGACGCCTCCCCGGGGATCTACAGTTTGACCGTCGAGTCCGGCGGGCCCGTCCTCTACGTCGACGCCTCGCCGAAGCCCGTCGTCTATTACGACATCTCCGCCGACTTAGGCCGCTCCGACAGGACCGCCGGTCCCATCACCTTCAAGTGGTACTCGCCTGACAAAAACGCGAGCTTTGAGCTCTCCTTCGGGCTCCTCCGCAAGGTGAACAAGTACGACAGCATCTACTCCTTCCTCCGTCTCACACCGGACGGCGACCTGGTGATTTACACCTACGATGACCGGGTGGACTACAAGGCCTGGGAGAAGACGTTCGTCCTTTTTAATGGCGACACTGAGCTCCGCTCCGCCTGCTACAAGGTGGGCAGGTGCGCGGCCCTCGGGCTGTGCGAGAGGGAGATGTGCACCGGGTGCCCTACGGCGAAGGGGACGTTGGGGTGGTCGGACAGCTGTGCACCGCCGAAGCGGGGGCCCTGCCGGCCGGGGGCGAGTTCTTCCTACTACAAGGTGGCTGCAGTGGAGCATTTTATCACCGTGTACAGAGCGGCGGAGGGAGTGGTCAGCGTCGGAGAGTGTCGACGGCGGTGCAACGCGGACTGTAGTTGTCTGGGGTTTTTCTACTGGGAAGAGAGCTCACAGTGCTGGCTGACTCCCATCTTGAGCAACCTCAAGAAGGTCGCCAACCCAAGGCACGTCGCCTACATCAAGTCCTCTTAAGATGATCGGCTTGCTGTCTGTCTCTGTCTCTGGCTCCGTCTCTGTCTCTCTCTCTGTCTGTCTGTCTCTCTCTCTCTCTCGTTGTGATGCAGCGCTTCGTGAGTGAATAATAAATTACATTCCAAAAGCGGGAAATAGGGTGAGATGATTGTATTCTTGGTAGTGGATGCTAGTTCGTTCTTTGCAAGGGAAAATGGCGGCGTAGGAAGGCTGAAATATTGATTCTTTTTTCTTTTTATGCTCCTTTTATATTTCTCCATATGGCCATTTGATCCAAAAATCTTTTCGACAGCGTTGTGGTGTTCGGGAGCACCAGAGAGACGTGGGAAGAGGAGAAGATAAGGGTGCACTCCAAAGGAAGGAAGGAAATGAGAGAGAGAGAGAGAGAGAGAGAGAGAGAGAGAGAGAGAGAGAGAGAGTCATGGATGTATAAACGTAAAAGATTTTTCGCGAAGTCAAATCATCTACATGGGCTGAAAGCTAAACGTACTTTGACTTCCAACTTTACTTCACGCGGCGGCTAGACACTGCAGGATCCATGTGCTGTCTGTCACCGATGTCACCACTCCAAGCCAACTTTGCCGTTCGGCCACTGACGTTGACTTTTCAGTTACTTAACGGTGAGACAATCGTCCGCCATCAATGATCCACGTGGTATCGGACAAATGATGCAGAATCGGGCCGGTCCACGTGAGCCGCTCTGGCTGCCTCGGCCTTGTAGAATATTTCCGCGGTTTAGGGGGGGGCCGAGGGGCGGGACCCACAACTAATTTCGGCATATTAGAAAGGAACCTAGGCTGATATTTTTAGTATACCTTTTTTTAGCAAGTAATTAATTTCTGCATAATAATATTTTTTACTTCGTAGTTAAAAGCGCAGCCTTTCGGGGGATTCCATCTCACGTAACTAAACGATTCTATCCGATCACGAGGCAATCTGGGAAACCACCCCGTCCCTCATCCGATCTCCTGTCGGCGTAGGCTGGAATGCCGCGTGCCCATGTGGACTCGCGGGCCCCACGAGCCTTGAAGAATCTGGTCAACGTCGGTCCTCACTGGCTGGCATCATATCTTCCAAGTGGTCGTCCATCACAGTCAACGCATCTCATCTCATCGCAGAAAGCGGATCTGCCACGCGGTGGCGTGAAATCGTTCAAACTGAGGTCCTTTCCGTGGAATATCACGGCGAGCTATTCACTTGAAATCCGTCTGTGAGCCATCGACGATCAGTCCCCCCGGAGAACCAGGAGAGGAGGTACCCGCCGTCGTCTTCCCCCTCCCCCCCAAGAACAAGAAAGACCCTGCCTTTCACAGAAGTATATTGGAGCAGACAGAGAACAACATCTGTGCCCTCTTCGATCTTCTTCTCCCTCGTCCTCTTGGGGCTCGTCGGAGCCGTGGCGGCGCTCGACAAGCTGCCGGAGGACTGATTCAGATTTCTCAACAAGGGACGGTGCATCGACCAGAGGACCCCCAATGCCTGTAAACTGGTCATCCGCATGGGCACCCGGCGGTCGGGGTCAATCCGGCGGTGGGTGTGGGAGGACAACCGGAGTCGACCAGTCCGTGGGATCGCCACCCTCACCTTCGGTGACGGCGGCAACCTCGTCACCGCTGACATGATGCCACCGTTGTCTTGTCGACTGGAACGGCCAAGAAGGGCATCGTCTGCGTTGAAATCCTCCACAGCTGCAACATGGTGGTCCGCTACAGGAAGGGGATGTATCTTCTGGCAGAGCTTCTACTACCCTACCAACACCCTCCTGGTTGGGCAGTTCTCCTAGGCATTTATAACTTGGTGATGCAGTTCGGAGGGTGCATTCTCTATGTGGATGACTCCATTAAGCCCTCGTATAGTTCAATAGTTGAAGGTTCTTGTGCTATAATTTGTACATCTGACGATAATGTGACCTACGAATTGCTGTTTGGTTACTCTCTGGTGGCGAGCAAATATGATATATATTCCTAAGATAACGGTACAAAGGATTTGGCACATTTTTATTTAATTATTACTATGTGAGAAATAACTACAGATATGTATAAAGCTTCTAGATAATTTATTTACTTATTTTTCATCATATTTAATGAAATGTTGATTATTTTTAAGGATATGTTATAAATTAATCAATTGAAATCTCAGTTGAATGGTAAATTTGTGATGAAAGAAAGAAGATTTTTGACATATAGATTAATAGAGACTATACCACTAGAAGATTGTGCTTATCTTCAAAGTAATAGAGAAGGTGCTAGTGTGGTTCAACATGAAATATTAGAAGGTTGTAAGTATTCAAATGACCACTTATTCTAGATTTTCTACTGAAGATTCACTAAAGAAAAAGAGGATTAGTATAATGAGCAAAGTTCCATATATGAGTGCAATTAATAACATTATAACACATATACTTGAATTTATATTTATTCTGCTGCTAGTGTGGTCAATAGGTAAGTGATAAATTTAAGAAACATCTACATAGGTTTTAAAGTGACCCCTTCATTACTTTGAAGGAGTTGGATCATTAATTGAATAATATTTTGATGATGACAAATACAAACAAGATAAATTAATGTATCAAGTTATGCTAATTACTCTTTATGGGTAATATATGATTGAGTAACATTTTATCTATGATTGCCTTTTTAGTTGAATTCAATGAATACATTTAAATCTCACAATGTTGAATCTAAAAGTTTGTAGATACTGCCACCAGAGGATATTACATTGTATACTACTGTGAAAATTACTAATATTTATAGAAATTATCACTTATGGAAAGTAATGAGTTTCACATCATAATCATCAATAATTATTGAAGTAGAACATGATTAGTAAAGCTTACTCAATCTATTAGACGTTCTTAATATGAAATCATTAGTTTATGTTTATCCTTTATATTGCATTATTCATTAAATCTGATCTATTTACATTGATGCTCATGAAATTTAGAATATTTTCATCTATTATTTAAATAATTATTTTGATACACAAAACTCATTGAAGTTATGATTGTTCATATTGAGATCAAAGGTTCATGAGTTTATTTAACATTCATGATTTACTTTAGGTAATTTAAATTATTTTTGAATGAAAAGTCATTACTTTATTTTGAGATATATTGTCAATTATGTTTTAATGATAATATATTGTTACCACGCCTGTTCAAACTTATAACTTTTAGATACGTACAATAGTGATTAATTGTCATATTTATAGATTTCTCCTAGAGGATAAATAAACCCTTCAAACTTATTTCATATTGGGTTCTAACCATTCGAATTTCTAACTAATTTCAAAATTTCATATTGATAAACAATGGAAAATATGGGAGGATTTTTTTATCATATTTATCTATAAATTTATTTATTTTCTGATCATTAATTTAGAATAATTATGTAGGATTTATTTAGCATGTTATGTTTATTTTTGACATTTTATATCAATGATGAAATATATTTTGAGCAGTTTTTGTCTCTAGGTAAACAAATGAGAAGACATTGAGTTAAAAATGACAATTTGTTGACTTAATTTTTCCTTGACCTAAATGAAATGTCAAAGTCTTCAAAAATTAGAGAGCTACTCCTTGTGAAGAAAACAAAGAGAATTAAGTCAAATTTATCATCCTGTTCATTGAATTTTTGAAGGAACCTCAAGTAAACTTGTTCTTTATCTGAGTAGGAAAAACTTGTGATTTAATATTTATTTAATCACGTAAGGCAGTTGATTTTGTAAACAATAGTGGGCCTCATAGAGTTATGAATTTAGAAGATAATTTTGGAGTGAAATTTCATGAGAGCTGAATCTATTAATCAAAAAATTCTTATACTAAGAAATTGGTTCAATGAAAATTCAGAATAGTTATACTAAACAAAAATTTTGAATTTTAAAATTAATTAGAAATTTGAATCGTTGGAAAACTTATACAACATAACATCTAAGGATTTGGATATCCTCTATGAAAAAGTACTATGTATCAAAGTTAGGCACCAACAAATATATCCAAAAATTTTCAGTTATGACAAATCTGATAAAAATCTATTATTGTTGAAAAGTAATTGATAATACATCTTGTAACAAAGTAATGATTTGTCAATAAAAATATATTAAAGTTGCCTAAAACAAGTTATGATTCATCAAGTTTACCCTTTAAGACACGATTTCAATATGTAAAATCACAACTTCAGCAATGCATAACACTTAATTTTTTTTCCTCTACAATATTTATTAATATTTACAAAATATTGAGCAATAATATAAGTAGTCAAAATTTGATATAAAAAATGTTTGAATGAAATACTACACTATGATGAACACATAATAAATTGAGTAAGCTTTTATATTCATATTTTACTTTAAATCATTTTTATTGATTCATATGTGCTCATCATTATTTTATCAAAGTGATAGTTTATGTAAATATGTATAGTTTTCATCATTATTTATGAAATAAATAATTTTCATACATCATTGATCAAGTATAATAATAAATACGTATAATTTTAGATTTTAGTTAATCTTTGGAGTGTTTTATCATGATCAAAATAATATGTGCATTTAATGCTTGAACAATCTCTCTTCTTCTGATGATAACAAAGTCATAAGAACAAGTCTAAGAGATGAATAAATTATGGTTTCTAAGGTTCAAATTATTTAATACGTAGATCATAACATTTATGAAGACATATGTTCATAATTTAATTTCTATCAATATAGTATTATTCATGCAGGATATTTCAACTAATTAAAATTGTAGAAAATATTAAAAAATGTGAAAATAGAAAGTGTTTTTCATCCCCCCCTTGCTCTCATTTCTCTCCTTCACTTATACTCTCCTCCTCTTTCTTCATTTTATGTTTTCTGAAGAAAGAAGCAAATTCTTAATTAATGTCAAGTCATAGAAATCATTGGTTGAATAGAAGATTGATAAAAAATTCAAATTTCTCTGTATTGATAATGGTATGAAATTTTGCTTGAAAGAATCTGATGAATTATGTAAGAATGAAATCATTCGTGGTCGGGTTTTGACACCTTCAAATACTCTTCTCACATTGTCAATGTTCTATTTTCTAAAGGAAACAAGTAAATAATTTGTTACTTTCAAGCCGTACAAGATATTGATTGAATAGAAGACTAACGATAACATCAGGAGACCCCTTAGTAATAATGTTTTGGGATTCTATTTGAAAAAATCTGATGAGTTTTATAAGAACGAAGGCATCAGTAGATTGGTTCTGACACCTTCTAATACTCTCCTTTTTTTTCTAAACGGCTAAATCTCTTACTTCATGTCCTGCGGTTCCCTCTCTGTGCAGGCCAAGCATGACAGCACATAGTTATTACGGCTGATGCCGGACGACGACGTCGAGTTCTACACCTACGACCACCAAGTGTACTACAGAGGATGGCATGAGACGTTCGCCTTCTTTGACGAGGAGTTTTCTAGTTTCAGCACTTGCTAGAAGCCCAACGGGTGTGGGAACTCGACGTTTGCCAGGGGGAGATGTGCACGGCGTACCTAGTGGCCAACGGGATGGCGGTGTGGATGTCGGGCTGCACGCTGTCCGACTGGACGGCCGGCCGGTGGGGGGCAAATCCCAGCTACACCAAGGTCGCCGGAGTGGCACACTTCCTAACCCGGAACCCGGAAGGGGAGCGTAAATGGCCGTGAGGGACTGCCGGCGGGGGATGCAACTGCCTGGGCTTCCTATATTGGGAGGAGAGCTCCCACTGCTGGCTGGCTCCTGTTCTGGGCACCCTCAATAAGGTCAACTATCCCAAGCTCTCCGCCTACATCATGTCCTCCAAAATTGTCCCCCCTTCCTTCTTTCCTTCTCTGTTTTCACTGAATAACGACCCATTTGACGGCCGCAGTTCGTCATTTTGGATCTAATTGTTCGTAGTATTGAATACAAGTAAAAACAATAATCTGATCTCTCTCTCTCTCTCTCTCTCTCTCTCTCTTGCACGCACTCTTTCGTCAAACCATCTCTGGCAAGTCAGTGACTGCAATAAGATAAGATTACTATTAAATAATGGTTCCCATAACCCTCTATAAATTGCATTGGCTGATAACTCATAATACATCGCCGACCAAGAAGAACTAATCATATGAGGGCAGATCTTACTGATGCTTTAGATGCACCTAGATGTTCTCAGTGAGGGAAAAAAGGATGGCGTCCCAAAGGAAAGTCAAACTTAACAGGAATAGAAGAGCCTTCGAATTGAGCGAAACCTGATCTCAGGGACTAAATTTGTCGAGCTATTTCGGTTCTTCTCTTTAATCTATCAATTTCATCATTAGCGTCAGTCTATTCTTCTTTGACCAGTACGATCAGTCGTTGACCTTGGATTGAGCGTGCCCAGCTTCGAGATCCAGAAGGGAGCGAAGACAAGGGCATCCGACGGGTTGGGCTTTTTGTTGACCACCGAGTTTCGAGGTGACTCAGCTGGCACCAACTGAACCTTTGAATCCAATGGTTTTTGGGAAAACCACGCGGACGTGAAGATGTAATGACGGCATGGTGTCCACGCAAGGATAAGGACGAGGGATCCATTCACATGAAGGATGGTGAGCGCCATTGGTTTTACTAGCCGGAGCCTTTTGACCAAGATATTCCGTTGACCCCGATAAAGATGAAATGACCTTGGAGTTGGTGAGACAACACAGAAATCTCTCTCTCTCTCTCTCTCCCTCTCTATCTTTTTCTCTCCGGACTTATATAAAAGCCATCCCTCTTCATGCAAGGCTCAATCCATGAAGGCTTTCGCATCTTACAGAAGCACGATGATCTCATCTATGGCTGCTTCCCTCCCCAGACGCGTTCCCATCCTCTTCCTCTTCATCTTTTTATCATTTTTCGCTGCCGTGACGGCCATCGACAAGGTCCCCGTGAAGGACAGATTCAGGGAAGTCAACCAGGGAGAGTTCTCCGAGCACAGCAGCGAGTACTTCGCTAATTACCGTGCCCTGGTGGTCTACGGAAACATCTTTCAGTTGGCTTTCTACAACACCACTCCCAACAGCTTCATGCTGGGCATCCGGATGGGGGTCGCGAGATCGGAGTCTCTCCGGCGGTGGGTGTGGCAGGCCAACCGGAACCGCCCCGTCCGCGAGAACGCCACCGTCTTCTTCGGCGCCGACGGCAACCTCGTCCTCGCCGACGCCGACGGCACCGTCGTCTGGTCCACGGGCACCGCCAACAAGGGCGTCGTCGGCATCACCATCCTCGACAACGGCAACATGGTCCTCTACGACAAGAAGGGAAGGTATCTCTGGCAAAGCTTCGACTACCCCACGGACACCCTTCTCGTGGGGCAGTCCCTCCCCACCCGCGGCGCCGCCAAGCTGGTGAGCCGTAGATCGGCAACCGACGCCTCCCCCGGGATCTACAGCTTGGCCGTCGATTCCGGCGATCCCATCCTCTACGTCGACGCCTCGCCGAAGCCCGTCGTCTATTACAACAGCACCGGGGACTTTGGCTTCTCCAGGAGGACCAAAGGTCCCCTAACCTTCGAATGGTACTCGCCTGATGACAACGTGACCTTCGAGCTCTCCTTCGGGCTCATCCGCACGGTGACCAAGTACGACAGCATCTACTCCTTCCTCCGTCTCACACCGGACGGCGACCTGGTGATTTACACCTACGATGACCGGGTGGACTACAAGGCCTGGGAGAAGACGTTCGTCCTCTTTGATGCCGACACTGAGCTCCGCTCCGCCTGCTACAAGGCGGGCAGGTGTGGGGCCTTCGGCCTGTGCGAGAGGGAGATGTGCACCGGGTGCCCCACGCCGAAGGGGACAACGGGGTGGTCGGACAGCTGTGCACCGCCGAAGCGGGGGCCCTGCCGGCCGGGGGCGAGTTCTTCCTACTACAAGGTGGCTGCAGTGGAGCATTTTATCACCGTGTACAGAGCGGCGGAGGGAGTGGTCAGCGTCGGAGAGTGTCGACGGCGGTGCAACGCGGACTGCAACTGCCTAGGGTTTTTGTATTGGGAGGAGAGCTCGCAGTGCTGGTTGGCTCCCGTTTTGAGCGTCCTCAAGAAGGTCGCCAACCCCAGGCACGTCGCCTACATCAAGTCCTCTTAAGATGATAAGCTCTCTCTCTCTCTCTCTCTCTCTCTCTCTCTCTTGCTGTGATGCGGCACTTTGTGAGTGAACAATAAATTATATTTCCAAAAGTTTGAAATATGGAGATGACCTAATTCTCGGTAATGGAAGCTAGTTCGTTCTGTGCAAAGGAATAATGACGGCGTAGGAAGGATAATTCGTTGATTCTTTATTCTTTTTGTGTTTATGGTAGATCTCTCCCTACCGTGATTTGTTCTAAACATCATTGCAACCGCGTCATGGTGTAGGGGAGAACCAGATGGAGGTGGAAAGAGGAGAAGATAGAGAGAGAGAGAGAGAGAGAGAGAGAGAGAGAGAGAGAGAGAGAGAGAGAGAGAGACGTACTTCTTTTATATGTTTTTCTCCCCCGCAATTTCTGTAGATGGGGAAACTGGTATAGTGCGAGCACTTACTTTGACTTTCCAACATATCTTCATGCGGCAACCAGACACTGAAGGATCCATGTGCTCTGTCGCCGAGGTCCCCACTCCAAGCCAACTTTGCCGTTCGGGCACTGACGTTGACCTTTAAACAGTTTGACGGTGAGACAATCGGCCACCATCAATAATCCACGCGGAATGGGACAAACGATGGAGAATCGGGCTGACCCACGTGAGCTGCTCTTGCTGTCTCAGCCTTTAGAATCTTCCCGGGTCCTGAGGGCGGGACCCACAACTCATTTTCAGCAAATTAAAAACGAGGCCAGGCTGATATTTTTAGGATACCTTCTTTTGTTGTTAGTAATTAATTTATGCATAATAATTTTTACTTCGTAGTTTAAAGCGCAGCCTTTCGGAGATTCCAGCTCACATAATTAAACGATTCTATCAGATCACGGGGCAATCTGGGAAACCACCCCGTCCCTCATCCGATCTCCTGTCGGCGTGGGCTGGGAAGCCGCGTGCCCATGTCGACTCGCGGGCCCCACGAGCCTTGAAGAATCTGGTCAACGTTGGTCCTCACTGGCTGGCATCATGTCTTCCAAGTGTTCGTCCATCATGGTCAACGCATCTCATCTCATCGCAGAATGCGGATCTGCCACGCGGTGACGTGAAATCGTTCAAACCGAGCTCCTTTCCGGGGGGCTGCGAGCGGATTGGGGAAGATCACGACGAGTTATTTACTTGCAATCCGACGATGAGCCGTCGACGATGATTCCCAGCGGATAAGCAGGAGAGGTCGCATCCCCCGTCGTCTTCCACCCCCCTCCCGCACACACAACAATAGGAAAGAGCCTGGCTTTCTTCGCGTTTGGCTCGATCTATTCGCTCGCGGATATCAGAGGAGTCCGAGAACAACATCCATGTCCTCTCCAATCTTCTTCTCCTTCCTCCTCTTGGGGCTCGCCGGAGCCGCGGTGGCGCTCGACAAGGTGCCGGAGAAGGACCGATTCAGATTCATCAACGAGGGGGAGTACGTCGACGCCATCGCCGAGTACGACGCTACCTACCGCGCCGTGAGCGTCGTCGGATCGCCCTTCCAGCTGACCTTCTACAACACCACCCCCAATGCCTACAAGCTCGCCATCCGCATGGGCACCCCACGGTCTGGGTCGATCCGGCGGTGGGTGTGGGAGGCCAACCGGAGCCGCCCCGTCCGCGAGAATGCCACCGTCTCCTTCGGCGCCGACGGCAATCTCGTCCTCACCGACGCCGACGGCACCGTCGTCTGGTCCACGGGCACCGCCAACAAGGGCGTCGTCGGCATTCAGATCCTCCACAGCGGCAACATGGTGCTCTACGACAAGAAGGGGAGGTATCTCTGGCAAAGCTTCGACTACCCCACCGACACCCTTCTCGTGGGGCAGTCCATCCCGGTGAAAGGCGCCGCCAAGCTGGTGAGCCGCAAATCGGAATCCGACGGATCCCCGGGGATCTACAGCTTGGTGGTGCAGTCCGAGGAGCCCATCCTGTATGTGGACGCCTCCCCCAAGCCTCTCGTATACTTCAACAACTCCGTAGTTCGGGCCACATTCGGTTCAGGGTCGAAAGTCCCGGGCACCTTCACATGCAAAAGCGAAGATAACGTGACCTACGAATTGTCGTTCGGCTATACTCTGGTGGTGACCAAATACGACAGCAACCTATCGTTTCTACGGTTGACACCGGATGGCGACCTGATCGTATACACCTACGACGATAGGGTCGAGTTCAACGCCTGGGAGAAGACCTTCTCTCTTTTCAGCCCAGATCAGTTCTTTTTCAGTTCCAGCGCCTGCTACAAGCCCAGCAAGTGCTTGCCTCTCGGGATCTGCGACGGCGAGCAGTGCGTAGCATGCCCCACGGCGAAGGGTACGACGGGATGGTCACCGCGCTGCGGGACTCCGGTGAAGAAGACCTGCGGACCGGCGGCGAATCCCAGCTACATAAAGGTGTCCGGAGTGGAGCATTTCCAGACGCAGTACTCGGACGGCCTGGGGAAGCTGAGCCTGGGGGAGTGCAAACGGAGGTGCAATGTGGACTGCAACTGCCTTGGTTTCTTGTATTGGGAGGAGAGCTCGAAGTGCTGGCTGACACCGGTCCTGGGCACCCTCAACTCGGTGAAAAACCAGAGTCACGTCGCTTACGTCAAGTCCTCTTGAGGTGATCGAATCGTCTATGTCAGAGTGAAAAACTCTCGCTCTCCCCCTATCTTTGTGTCTCTCTATATGCTATCTTTCTACCTCAATGTGTGAGAGATGAAACAAAGATACGAATAAAGTCCGAAAACATATATCCTGTGCTAGTGTCGGCGCGTTGCTATTTCTCCATCAATGAAGATAGCTCTGTGGTAACGTCCGATTAATCCCTGACTCGGCTCGGGAGCTAATCGTGGTTTTATTTTAGATCTGGAGGCGGCACGAACGGAGGTCTGTCGGCCACTACGGTCCACTTCTTCTACTCTCGCTATATCCGTTTCTTTATCACTGTTGCTATTTTGCCATCCATTTTTTTATGATCATACTTATCTCACGCCCTCATTGTTCTCTTTGAGATAAGTTTCCACCTACAGTGAGGCCCGATGGCATCCCTAGCAGTACTCGAAGGGACTGGAAGCTTCATAGATTTAGGCCTAGGTCAGATCTGGCTGATGGGCAGTGTAATGCTTTAGTACTTGATATATATATTCAAAGTTGGAAGGTGCACAATGTCTCTAACCATATACTAAATTGGAGCTCTTTGAGAGTAATGTAAATAGGGATGTGTAGATCCTGCGAAACTATGACTTGACGACAAGTTGCCTTGGTCCAGACCCAAAGAACTCTCTGATCATTCCATGATGTTTATTCTAAATGTTTCAGTTCATTGCATAATACTTTCTAAGAAACGTTATTTTTATGGATATTTAGATTCCTAAAATAATCTTCTAGGTCTTTGGACACACTAGAGATAGTAATTAGTATTTAAAGTTTGGGTCCATAGAGTTAAGAAGCCAATAAGATGACTTGATGGTCAGAATTTTGACATTTCTGAAGTTGAGATCATTTGATTCTGTGGTTTTTAAAATTCCATTAATTACTTTAGTTTGCGATGCTGATAAAGTGATAATGATGTTACTTCCGATCAAGAAACTTAATTGAGTATTATCATAGACTAATGTTGTTCTAATCCTTGGAATATTGTTGTTAGCTAGTCAAAGAAAAGAATGTAATAAGAATTTTTTCTGTGATTCTACACTCCATTTTGGATTTTATCTAAATATTATTAAGTTCAAAGGAAGTGATGTGGTTGAGATGGGGTTTAACAAGTAAAGGGAGATCATATAGAGATGACAATACAATTTTGATGCTCATTAGAGTAGAAAGCATAGAATGCTATTTTCATTAATCATCTTTAAGGAGATGAGGATAATGGGATGAGCACTAGTGAGATCGATATGATAATGCTCAGATAGTCATACTTGAACAATAGGGAGAGAAGTCTTCATACCACATCTCAACACGTACAAGGTAGTTTGTCTGCTAGAGGATGATTGGAGGAAGGTTGTTGCTAGAATGTTCTATGGTGAAGGAGTTACTTGGAGACAAAACCATTATAATAAGGTAGTCATACTTAGTCTTCTCTTATCAAGATAGTTGAATGGGTTAGAACCTTTGACACTCGTGCGGATTGATCTTTGCATATTAACCCTAGTGAGAGCCTTCTCTCCCCATGGGGGAACACAAAGCCATGAAACCTCAAGGCATACAATTTTTGAAGAAAGATGAAAGCATGTATGGGTTTTGTAGTAGAAGAATACTAGATGTTTTTAGATAGATTTTTTCTATCCAGGGGAGGCGGTGGGACACTACAGAGGCCAAGATGATGCATGACAGAGGGGAGGAGCGATGATCCACCACAAATGAAAAGGAAGAACATGTGGATAAGATAAGGGGCTTCATTACATGCCATATACTAATCAAATCCAAGAATAATACCATGTATGGACATTAAACATGTCTATGTTATATTTTAGGGGCCCCTTCTTTGTGTATGTATATATGAGAGTGGTCATTAGGTTGCGCTTTATGAGGTGAACTTAGCCCAGGCTAAGGACTTACACGAACATGATGCGCTATTTGACACCCCAATGTTGATATTTTTTGTCAATCAATAAGAAAGTTTATATTTTTGCACCACACATTAGAATATTAAAGTGGTAATTTGTGTAATTTTTGAGACCATTAGTGGAAGGCCTAGTGTATGTGTTACGATTATTCTCTTTGAGCTTTTATGTTTTATGTAGATAAATAGTTTGCATGTTCTGCTAGATTTAAAGAGACAATCTGCGTGTATTTCAGACTTCTATTATAACGTGATGGTGAAGACTTTTGACGTCACACCGATCTGAGTACTTATCCTACACGTTGCTCGCAATACCGTCGTTGCTTCTTTCCCTTTGACCATTTGCCATCGAAGTCATCACCAGTCCTCTCTGGCATCGTCTTCGAAGGTGGGCTAATAATGGTGACGTGGGCAGTCTCTCCAATCCACTAGAGTAGGAAACCAGACGTGGCCTGTGGTTTTCTTATGCTTCGTTGACCATCAGTGGGCACCAGTCTGTCGGGCGATGCAATTTTACAGGCCCAATGTTTCTGACCGATGTCTTTCCCTAAGCCGCTGTTGGCCACAGGGACCAGAGGTGGGGAAGAAGGCGGCAATGGTGAAGAGAGGAGGAGCCGCCCGCCGTCTTCTCCCACCTACCATCCCCCTGGAGTCCCTATAAGGACATATCTTCGCATTTGGTTCCACCCGTCAACAAATCATACCTCAGAGAAGCCTGGAAGAGGAAAGACATCAAGGCCCGCCGAGAGGACAGGGTTGACTCCAAGGCCTGGGAGAGGACATTTTCTCTGTTCGACCCGGAGCCCTTCTCTCTCAGCGCATGCTGGCCTCTCGGCATCTGCGGTGGCGAGCAGTGCGTAGCGTGCCCCACGAAGAAAGGCACAACTGGGTGGTTGCCGCGCTACGGAACTCCGAAGACACAGAGCTGCGGACCGAAATACAATCCCAGCTACACCAAGGTGACCGGAGTGGAGCATTTCCTGACCCAGTACTCGGATGGGGAGGGAAGGCTGAGCCTGGGGGAGTGCAGGCGAAGGTGCAACGTAGACTGCAACTGCCTGGGGGTCCTCTACTATGAAGAGACATCGCAGTGCTGGCTGGCTCCCATCTTGAGGACCCTCAACAAAGTCAACGAGCCTAAGCACGTCGCCTACATTAAGCCCTATTGAGCTGGTCAAGCCCGTCGTGTATAAGTCAAACTCTCTGTCTCTGTCTCTGTCCATATCTTTGTGTCTCTCCCTTGAAAATACGGAATAAGAGCATGGGGACGACTCAAGAAACAAAATCTATTCTATGTCTTATCCTGAGTCGGCGCGAGGATTGACCGTGAATGTGTTTTATATTTGGCGGCGGCGAGAACGATTCTTTCTCTCTCTCTCTCTCTATATATATATATATATATCAATCACTGTCAGTATCTCCGTCCCTACCCACCTCCTACCCCGTCGCTATCTAATAGATATTCTTCCACGGCGGCGGGGTTGGGTTCATAGTGGTCAGAGCCACTGGTTCCCATGGGGAACCTCACGGACGAATATTTGATGTATGAGCGAGCCTCCAAAGTGTAACTAGGTGAGCCAGACGACATACGAAAGTAGGTTTCTTCGAGAGTGATGTCGATAGGGATGATGGGCCCCACGGAATTACTCCTTTTCGACTCATTCCCTTGGTCTTGAACTAAACAAATCTAATGAAAACATGTTCATTCATGTTATGTGAAATTCTTCAGATTATATGTTTATCACCAATTAAAAAATTGATGAATTTCTTATGACAAAGTCTCTTAAGTGTATGAGGATTATTGCTTAAAAGTTGCATTTTTTATTTCCCCGAGTTGACTTACTTTGCAGGAAAAAGTTTTAAAATTAATGGATCAGTTTTCCTTTAAAAGAAGTGAGTAAGCTCACCTTATCTGAAAAGGGTTTAACATTCATAGTGAGTTGACTTGGTAGAGTTAGGACACTTAAGATCCATTTGCGAGTGACAAAGTTATTGCCAAAAAAGGGTGAGTCAACTCACATAGCAAGACAAGCCTTGACATTATGTTATCAAAGTATTTGCATATTTACATGGCTAATAAATATATTGCTAATGGTTTACTCTAACCTTTACAAAGCTTGCTCATTTTTACATGACTCATTATTTGGAATTTTTTTGTTTATCGCTTCCTTGTAAGAAGTGGGTCACTTAGTAAGAAGTCTACTGAGGTATAGTATTACAAAACTCATGACTTGAAGCACAAAATTATTACATAGAAGCCATTGGAATGATTCTATTTTTTGATTGTTACAAACCCAGAATGAAAAGTCAATGGATAATAAATATATTGCCTGTTCTAATACTCCAAGTGAGATTTTGACTCAATAGAATCAATGTTTTTGCCTCTTTCTCAAGTTTTAAATTGACTATTCATCCGATTAGTAAGAAAGTTATTTACTTTACTGTGTTTGAATACTACACATACTTGGGCTAACTTAATGCTATCAATCTAGTGAAATCTAATGAACATTCATTGAGAACTAATCAAGGACAAATAATTCATTAATTGGAGGTCCATTCATGCGATTCTCCATGATCAACGCCAACAATTTAGTGTGAAAAGATGAACTAATTTTATAAACTATGAGAAAGTTTAGCTGATTATGTGATTCATGTGAAATCAGGGTACATGGTCAACCCATATGCTAACTTACCCAAAATTTACTTAAAATACAAGAAAATTATGGTCTTTGTAGTGTTTACACAGCTTGAGTCACAACCTTCCTATTTGTGCAAAAAAATTCTCAAGCTTTCCATGTTAGTGATCCTCAGCTAAATTGTCCTCAATTTATAATATAACCATATTAGAGCTCAAGGTCCACATAAAATACCTAACTATGTCTTAAATGTACATTTAAAACATAGATTAGAGTATTATTTTATGAACTTTATCATATTTCAGTTTCTTGTTTCAAAGGGATCTAAGAGTAACTTTTTGGTTGAATATAATCAAGATTTTTAATTTTTTTAATTCCTTTTTCTCTTCAAGCTCTCACATTTCATGATTATTGTTTTTAAATAATTTTTGATGCATCAGCTTTCAAAGTATAGACCAAGTCAACAAAATAAATTCTATTTATTTATAAATTCAACATTTTCTGTGAGATAATATTCTTGCTTGTTAAACTTTGACTTTGACACTGGTCAACAATTTTTTCTCTATGTGGGCATCATTTTATTTTAAATTTTTCTCTTACATTCATAGAAGGAATCTCATTTATTGGTTGCAACTTATGAAGATGTCTTTTATGTTCGGATTTATTTGAATAAATGTTTTTGGAGAGCATTACAGACTACCGATCACGTGATCTTAGATAACTTTCCACGTCACATGCAGCTCAGTACTTACCCAACATGCTGCTTACAATTCCACCCCTTGACCGTCGAACGTTGAAGTCAATGCCGTCCTCGCTGGCATCAACCCCCACGGACCCCAAGCATGAGGACGTGCCCTATCGTCTGGGCCCCAGTGATTGTCTCTGTTTCTCTCTCATCCTCTCTCATCCCTATTGTTGATGGGTTTGCTCGTCCACACCCTTGAGGTCAGACGAAAGCGTCTCTCTCTCTCTCTCTCTCACACACACACACACACTTCGTCATTTCATTTCTGCTTATTTTCTATGATTAAATCCCAAATCACCTTCTGTTTTCGTAGCCCTTAAGCGCATTATGCGACTCATTTTCTTCTTGACGAATAATGTTAGAACGAGTGTAAGGGTTGAGGGGAGAGAGCGGAGAGAGAGGAGAGAGAAAGAGGAGAGAGGAGAGAGGAGAGAGAGAGAGAGAAAGAGGAGGGAGGAGAGAGAAAATTGATAAGCCCCCATAGTTGGGGAAGATTCATGGGCCGAGCCCATTTGTTGTAGTTTGACCATATTTTAAAGCCCATTTGTCTTCTTCTGTTAACGCGGTCAACAGACTGCAAGGTGCATGTTAGTTCCTGCGTGGCGGAAGCTCTTCTCGCAGCCGCCCTTTTTCAACTTCCCTTTTCCCTCCCCGCGGACCTCTCTCTCTCTCTCTCTCTCTCTCGCTGTACTCCTGCGCTCTTCAGGGATTGGGGGAGTAGTTCTGTCACGAAATCGGATCTGCTGGGGGAGGTTCAGCTTGGGCATCTGTGCGCGTCAGGCCCTGTGTGGGGTATTCTTTGACCGACATGACAATGGCACGGGCAACTGGTGCCTTTTCCGATGCCTGGCTTTCATGGAATTAGGGTTTCGCTTACCCAGTACTCCAGGTTCTTAGTATATTGCTTCCGTTTACCTTCGTGTAGAAGTTCGGGTATCCTTTTCCCGAGCTGTACGGTTTGTTCGACGTGGAGCTGTGCTCGGTGATCTTCGATGCTTCTTTTTACGTTTTTCATGTATAATATCGGATAATTATCATTGAATCCGAATATATTTCTCTTGAAAAATCTTACGTCAGATATGATGTTGTTCCGGAGAATCGGGAGCTTTGATTTGATCTTATGTTCTACAATAAAAAAAAATGTTCATCATTCCATGGTAACTGTGAAAACCATTTCTACGGTTCCGTCAATGTTAAAGCCTTATTCGCCTTATTCGGGATATGTAATGGACAAGATGCCACACGCCATGATAATCAAGATTGACGGCATTCTTTAGTAATCCTCGCATCAGTTCTATGTCTGTGTGTATCTGCTTGATTTCGTTTGTGTCCCAAGCACTGATCTCTCCTCGTTTTCTGCAAGCAGATGTCGTCGGGGCCTCTGGATTGTCGAGTCTCTTTTGAACTTTGATAGATGTCACAAGAGTAAAAGATATCTTGGGAGTACTTCTTGTTCTGATGAGAGCTCAAGAAATGTCTCAGTTTGGAGTCAAGAAACCTCCTCTCTCAGCAAAGGCTGTTCTACATCAGAGATATGGTGACAAGGCATGTTACAAGGTCGAACAAGTGCTGGAGCCTGTCGAAAATGATTGCCCTGGGCTAGCAATACTGCATCACGATCGGGTTCTCTACCGGTGCCATTTACAGCTCCCTGAATTGTCTGTCACTTCTGAAAAGTTTACGAAGAGGAAAGATGCTGAGCAGTCTGCAGCAAAAATGGCCCTTGAGAAGGTTCTCTTATTTCGTCTGTGCAATTTTCTTCTATTCGATGGACAACTGCTAGTCTGTGATTCCAAGGACATATGACACTGTAAAATCGGCAACATCACTCCATTTCCGTCTCAAACATTTCGATGTATCTCGACTGTTTTCTAGGCTTTAAGTAGGAAAGCAGGGATTCAATTTCTACACGAGATCATGTATACAATGTAATTCTGACCCAGAAAATCGACTTTTTTGTCTCTATAGGTTTTTTCATGTTTTTCGAGCAGTTAGGCTCTCCATTATCAGCGCAGAAGCAATTTGGCATAAAATAAACCGTTAAAACTAAGAGTTGAAGTACTTAATATGATCTCTAAATAAATATATTTTGGGAAAATATATGTTTTATGTCCTCTCCATAAAAGCTAAATTTATCCGTTGGTTAATTAATTGATCACCGTCCAGATGCCGTTAGTTAATTTTCCCTGCAGATTTTCATATTCTAGAGGGATTACAGCAGAAACATTATTATCATGTATTTATGGACTTTAAAATGCATTAGGATGCGTTTTTTCTAACTTTTCTGTAAGTGTTCTCTCTTTCGGATGGTTGCCATTTTTGTACCTTTTCAACCTCAGAGACAGTGGTTACACATTAGATTTCAAATAATTTCTGTCTGAGGTTTGAAAAGCATTTGAATATAGCCTTTTTTGTCTTTCTATGAATTGTTGGATTTTGATATCAGTATTCGATAACCCTGTTCTTACATGCCAGAGAACTTAGGTGCTTGCTTTGGAAATGTATATGAGAACTGTGATTAGATAGATATTGTCTTTTGGGAAGTTTCTAGCATAATTTTTAGGAAGTAGGATGTGAATCAAAAGTATGATGAAGTGATGATTACGGTGACGGGATTTTTTTTTGAGTTGACTTTCTTTTCAGTGTACTTGAGCCCACTACTCTGCTGTTATTCCATCTAGCTATAGAACCTTCGAAGAATTGATAGTTTTTAATGTGAAATCTTACCCATACCTGTCACGCCCATGATGATATAAGTCTAGTTTGTCTAGTAAACAATACCATCGCGCATTATCTGAACCTTACAAACGCAGCTATTATATTACGCAATGTGTCCAGTAAAGTATCTTAGTAGGATCATGCTGTTGTCTCTTGTTGCAATCTAATCGGCATAGGTTGGGCAAGCAAGTGGGAAAATGGTCTTGAATTTTATGAAAAGGAACTATTAAATGAAATGCTACCCTGACGACTGGATGGATTTATATCTGAAATTGATTGGAAAACCTGTTTTCATCTGCATACCAGTTTCTTGGTTGATTATCTAATTATCCTTATTAAAGAGAAGAGATGGGAGGAGTTCACGCTTGGTTTGAAAATTAAATATGTCATATTTTTCATGATTATTTTAAAATTTTGAATTCTTGTGTTCAGTTCGTCAATCATGTTGAATATTTCTTTTCACATCACACGCACTCTAATAAATATGCTCATCTGTGGGTTGCCGCTTTCTGAAAGGAATTCTCTCTGCTCGTTGTAACTCCATTTGAAAAGAAATAGAGATAAATTAATGTGCCTTATTTTCTGGTATTATTTCGTTTGCTGAATCATGTTTATACGGCAGGGTTTTTTATTGCATAATTTATTTTCAGTTCACCGATATTGCATGCAGCTCGGCATTCAGCCTACCACAAAAGACCTCACACCAGAGGAAGCCTGGGACGAGTTAATTGTGCGCATCTCCTCTTTGTTTACAGACAAGGTTAGTATGAGTATTCTATTTTTCTGATATTTAATGATCTTTGGAAACGCTTCTTAGCTCTTGTCCAGCGATTATGTAGTTCTTCCACATAAGAGCACAAAAAGCCAGTCTCGATGGTTTCATAATGCTCTCTCTCTCTCTCTCTTTCTCTCTCTCTCTCACCATTTTATAATCGTTCTGCTGCCGACGACTGGTACATTGATTGCCTATATCCTTGTGCTTCTTTTGTTTATCTCAGCCATTTGTCTCACGAGATAGCCAATATTCTGTATCCAGTCTTTCTTTTTGTGGTGCATGAACGTTCATCAGAGCTTCCTTCTGACAGCCTTCTGTTTGGCTTGTCTTCTTTCACGGGAAAGTTTTCTTTGTCAGGTCATCCGATTGTGGGTCACTTCCGAGCAGCGATTAAGAGAGAGGGTGACACCCACGGATTGATCCCCGTCTCCATCATCGCCGCCTGTGATTCAAAGATTGTTAACTTGTGCAAACTGGTCAACCCCAAGGCAGGGTCAGACCCTCTCCTGGTCGTCTCTCTTGTCCTCAAGGCAGCGAGATTGGTCAATTCGATCTGCGTTTCTGACAGAGGACTCTGGATGGGGAAGAAAGGTTCATATTCTTCCGATGCTCTTCAGTCTTTAATCAGCCATTCTACTACCTCCACAGACCATGGATCGATCGAAGCGCTGTTCATTCCATCCTCCATTGAGAAGCCCGTTGAGACAATTACCCTTGAGCTATCTGCTGGCCGATGCTACATGGATGAAATTTCTCAAAAGCTTGGTGTTGAGGATTCATCTCATGTTCTAGTTTCAAGGTTCAGAAAACTTTGAATTCTCATCAGCCCTTGCGTCGACTGCGGCTATGCTCACCGGTAGTCTGCTTGCTATTGTTTCAGGGCGGTAGGCAAAGCTTCTTCGGAAATGAGGTTTTATTTTTCTTCTCCAAGATGCCAACTTTCGTGCCCAGATTTATCATCATCAGAGACGCCTTTGCATGGAGAAGAGCCCCTCAACCTGCTGGGTTCATACTTTTCTGGTCAAAATATATACGGAGATGCTGTCTTGGCCACTGTTGGGTACGCATGGAAATCCAAGGATCTCTTCTGTGAGAATGTGACCTTGTCTACATACTACAGGTCTTCTCTCTCTCTCTCCCCATTGCTCCTTTGTTTAGTATATTTTTCTCATAAACCCATCACGATGTTCTTCAGGATGCTTCTTGGTATGACACCCGATGGATGCTATAAGCTGTCTAGAGAAGCTATACTTGCAGTGAAGTTGCCGTCTTCCTTCACAACGAAGTCCAACTGGAGGGGCCACTCTCCGAGGGACCTGCTGTGCATGTTCTGCCGCCACCATCGCCTTATGGAACCTCTGTTTTCAGTGAAGGAGCTTCCAGCACCATCGGGAGCATCACAAGGTCTCGACCAGCTGAAGTCATCAGAGGGATTGGGCGTTTTCGCCTGCGAAGTGAAGATCTTGTCTAAGCAGCAAGACCCAATACTCGAATGCCTCGGGGATGGCTGCAAGAAGCAGACTGATGCAGTTCAGAAGGCCGCTTTGAGCGCCCTTTCGTGGCTGGACAGGTGCTTCAAGCGCCTGTGCGTGCCTCTTGAGGAGCCATCGTCGTCGTCTTCCTCCTCTGGGTCTGCCCAGCAAATCCGTGTCTACCCAGAGAGATTCTCCCAGGAGCTCGCACACTGCTTCGCCGTCCATGCCCGCCGCCCTCGGGAGAGAGACTCTCCACGAATGCAGCCCACGCAGCCCGGACTGGTCTCTTTCAGAGTCGAAGGCCTGGAGTCTGGTGCGCCGCCAGCAGTGGGTTCCTTGGTCTCCATCAGCTACACCATTTCTCTGGTAGGTGGAGCGGAGGAAGGAAGCAGACAGACCTTGGAAAGCAGAGATGAACTTGAGTTCGAGCTGGGGACTGGAGCTGTGATCGACCATGTCGAAGCATGTGTCTCTCAGATGTCCACTGGCCAGTCTGCTCAGTTCACCATAAGCCTGCCTTCCAGGGAACTGGTCTTGGCTGCGTCTGGTCAATCTGCCGAGCTCATCTCCCCTCTGGATCTTCGTGAGCTCCTCTTCCAGTCTGCGCTTCTTCTCCATTAATTAATCTACGGCATCTTGCAGGGTATAAACTTGCTTTTTGAGTGCGGGTGATCTTGATTTCATGCCTTCGCAGGGGCCTGCTCTCTGGAGTACTCACTGAAGGTGCTTCAGATCTCCGAGCCTAATGAGGTCCGGATGGAGCAAGCTCTTTTCAGCCCCCCTCTGTCGAAGCAGAGGGTTGACTTTGCCATGGGTCTCATCAACAGCACCTCCGCCACTAGCCTGGTATACTGACCTGCACCATTCTTCCTCCCTCCCTTTTCTCCACTCCGTTGACTTTGAGGCGTGCAGGTTGACTTCGGTTGTGGGTCGGGTAGCCTCCTTGATTCCTTGATGGAGCATCAGACGACCCTGGAGAAGGTTGTCGGCGTGGATGTCTCCACCAGAGGCCTCTGCCGGGCAGCAAAGGTCAACGTTCACTCCAATAATCCATTTATTTATTCCTGCAATCATGAGAAGAAACATTACGTCTCTTCTGACTCGGCAGATACTCCATGCAAAGCTTGCTAAGGAGGACAGTCCAGTGGGAAGCTCCATCAAATCCGCCGTGCTCTACGGCGGCTCCATCACCGACTACGACTCCCGGCTGCATGGATTCGACGTGGGCACCTGCCTAGAGGTACGATGGTCGCCCTAAATCTTCAGAGCAGCGAGATGCGCCATTGGAGGAGACCTGCTGAAGCAGACTAGCCTGCAGGTGATAGAACACATGGAGGAGGATCAGGCGGGCCTGTTCGGAGAAGTGGTTCTGAGCTTGTTCTGCCCCCGCCTGCTGATAATCTCGACGCCGAACTATGAATACAACCCCGTGCTCCAGGGGAGTCTGATGGCGGCGGAGGAGGACGACCGAGGGGAGAAGTCCCGGACCGCGCCCTGCAGATTTCGCAACCATGATCACAAATTCGAGTGGACGAGGGGGCAGTTTGAGCGCTGGGCCGTTGACCTCGCCAGCAGGCACTCTTACAGGGTTGACTTTGGGGGTGTCGGCGGGTCTCCTGGCGTGGAACCGGGTTTTGCTTCGCAGATTGCCGTCTTCCGGCGGTGCGCTTCCCATCCCGCGGAGGCGGGCCCGACCGCCGGGGCGGTCAAACTTTACGAGGTCATTTGGGAGTGGCCCAGCTAGCTCGTCGGCATCTGTTCAGTAAGAACTCTTCTTCCTTTCTTCTTTTTTTGTCTTCTCTCAGTCGCTTCAATGTCGATTCAAAGCCCAGTTGTTGGCGATTCCTTGGACTATGTAGAAACATTATGCTATCTTTTGAAGCAAATTTCTTGGAGCATTGATGGTGAGATCTGCCCACGTGATGTTATTCTGGATCCTGGAGAGAGAGAGAGAGAGAGAGAGAGAGAGAGAGAGAGAGAGAACAGCTCTTTACTTGGAACGAAGTAAACCTTTGATTTAGTACCTGTATCACTCAAAACCTTTGATTTTTGTTCCCTGAGAATCCAGTGAGGAGGGAGTTGAAGGAACCCTCCAGACGGGTTCCTCAAGAACAAGAACAAGAACAAGAAAAAGCTGTTGAGGAACTGAGGGCTGCAGTAAGCTGTAATCCTTTCCTAGCGGCTTTGTGAGGAAGAAGAAGGGGAAGAAGAAGAAGAAGACCTGTAGAAGAGTTAAGCTTACGTATCGTTTGACTTCTGGGGGATGGCCTACGGCGGCGGCGGCGGTCTCAGACAGCCCCCGGGAAGGAGGTACTGGAATCTATCGGCGTTCTGGATCAGGGAAGATGGGAGATGCACGGCGGAGGAGGACCGGGGAATGGGGCCCATCTTCTTGATCAGCTCCCGGAAGGTGTACTCCTCCGGCAACATGTCAAAGAGATCCTCCCCCCTGCAAATGATCCCCTGTATCCTCTCCGGGTCGAGGTGGCGCCGCCGCCGCGCCCTGTCGGCGTGGCTGTAGGCCCTCATCTTGAACACGAAGTCCTCTATGCTCCTGAAGCAGAAGCTGCAGTGCCACCCTGCGTCGGCCAGGAGCAGCTCCCCCTGTCGGGAATGGCGGTACTGCGTCCCTTGCCGGAAGAGATGGGCGGTGGCCCTCCAGCTGCCGGAGTCCACCGGGAACTCGAAGGAGTAGAGGTACTGGCGGAGCTCCAAATGCAGAACCGGCGGCACCCCGTCGCACCACCGCAGCAGCGCCGCCGTGTGCTGGCTGGGGATCTCGTCGGCGTCGGACATGATGACGGCGTCCCCGGGGGCCACACCGGCTCGCCGGAGCAGCGACGCGAAGAACCCCCGCTGCTGGCCTTCCATGGTGAAGGGATCCCGCCGGTCGCCTTTCCCGGCGAACGCACCGGAGAGGATCTTCCCCCCGGCGAAGCGGAAGCGGCTCTGGTTCTCCTCGAAGAAGAGCGGCTTGGGGAGGCCGGTGAAGGTGGAGTTGGACTCGAGGAGGAGGAAGCGGTGGACGTGGGGGAGGAGCTCGCGGTAGCGGATCTCCAAGAGATCGAGCTCGTTGCTGAAGAGGACGGCGTCGAACAGGCGGCGCGGGGATCGCCGGAGCTCCCACCCGTGGAGCTTGCAGAGCACCCCCATGGAGAGATTCTCGGCGTAGTAGTGGGTCAGCCGCGTGAAGGGCGGCGGCGGGGTGTCCCACAGCGGCCGGAGGAAGTAGGCGATCTTCTGGCGGGGGAAGAAAAGGACGACCCACGTCGTGAGGAGGAAGACGATGACCATCGCCGCCACCGGCCGGTTTCGACGTGCCATGGATGAGAGGAGAAGTTTGGTCTGGTTGTTGTGTTGGGAAGGGGAGAGTTGCAGAAGGGCATGCAAGGAGGAGGACGGAGGTGACGTTCCTGTCTGTCTGTGTGTTCTGGTTTATTCTCTCCGGGGTGAGGGGAAAAGGGCGCTCCGTGATGGGCGGCGGCTGGGTGCAGAGGGGGAGAGGCGTCTCTCTCTCCCTGTCGCCACGTTCTGCGGCGAAAACTCGGTCTTGGCCTAATAAAGGGTGGCCCGAAAGAAGCGAGAGATATATAGATAGATAGATAGAGAGAGAGAGAGAGAGAGAAACAGAGGGAGAGATGGAGACAGAGAATGAGGGAGAGAAACAGAGACAAAGGGAGAGATGGATGAGAGAGAAACAAAGAGAAAGAGAGAGAGGGAGAGATGGATGAGGGAGAGAAAGAGAGAGAAACAGAGGGAGACAGATAAAGGGGGAGAGGAGAGAGAGAGAGAGAGAGAGAGAGGCCAGGTGTCCCCCCGAGGCTGCCGTGCACAACGTGCTCTTCAGCCATTTGGGCAGGGTGAACGACTCCAGTCACTTTTTTGGGCCGCGGAGGCCTTCATTTGTGCCCGCTTGAGCTTACTTTCTGGTCTCTGTTTGGGCCCGACGGGGCCCATCATGGCATCCATTGCCCACCTGCCCACTTATCTAACAAATCATTTTTATTTAACTCACGCGGTACTTGATTAATCTCAAATTATCGAGGGACTTAAAAATAAAATCGAGGTCGTTCTTTCTGGGTCGTATTTAAAATTAGGTCTGTATAATCATCTCCACCCACAAAGTTCCCTTATTTCTACGAAGATTGAGCTCGGCTTATTAATCTGTCCCTCTATATTTTCCCCTCCCTCTACAATATAAGGTCTTTTTTTGACTTTTAAAACTTTACCGGGGTTTATTTATAAAAATCAAAAATATCCTAAATAACAGCCTTTTTAAAGAAAAAATATAAACAAAAGGTTGTATACTACTTTTTGAAGTAGTTCATATGCATTGACTAGTCTACCATTGGAACTTCTGGGAAGCTCCCTTCTGTCCTAGCGTTGACTATTTTCGGTCTGGAAACTTCCTTCGGGCTTCATGATCCCACATATTTTGCCGAACAAGTTCCACCCACCAGCAAGAACCGCTTGCCCGTCTGTTTTCTGGTCTCAAGCTCCGTGCAGATGGATTTAGAAGCCGGTGGGCCCAGTTTGACCATTTCGCTGATCTGGGTAAGCGCCGTGGTTCCTGGTCCCGAGTGAAACACTTGCTGACCTCGACCATCTCAGCTGCGTCGAAAGCAAGGATTTTGAAATCCCCCTGATTCCGTCTCTGGACGGAGCTATTCTTATTGAGGAGGCAGGCATTCATCATTGAAACCAAAACTTGGCCTCGAAAGCCTCTCCAACTGCCGGCAATCCAAGCGCCAACAACCCCCCTTCTCTCTCTCTCTCTCTCTCTCTCACCCCCTACCGCTCTGTCTCTCTCGCTGTGTGTTTCTCTCTGTCTCTGTCTCTGTCTCTGTCTCTGTCTCTGTCTCTCTCCATCTCTCTCTCTCGCTCTGCACTAGATACCTTCCCTACAGCTGCCGGGAACGGCTGTAGGGAGATTACGTAACCACTCTACCACAGAGTGACGCATTGACCATGACGCGCCGAATCACATTTAGTATTAAACCCCCAGGAGAGTTTTAAACAACAGGAAAGGTAACCAGAAGCTTTTATCATCGAGTATGACTCTGCGGTTGGTTTTGACCGTTTTGAAGAGATGCCCACTTCTTGACGGGGAGGGGGTTCATCGGAAAATGCCCCTGAAGTGTTTGGCGGCTGCTTTGGCGGTATGCCCGGTCAGCGGCTAACCTCACAGTCAATGAACATAAGCGAGCTGTAACCCCAGTTCAGCGGGCAGATGTGGAGCGTCCGTTGAGGCTTTAACAGCCGGGTGCGAAGTGGGTTAAACATTACTCGGAGGAGAGTATCCCTGAGCTTCCCCCGCCTACAAGTACTCGGTCGCCATTAGCCCCGCGGCTCCCTCCTCTGGCAGCAACTGGGCCCTTCTTCTTCCTCATGATCCGCAGATCTGCCTCCCCGTCCACAGCGACCACGCCGGCGGACGACGGCGCCGCCAGGTTTCCCGCCGGAGATTACCGGAGGTAGAGTAGACCTTATCGTCCCCTCTCCCAACAATTTCCTCTTATTTCTTTGGGACGATGGCGTGGGGTGTGGGTGATGATGCTCTTCTCCGGCGAGTCTCAGGCCGGGGGAAACCACCGGCGAGGCCAAGTCGCCGGAGTTGGAGGCCTTCTTGGAGCTGGTCGACAGGGAGGCCCACCGGCAGCGCCTGCTGCGGGAGGCGAGAAGGAAGCCGCTGCCATGGCAGCCGTCGTTCGAGATGGAAGACTTTGGAAGCCCTCCGGCGTCGGCTTGCTCGGAGAAGCTCGCTGGCGAAGAGAAGAAGAGGGAGAGGGAGACGGGTCCGCTCGCCGGCGGCGGCGAGCGGGAGGAGGATCCGGGGAGGAAGAAGAAGGCGGCGGCGATGGGGACCATGAAGTGGGATCTGAACAAGAGAGATGAGTCCTCTGACGACAAGTGACTGATGGGTAGTGGTAAAAAGGAACGTTTATGAGGTAAAATGGGATTAAACTATAAATTTAGTCTCATATTACCTCAGTTTCTCTGACATCGTTAAGTCTGGTTGCTTGTCCCCGTGAATAATATGAGTGGCCAACTTACCTTGTTCCGGTGGTGACGCCGCAAGAATTATTTTTTCTTTTGGATGTCGCCCACACGTGCGTGCAATCAGGGGGATGGGGTTCATCAGATGGACGGTTGTTATGCAGCTCATATGGAACCCAGCAATCCCACGCGGTCTTTAGTGGTTCACCAGCATTGAAAATGCCGAATTGGCGTTGGTTATAATGTAGCTTCGTACGTTGACTTGTTGAACGATGAACTTGTTCAATGCATCAAATTGACTTCTCTCTCTTCAGTTTTTGTACACACGTCAGGAGAAGGTGGGAGGAAAATTCGACTGTCCAATGAAAAATGAATGCAATGGGATGTGTGGAAGCTGACCTTATCTTATCTTTTGCACTTCAAATTTTTAGTTTTATTGTATGTCGATGGGGCTTGTGATCTAATTAAATCCGTAGAACATAAACTTGATTTAAGCTAATAGTTTCAGGTCTTCCTAATCCGCCACAGATATTACTGAACATCTAAAGACGCATGATTTGTCAATAACCATACAAAATACTATGAATATATATAATAATAATAATAATAATAATAAATAATAATGTCAGAGCTAAGTAGGCCATTCATCAAGCACACTATATCCTTGTATTGGGTGTTTTTTTTTAAAAGTTGTACATATAAACTCATAACTCTATTGAATAAATATGGAAACACGGCACCTGAAAGCAGAGGGTTAGGTAAACGAACTGCAAGGTTCAGAAGCTCGTTTTTATCTAGAATAGGAAATCTGCAGGCACGAGCGTGAAGACTTGCTGGTGATCGATCAGGCAATATGCTATTTACGTATCTGTCTTCTTTTATTAGATAAAGCATCGGGTAGGCTATTTGCTTCTGTACATGTGGGTTGGAAGGTAGGGCCGAGGTAGGTGAGAAGAGAAAGACTAGCTCGTGCCAAACCCATCATAGTCGCCAAGGTGACTAGGGTCTCTGTCGTGGTGCAGTCTTACTCAGTAACCCCATAGGATATATTCAATCGCTTACTCTTATATCATATGATACATGTTGGAAGAGTTTCTTGGAAGCATAACAGTTCGGGTGGGGCTGACAGAAAAAACTAAAATAAAATATGTTAATAATTCTGAAATTTTGTGTACCTAATTTCTTAGCAGTTGATGATGATCTCTAACTTAGCTTTTACATAATTAGTCTCAGCCGGAATCATGGGTCCCTTGGAGGTCTGGCCCTGCCCCCCTAGCCAGGTCTCTAGGAACCTTTTGGGGTTCTTCTTGGGTCTGGCAATGCCCCCTAGACAGGACTTAGCTTCTTTGAAGGCAGTGGGAACCTCTTGAAGGCCTGTTCATAAGAGCTCAATGGGTAAGCTTTAAATGGCTATGGTCAACAAGATTCAGGATGAGTTTTATACTAATTAATGATTCTCTCCTCCTGGTTAAATAAGAATAAAGCGAGATAGTTATAGAGGAAAGAAGATCTACACATTCATGGAATAAGAAGCTATTCTGTACAGCTTCACCACTTGTATCGCTGGATCCCGCACCAAGATTCTCGACTGCACACGTAATTTACTTATTTACTTATTTCCAGAATCGATCCTAGGATCTTTGTGACATACTAATCCATTCTGTCCACATTTTTGGAATGAGCCTGCGGAAATAGACTTCCCATTTCCGGAGAGATGCACGGGGATGTATCTAAACGCGGCGCATCAGTGTCTCCATATCCTCCGATGCCATTATAGAGAGACTTCTGTGGTATGATTGTGAAACCCTAATGTAACTCAAAATCTCCACCGTTCATTCAGTCAGGTAATAATGTCACTTGAGATTCGATTCACACCATAACTTTCGTAATTAATGACTAATCCATTGTATCCACATTTTCGGAATGAACCTGCGGAATTGGAGCTCATATTTACCGAGATATGCACGACATATATCCAAAAGCGGCGCATCAGTATCTCCACATCTTCCGAAGGTCATTATGCAAAAACTTTTGGGTGTTGATTATTAAACCCTGTGTAACTCAAAATCTCGACCATTCATTTACGTAATGCTGTCACTTGAGATTCGATTCACAGCATATCCTTCGTAATTAATGAATAATCCATTCTATCCACATTTTCGGAATGAACCTGCGGAAATTAGAGCTCATATTTACGGAGAGATGCGCGGCGCATCAGTATCTCCATACCTTCCGATGGCCATTATACAAAGACTTTTGAGTGTTGATTATGGAACCCTGATGTAACTCAAAATCTCGATCATTCATTCCTTTAGGTAATACTGTCACATGAGATTCGATTCACAGCATATCTTTAATGATTAATAACTAAAGAAACGAGGGAATCCTGGAGTATCCACCATACCTTTCTATGTGTATATATCATATGTGCTCTACCCGTGTATGCTCATATTTGCAGCCGCCATGGAACTAAAGATGCGTGTTGCCCGTATGTTCTGTCTGCTGCTTCTCACGCTTCTGCTCTCATCTGGTAACGAGCGCCATCTCTAGCCGTATAGTCTCTCCAACTCTTGCTCTTCATTCCTTGACCGGTTTCTGTTGCGTGTTTTCAGTGTTCACAGAGGGAGGAAGAAGGGACGAGTTGTGCAAGGCACCGAGTCGCCGTTACACTGGATTCTGCAACGTAATCCGCTGTGTCAATACGTGCAAGGGAGAAGGCTACACCAGCGGAATGTGCGCATCCCCCACGGCCTCGTGTTACTGCTCCAAGCTATGTGCCGGTGACCAAGCAGACGCAGGGAGCGCGGCCACCTCCCGACCGTAGCTCCCCCATTTGTGTCTCTCCTATGGCATCTAATGAAAATCTCGACGCTCCTCAGTTCCATGCAATCATATTTCCCTTGCAACCTCGTTCTCTCAACCTATTCCTCCATCACAATAAACTGGATGGCCCTATGTAGGCGGTCACCGAGGACTCTTAGTTGCTTGAATACAATGTTTTCGCTGCTTTTGGCTTACATATGATACTTGGGTCCGGTGAAAGTTCTTCTGCGCAGCTTCCACCTGTTCTGCATCAATTTGCCCCATTTAAACTATCAATTAATCAGCGAGAAAGCATCAACTCATCAACTATACTACTATTCCTCGAGAAAGAAGGGGAAGCCCGTAATAATTTGCAACATATTTATAGGAAAGTAAAACCGTTGAAAGTTGATGAAAAATTTGATAAATGAAAAATAACTGCTGAATCAATAGTTTTTAGCTCAAAATGTCGAACAAATATTTCCCTCACCTAGAGACTCCTCAATTTCTTGCATAGTAACCTCAATAGTTTCTAGCTTAAAATGTCAAACAAATATTTCATTGCCTTAAAAGGTATCTCTTCAATGCAATATTATTAACGATTGCCAATATTGTCCTGATTCAAAGAGTTTAACAAAAGAACCCAACTATTATATTTACAAGTGACTTGCTTCTTATATCAAATAACTAATATTTTAAAAATACTGAAAATAGGCATACTTATTTGTGTGTATGCATTTTGTACCCTTTTTAGTCAAACTGGAGCTGGAATGGAGGTGTTTGATTGTTTCTATTAGTTTAAATCAATAAATAACTAAACTCTTATATTTTCCCATACACGTTGGGTGATTATTAGTAACTTTCAGACTTAGGGGTTAAAACTTACTGCATTATCATACAGAAACCAATTGAAAGCCTACTACGATAATAATATAATAGGCCAATTAGCTTTGTGTGTTAGTTATTCATTTAGAATATGGGTTCATTGGGCCAGACTATTATCGGTCTCACGTTGTAATGTTCACCCTACTCTCACTACATAACTAGGAAAGATAACTTTTTGAGAAAAAAACATTTCCAAATGGAAACCTTTTTTCAAGACTTATTCAAGCTGTGGGTGACATTGGGTGAAAGGCAGTGGTTGGGAGTAATGTTTTGAAAAGTAGTTTCATTTGACCATGGTGTGCACACATCTTCTCATAAATCAAAATTGCAATATAGCATCCTTCATTTGGATATTCCAACATGGAAATATGCCATATTGAGTAATTAATTTATGAGAAAATATCTCTATCCCTGGATCAACTAAAGAGTCACATGTGTATATATCTTGAATTTTGTGTCTATCCATATATCCGGCCCCTATATATATGTCACCCACCACCTCTTCTTACATTAATGGTGTTGTGATCTCTCTCTCTCTTTCCATGGTTACTGTTGAAGCCGCTCTAATAAAATTTTGTGATGAAGGAATGTTGCTGTTGTCGAGAGAATCATTTTTGAGATCTTCTATCAAAGTGGCTTCAACATGGCATCAAAGCACCCCAAGTGAACTCATTCTGCTTTTGACCCTTTGAAGGTTCATTCTATGACTGGCTCATTTGACGAAAAGGGAAAGTCACTAATTTACCCTCATTTTTTGAGATCTTGCTTGCTTGTAATTTTTTCAGCATTTGATGGTATTTTTCATTGTTATAGAATGCCTCCCACAACTTCCTAGCATCTCTTCCCTTACTTGGAGGTGAGGGAATGGATAGATATATAGCCATAGAAAGAGGACCCTATTATCACACGACCCCTATTTTCCTTTATTTGGCCTTATTTCTCCTCAAGGAGAATAGGAGCACAACACTGGCTGGCTAAGAACAAGGTGTTTATCTTATGTTGGAGGTTACAAATATGGCTTCCTCACTACCTTAGATTGTTGATATACACAAATAGGCCTTAGAGTTGCAAAACATTCTGAGTGAATTCAAATTGAATGGTAGGAGCTTACTCCCATAGAGTGAGTTCATTGAGGTGATTCTCAAAGGCAAAGAAAAACTAGACTACATCTTAGATCCAACACCTAAATCAAATAGTCCAAGATTCATGCTTTGGAAGAAAGATGATGTTATAATCAATTCATGACTTTAGAGTACCATGTCTCTAAAAATCAACACAAGTTATCTATTTTCTTGTGACTCTTGTGATATTTGGAAAAAAACCAACAAAGTTCTTTCAAACGAACTTGATGGAGACAAGGTTTTTTAACTTATGTCAAAGGCTATGAGTCTAAAACAGGGTACAAAATCAATTAGAGAATATGGGAATGCACCAAAGTCTTTATGGCTTTATGGCTAGAAATTAATTGACATAGGTCAATTATAACGACATATCCAGAAGATTTAATTTTGTTGTCAGAAATATATTGAGATTCATTGAATTTACAAATTCCTTAATGACCTTAATCTTGAATATGATCAAAGAAGTAAAAATTCTAGTCAGAGAAAAAATTATGGACTTAGAAGAAGTCATTACATTATTGATAAATGAGAAAAGTAAGAGAAGCCTTATGATAAAACCACAATGCACAGATAACTCTACGTTTGTGGTAAGCATAGGAAAGTGTTGGGTTTAATGTGGCTACGTGAAGCATTAAGAGGAGGTGGTGACTTGGTTTCCTATGGTTTTTGTACTATTCTTCTTTTTTCTTTATGAGTGTATGTGTCAACATAGGTTCTAATATAATATTTATGTTATAGGTGCAAGTTTACCTAAGTCAATCTCTCTCTCTCTACATGGGTTTACTTTGGACACTCTCTTACTAGTCACCACAAAGGACACAAGATTTTATACTAGTACATTCCTCATTATGCTACATCTAGTCTCAAAGGTTCATCCCTCACTATTTCTATCTGAAAATATAATTGATTTCATAAGATCACCATCCCAATTAATCGAGTCTGATCTCTGAAGAGATTACACCCCTCACAAATAGAGTTTGACTCTCAACACTATGTGTCTTAGTCAACTACACCAGTCTCCTTAGAGACCACACCCTTCACGGGTACTAACAGGCCCTCAACACATTGTGTCTTAGTCCAAACCTTTCTTCACTCACCACTAAGTATCTTAGGGCCTGATAAAGACAGTTAATCTTTGAAGTAGTAGGTGAGAAGAGCAAGAAACTCATGTCAAACCTGTCATAGTTACCATGGTAACTAGGATATTTGCTGTGGAATAATCTAGTCTAGTAATCTAATATGATACATTCAATCATTTACTCTCATATCATATGATACATGTTAAAAAAATTTCTTGGAAGAATAACAATTCAAGGGGGTTGAGACTTGAGCTTTATCAAAAGGAAACCTTTCATAAATGATGTGCAGATTTGCTCCACTAGAGCCTGTTTAATAAGTGGGAGATGTTATCTGATCCTAAAATAGTTTAAAGGTGAGAAGTTTCTCATGAAGTAGTGATATGCTTAGATGGGATGTGCACATCATCTTGGTCAATGATCAAGAATAAATACAACTGTAAGCTATGGTTTCTTGTTAATGTCTACACAATATACATGAAAAACTTATCACTTAGACTTCGGCCATACCACAACAACTCACACATTGAAGATAAGTTATATCAGTTGCACTTGAGAGTACTTGAGATCATTGGAGAAGATAGATCACGGTTGGACGAGTCAACAATTATTTACTAATTGTAGTTTAACAATAGTTGAATAATATAAACGTTAGTTCTAACCTTGAATAATATAAACGTTAATAATATAAACAATAGTTGAACAATAGTTTAACAACAGTTGCACTTGGGTGTACTCATTTATCTCTCCCAGCCCTCCACTCTCATCTCTACACATCTCTCTCAGATCTCTATCTCTCAGACCTATCTTTCTCCCTCTCTAGTTCCTCTCAATGTCTCTGACTACTCCCAACTATGGTTCATTCATCGTCAATATAGTTTTCCTTCATCATTGCTTTGTGATGTAATAATGTTCAGGAGGTGATATCATAATATTGTGTTAGTGGTTAATACAAAAACTTGAGATACATTTGTTGTTTTTTGTCTTTATTAGGCTTCTTATTTTTATCTTTTGTGGGCCAAAAACTTACAGCTTATTTTTCTTTTAGTGGGTCAAGGGGGGGGGGCACATATAGCATTTATGTAGGGTATAAATATTTTCTTTCTCTCTCATTGTGGTGTATTCGTGGTGGCTGATACTCTAGGTCCTTTTCTATGAAAAAATTCTCATTTCTCCTCTCCTTTCCTCCCTCTCTCTCCCAAAACTCTATATTCTCTTTGAAAATCATCTTCCTTTTTCCTATAAGTGGTGTTAGAGCACTAGGTTCATTTATTGGGTTTTCTTTTTCTATGGAGAGTACAAGAATATCAAGGGAGATTAAAATGAGGTTAGTGTAGGTTTTTGGGCATTTTTGAAGATTCCTTATTATAACAAGGAACATTAATGTTCTGCTTGAAATTTTTGCGAAGAGGTAAATGCCATTGACTTGAGAATGGCAACTAGTAACCCCTTCAACCTAGCTCAACCTCTTGCCATTTTTCAATGGAGAGAAATATGATTTTTGGAATATTCAGATGAAGATATTATTTATTTCACAAGATTTATGAGATTTAGTTGAGAATGAAAATATGGAAGGAGAGTGTTATAAATAAGATAATGAGGAATTTCAAAATAAGGATGTCAAGTCATTGTTGATTTTACAACAATTCATTTTAGAAATTATTTTTTCTCGTATTACTAATGCCCTTCAGAAGTATGGAAAATTTTGAGAGATGAATTTTATGGAGACAATAGAGTTATGGCTGTCAAACTTCAAATACTTCATAGAGAATTTGAAATTATTCATATGAAATATTATGAATCTATTCATGATTTATTTTCTTGAATTTAAATTATTATAAATTGAATTAAAATTTAGAAAGAAGATATTTTAGAAAGAAAAATACTTGAAAAGTTTTGAGAAGTCTTGAATCTAAATTTGATCATGTTGTTGTTGTTAT